CCTGCCGCGCCATGCCGCGACGCAGATTTCAAATGATGGCGGGGTGACAGGGGCTCCGCGCGCGCTTCCTTCCTGCGGGGTCGCTAGTTTGCTCAGTTGCATTTGCAGCGGCTCTGCGTCTGCTGGGGCCTCCGTTTTTTGCTGGGGCACCGGGTCTTCGCCTCCCGCGCGCGTTGTCTGGGCGCGCGCGCTCGCCTTCGCGCCGCGGCGGGCCCCGCGCCCGGGCCGGGCGGCGTCGGTCGGACATGGGGGGCCCTTCCTTTCTGCGATGGCCGGCGCAATGCCGGGGGCGATTGGCGCTGGCGCCCGATCGCTCCGGGCCGCCGCCGCCGCTGCCGATTCTCATGTCGTTCTCCTCTCTCGCCCCACTCTTATTTGTCGGCCGCGCTGCGCGGCCCGACGCGCGGGGCGCGCTCGCAGGCGCTGCTGGCGCCCAGCAGCGCGCGGGTTGGACTGCGCGTCGCCGTCGCAATCTTCGCCAGGGCGAACTGCGAAACGCTGCGAACGCTCCGGTGTCTCGGCAGCAGCAGACACTGCGACAATTGGATTGTGGCGTGGACTTCGGAACCATTGGCTTCCCTCTTTCTTTCTTTCTTTCTTTCTCTCTCTCTCTCTCTCTCTCTCTCTCTTCTCTCTCTCTCTCTCTCTCTCTTCTCGCTCTCTCTCTCTCTCTCTCTCTCTCTCTTTTTTTCTCTCTCGCTATCTCTCTCTCTCTCTCTCTCTCTCTCGCGGCGCGCGCGCGGCCCGTTTGGGAACGTTTGGGCGTTGCGGACGTCGGGGGAATGGGGGCGCATGTCTATGCAGGGTGCGAGGGCGTGGACGCGGCGTTAGAGTCGGTTATTCCGCGACGCAGGAAGCAGTTCTAGCTATTTGGCCTCTCGGATCGCGGAGCCAATCGCCCTTGCGTGCGACGCCTTGGACTTGAGATTACCGCGCGGATGAGAAGTTTGGTCGAAGTATTGGCTGCGAAGCGGGGAGGGGCGTCACGCTGTGGATGTCGGGCTGAAGGCGGGCCCCCGCCGTTCGAGCGCGAAGTGTTTCTAGGCGCGGCGGCCGCGGGCAATCCGACAGGGCGGCGTCGGGGCGCGCGCGCGTCGACCCGAAAGTAGCTAAATACGAAAAATATGAATGAAATGTTCGGCCCCTGCGCGGGCTGGCGCGCGCGTCGAAGTACATAATGCCTCATTGTTTCAACGCGAATGGAGATCCCACCGCGCTGCGGATATCTATCCGCTCAACAAGCTAGATGTCCGCGACAGGCGCATCGTTGCCGTTGAGCGATTCAGCCGAAGGTCCCCAAGTAGGGCTCCGCGGTTGATGAGGGCGCCTCGATTCGCATGCGAGCCCCTGCGCAGTTCAATTTATCGCGGGTCAGGGGGCGCCTGGAGGCCCGCGCGGCGCCGGGCAGTTTTTGGGCGCGGGGGCGGAGGCGGGAGTCGCAGGGCATCTTAGTTGGGCAAATCAGGGCCCAGGGCGCCACTGATCTCTAATAACTGCTGGTGTTATCCGCGCTGCTGTCAGAACCTCGCAATCCCCCCCCGGCCGCCCCCTTCAGCCAGACTACCTCAGCGCGAAGACCAGGGCAGGGGCGGAGCGCGCAGGTTGTCTCTCGTCTGCTCAGCCGTGCGCGCGCCGTGCGCGGACGTTGCGAGCGCGCGACCACGCCTGCGTCAGCTGCCCAAGAGCGTCTCGACTGCTCAAGCAAGTCCACGTCGATCGTTATTGCGCGCTCCCACTTGCGGCAAGCCCACCGTAGCGGTTGGCGCCAGATAGGATTCTCTCACGCGGCGCGGGGCCCAAAGGTTTCCGACCCATGCGCGCGCGCAAATCACGATGTGCAGTAAGTTATTCGTTCTCGTCGGGCTGATTTTGACCCGTATGCGGGGCGCGCTCACGTCGCCCGGGCCACCGTCTTTTCAACGTTTCCGCGTTCGCCAACCCCCCTGTCGAATGCGGAAGCCGGCGGCTGGAATGGCGGAACGCAAGAAAACCGCGCGGATAATTACGCGCCAGAGAAGCGCTGGCCATATATCGCCCAGCGCAAACAGGACATGTCCAAACGGCGGGGCGCGCGGCGAAATCAGTCCAAGCCAGGGAGGGTTTCCCACGGAGAATCGGCGAAACCAGGTTCCATTTAATCCCCGTGGTCGAAATCGAATTAAGAAGTGGATCTCCCCAGGCCCCTTCCCAACGACGGAAGCCTGCTCATAATCTGATGCGGGCGTTTGGACCGCGCGCCCGCTGATGCAGCCGGGCCTGGGAGCGGAAATCATCATTTGGTTTTCGGGAATTGTTGTTGCTTCGGTGTGGCGATATGAAAAAGTTTCGAACACGTAGATTATGATGCCAGGCGGACGACGGATGTGAGTGTCTGCCGTTTTGGCGGGGTGGCACGGCAAAACGCGCGCGAAACATGCGTTCGCACGCGCCCGACCAAAAAGTTCTGCCAGATGCTTGGCCGCCCCCCGCCTTTTGTGACCAGCGTTGCCCCTTCCTTGCTGGATCGCTGCGTCCTCCTCCGTCCTGGTTGCTCGTCGGTTTGTTCTCCCTCCGCGGCGTTCCGTGGGGTTCCCGTACCTGGCCCCGGGCGGGCCCGTCGGTCAAATGCCCCCCAAAAAACAAGAAGTTTGCGGTTGGGGACATAATGCTCTCGGAGGGGATTCGATAACAGTCAGTTTGTTGACCGTCGTCGCTCTTCTCATCCCATTCGGTCGCATGCGAACGTATCGAAGGCGCCCCTCGCCTTGCCCCCCCCCCCCCCGCTCAGGCTGCTCTCTCGGGCGGGAGACAGGAATGCTGTCTGCGAGCGCCCACCATCGGCTCCCCATGCGTCGGGGCCTGCGTAGGCGAACCTCGAGTCGTTGCGACTCTCATGCCCTTGACATAGGCTTGGCGGCCAGCCCGTTGAGTCCGTTCCTTATACAGGCTCGCCGCGCCGTGAGTATTAAGTCCGTGGCAGTTTCTTCCGTCTTGGGCGCGCCTTGGAAGAGAGCAGTCCAGCAATACGCTAGGCCGCTTTGGCGGTTTGGACACTCCAGGTGGAAGTTCAGTCCAGTTGTTTTTCTCCTCGCACCCCAGAGAACGTATCCCCCCGTGGTTATGAAGATGTTGATGATGATGGATATGATGATGATGCTGATGTTGATGATGATGGCGATGGTGATGGTGATGGTGATGGTGATGGTGATGATGATGATAATGTGATGGTGGTGATGATGAGGATGATGATAATGATGATGGTGATGACGATGATGATGATGATGATGATGATGATGATGATGATGACGGTGATGGTGATGGTGATGATGAGGAGGAGGAGGTGGAGGAGGAGGAGCATGGAGCATGGTGAGGATGATGGTGATGTTGCTGTTGTTGATGATCACGATGACGACGATCATCATCAGCATCAGCATCAGCATCAGCATCGTCATCATCGTCATGTTCACCATCCCCACCATCATCATCATCATCATCATCATCATCATCATCATCCTCATCCTCATCCTCATCCTCATCCTCATCCTCACCACCGGTAAGACCAACAGCAACATCATCAACATCACCAGCATAAGCATCAACAGCATCGGCATCATCATCATCTCCACAATCTCCTTCCCCCTCCCTCCCGAGAGCGCCTTCTTCAGGCAGCGGCCCTCTGGGCATCCGGGGAGCGGCCAGGGGCAGGCCCGAGGACCTGTGAGCCCCAGGCCCTGCACACGCGCACGCCACCTGCAGGCACGCCGCCGGAGCACGGTCGGACCGAGGCACGAGCTCGAGGCAGGTTCGGGGCGGGTGCCCTCGCGTGGCTGTCGCCTGTTGGGTATGATTGTGCGCATCCTTGGGGAGGGTACCCTTCGATTTCAGCGATTCTTGATCTTGCATCTAATGATTCTTGGCAGGATATTGGAGCACAGTTTACGCAACACCACATGTGAATTTCTGACCGGGCCTCGTTTTCTTCGTCGTCGTCCTCCTCATCCTCCGCTGTTTTTTCCTTTGCCGTAATGGCCGAAGCTCCGGCGCCACACCCGCAGCAGCCTAGTTTGGTGCCAATGCGCGGGCTGTCCTGTCCTGTCTTGGGGAGGGTACTTTTCGAATGTCATTGGGCTTGGCCGGCGGAGGGTCTCCTGTTCTTGCAGGGGATCAGATGGAGGTAAGTTCTGGGAGGGTGCCCTCATGTTTTTGTTTCGTTCTTGTTGTATGTTCTTGTGTGCATCCCTGGGGAGGCTGCCCTTCGAGTGTTCCTCGGCCTGGCCAGCGGAGGGCCTGGTGTCCTCGAAGGCTGCTCCGCTGTCGAGTAGGTCGACCGTACTGCGTGGGCTCTGCCGCCGCCGCTGCTAGCATGCCCCCCTGAGCGCCTGCCTCTGGAGGATGGGGGGGCGCTTGCCCCCAGGTTCGGCTACAACTCCTGGGAGGTCAAATTCTGATTTTACACTGGTCCGAAAGCCAGCTCAATCGGGTTTGATCCCGCTTAATCCCGCTGAATCCCGAGCCATCCCGCTGAATCCCGTTTAATCCGAGGCCCTTTTCGGGCGTAACAGCCTTCCATGGGGCTGAATCCTCCTCAGTCCTTCTGACGAAGACCTCCCAGCAGTTGCCTCCCAACCCATGCAGGGGTGCCCGCAGTGTCTGCGTTGCGGTCGGCTCGTCTGCCTCGCAGCCAGCTGCCTTCGGCCCGTGCGGTGTCGGGCTGTGGCGCCGCTGCGCCCGCTTGTGCTGCGCCCTGCCCGTCGGGCTAGGCCTCTGCCATCGATTCGGTCGTTGTTCGCTTGTGCTGTTGCCGCGGGCTGCCGTGGCTCAGCGGGTGATATGGCACGCTCCAATACTCCCAAGATACCCAGATTTTCTACGGTTCCGCGGGGGCCCCAGATGACGCGGGCCGTCAGTTGCCCCACGAGTCTCGGAACAGCGCCGCTCGCATCAGGACGTTATCGCCCCAGTTGGCTCCTCCCCACCCCCCCGGGGGGCACCCTCCCCCCCCGGCGATGTCCGCGCCGGAGGTGATCCACGGCGACCTGAAGCCAGACAACGTGCTCCTGTCCATGTCGAAGATGGAGATCAAGGTCCGACGAAGGCGTCTATACACCACCACCGTGCCAGGCCAGGGCCATCCTGGGCCCTAGGATGGTGTATAGACCCTCCTGGCCTTGGCCAGGAGGGCGTATATCAGGAGCGAAAGAAGGACGTACATGTACATGACTCCGAGCTGGTTTCGAGAGCACGCATTGCACAAATGTTCGTATAACGCGGCCGGTCTCGCGAATCGAGGGGCCGTGTTCATGTACATAGCTGGGCGCGTACGTCCGTTGTGGGCTCCCTAGTATACACCATGCCAGCGCTCGCCGGCGTGGCGCCGCGCCCTGGACCCGCCTCGGCGTCGGGCGCACGGAGCCACAGCGGCGCGGGGGGGTGGGGCCTTCTGCAGCGCCCCCTGCCAGACTCCGGGGGGCCGAGAGAAAACCGTGCAGGGTGATAAGCCGGCCCCAGGGAAGGGGTCGTCGCCGGGGGGGTCATACTAGTGGAGCGAAAAATAGGAGGGGGACCGAGGGGGAGGTCCCTAACTGGGCCCCCTGGCACCCCGAAGTTGCATGAAAGGTGAGCCTCCGCTCACACCACCGTTTCCTGATCCTCCATTGCGCCCCGAAAGATCCGACGTCGGAGGAGATGGGATGTCGCCGTGACTGGCCCCGCCGGAGCTGCCGCTGTCATGCAGTAGCGGGGTACTGAGGAAAACGGGTCTCGTGAGGAGGCGGGGTGCACGCAGCGAGGTGTGAGGAGGATGGGGGGTCTTTAGATGATGACGGGATGTGCGCTACGACTTGAAGAGACGTGCGATGGACCTGTCCGACCAAGAGAGCAACATTTATCAAACGGGGGGTCCCAGGGGGAATAAGCTCGGGATCGCTCCGTGGTCAAGGCCTGGCGAATGACGGAGGATGGCCATTCCGCAGGAGGCATCCCCCCAACATTGAGATGGTTCAGGATATCTTTAAGACGCCGTATGTTAAACATGAGTTTCTGCCGTATACATCATCAAAACAAGGAGATCATGAGATCGTTCGTGAAACCTTATTATGCTCAGAAAGTGAGCCCTCGCCTGAGACCTCCTCAACAAATGAGAGGTTGGAAGAGCTGTCTTTGGACAACATTTGGGAGCTCTCTTGGAGGATCATCTAAGCATTGCACTCGGACAGGCAACGTGATGAACACACACATATGGTTTTCACATGCTTAAACTCGAAAGTAAACTTTTCGCTCGAGATCTTTACAAACATCGAGTCTATAAGTTCCGCAACTACCTGTTTTCGATGCAGGTCATGACGGTATTGTTGATGCTTATATTGCTAATGATGTTTATCATGATGCTGGTGCTGATGATGGTGATACTAATAATGACGATCGTGGCAATCGTGAGGCTGGCGATGACGGAGGTGGTGATGATGGTGTTGTTGATGATGTTGATGATGATCATGATGATGTTGATGATAATGATGACCACGATGATGATGATGATGATGATGATGATGATGATGATGATGTTGATGATGATGATGATGATGATGAGGATGATGACGCGGAGGACGAACAGTAGCGGTGCCTCTATCGTGCGATGCCATCTGCTGCACGTCAGGGGTTTTGAGTTCAGCAGGGGTTCGTCCGACGGGTTGGAGTACTGTTGTTTCCTGAACTTGCGCGGGTAGTGAATTGCACCTGGTGTTTGCGGAGGGGTAAGGTCCCGGGGAGCAGGCGTTTCGCCCGAGAGGTCATCAAAGATACCGTCGGGCAGGCTTCAGAACAGATCCAGCTATTCTGCAGATGCTGCTGATGATTGTGCTGATGATGATGATGATGATGATGATGATGATGATGATGATGATGATAGCCGTGGTGGCGGTGATGATGACAGTGATGATAGTGTTGGTTATGCTGATGCTGACGATGATGCCGATGTGGTTCAGGACGATGGAGATACACTTGAGTGGCTACACTTTGATTAGTCGCGCGAATGTGTGTGTGTGTGTGTTTGTGTGTGTGTGCTTGTGTGTATGTGTGTGTGTGTGTGTGTTTGTGTTTTTTGTTGGGGACGGCCTGCGCGCACGCAGTGTACGGCGACCGGAGAGGGCGCCACGCGGACTAGCAAACAGGCTAGTCGGTGAGGCGCGCCCCGCTGGTGGGGTGCACACCTCGGAGAATCAGGCTTATCCGACGGGCTCTCTCGTCGCCTGCTGGGCCCTTCAGCGGCCCCTTGCACGCTTCCCCGAGAGAGCGAACACAGTCGAAACGGATTCGTGAATACAAGTTGCACCGCCGACAAAATCTGAAGCCGTGCACTTCGTCCAGGACATGCCCGACTGCGAACGCCGCTGCCGCTGCCGGTCCGCCGTCGCCGCAGGGGGCGGCAGGAGGGGGCGGCGGCGGCACGGGCGGGGCCGGGGCCTTGGCGGCCGCGGGCCGCCTCGGGTGGGCGGGACCTGTAGCGGCGGCCGCGCGGCGACGAGCCACGGCGTCCAGGAATACTTGAGCAGCACTGCGGGCCTTGCCGACCAGTGGGCGAGGCTCGCGCGAGCTTGCGGGGGAGGGGGAAGCCCTGATCGTGCAGGGGGGGCGGGGGCTCATCCCAGAATGAGGACGAGTTGCCTCAGTGACTCAGGACCACGACCAGGAACACCGTGTTACATGGCCAGTTCAGCGCCACGTCTGAACTTACGCGGGTAGTGCACTCCACACGATTCACTTGATACCTTATGTGCACTGTGTGGAAGAGCGCTTATGCTACAAGTGATCGCAATGTTGGCGCACTGTCTTTCCAATATCTTCGATTCACGCGCTTCCCGTTCACGTCAGGGAAAAGTTTCAGGCACCTTACCACACAGCTCTTGGCCTTCTGCCTCCCCCCAGCGTGCCAGAGGGTACGGCGGCGGATTCTGGGGCGCGCCTCCAGCGTGGACCGGCTGTCTTCTCGAACTTGAGGGGTGCGCACTACTCCTGGAGCTTCGTGTGTGCATTCCTGGAGGCACCGTGGCGCTACGGGTATCCCCACCCGCCCATCCCGAAACGATCGCAACGGACGGGGACGAGGATGAGGAGACGGCCCTTGCGGGTCTGTTGCTGTGCGGCCTCGTGGCGTCCTCGTGGGGCGTGGCCTCTTGGGCCCCTCCTGGTGCTCGTCTGCGGCGACGTGGGGCCCTCTTAGGGCTCTTCGGGGCCGTGAGGCCTCTCGGGGCCGTCTTGGAAGCCACGTCTCCAGCGAGGGCGGGTGCAATTCAGGTGCCCCCCTCGGAGGCCGAACAATGGCGTCTTGGGGCCCTCTTGGAGCGCTCTTGTGCGCTCTTGGGGCTGCCTTGGTGCGCTCTCGGGCCTCTCGTGGAACTCTCTCTATTGCCATCTTGGGGCCATTTTAAGGCCTCAGAGGCCCATGGGAAGCCCACATGCCAGAAGGCAAACCACATTGATGAAGAAATGTGGCCTCTTGCTGTCGGAGGCTGTATCAAGCCATCTTGAAGTACTTCGGGGCACCTTGGACCATCTTTCAGCATCTGGGCATCCGGGGCTCTCGTGGAGCCATCTTCTGCCACATTGGACGCTCTAACGCCTCGGCCAAGGGGAGGGGGCAGGGGAAGGAGTAGGCCCCTCCCCCGAGCAGGGAAAGAAGGGGTTGTGGAAGAGGGGGATACAAACCTCGACATTCCACATCTGCCCAGAGGGCTGGTGGGATTACAGGTTCGCTCGAGACACCACCGAAAAATCTTCGGAGGACACTCCGAACCAGATTCATAAGGAATCGCGCCCGGAGGGCTTCACATCGACTCAAATGAGCAACAAGAGGCCCCCCAAGAGGACACAAGTAGGGCCCCAAGAGGAGAGCCCCAAGACAGCGCAAGATGACGCCAAGATGGCCTGAGTGAGCCCCCACAACCTCAAGACGCTCCCAGAGAAACCAAGGGGACCCCGAACGGCCCCCTAGAGGCCCCTGGGATTAAGTCGGGCCTGTCCCTCTACAGGAGGAATATTCAAAAATAGTAACAAAATATTCGGTGGACGTTTTTCTAATTATTGTTTAATCATTTTGGAATATTTTTGGCTATGTTTAATTCGCCCGAAACCCCCCTGTATGGGGACATGCCCGACCTAACCCTGGGATGCCCCGAGAGAGCCCCAGGCGGTCCCCGCAGCCCCCGAGTGGCAGCCTCAAAACTGCACGAGGGCCCTCCCATTCTTCCACGTGCTTCACGCTCCCCTCGCTGGCCTCCCCCTCACCTCAAGCACTGGCGAAGCGTCCTGGTGTGCCCATAGGCCCACCAAGCAATGTTCTAAGAACCGTTTGCGGTTTGCACGAAATGTCATTGTAACATTTCTTGCGGGATCTGTCTTGTTTTAACATGTCGGGGTTATGTTTTCGTGGTAGGCCTATAGGAATGCCGGGACGGTCGGTCCCTGCTCAAGGCCTCCCCCTCATCCACGCTGTCATTCTCGTCACCGTTGTCGTCGCCACCATCCTTCTCGTTCCCCCCCACGGCCCCAGTTGGCAACTTCGGCGCTTCCCCGTTCTTGTCCGACCAGGTTCCTCTGCGTGTTCCTGATCTTGCCGTGCTCCATGTAGTTGCCTGTGCAGGTTAGTGATCTGCTCTAATGGGTACATGCCGAGGAGACCTCCATGTGCGTTTCTGCTTTCATCTTCAACCTTTCGCAGACCTGGTTTTCGAATGATTCCAGTGGAATTCATTAATGAGCGTAGACTTTGTTGTCCCTTCAACTTCTGAGAAGATTCTGGAAATTCCAGGGCTGGCTTCGAGGGCGATGTTCTCAGCAAGACAACTAACCCGTTTTCCCAATCCATCGGCGTTGTCGCAATTTTTGGTTGGGCCCCGTCAAAGCACGGGCAGTGCCTAGTGCTTGCTCGACAGCTGGATTGGGCTGCTCATGGCCGTCAGGGCAGACGAGTGCATTATTCTCTTTGGCCTGGTCGGCTCCCGGGTCCTCCAGGTAGTCTATGCTCGGGAGCATCGGTGACGGGCCTCTAGCAGGTCGAATTGCAGTTTGGACTCGACCTGGATCAGCGCCACTGGATGTTCGAAGCCGAACGTGCCAATGGATTGGTTGTCCACGCCGCCTGCGTACGTCGTCTTCTTCGAGTAGTCCATCTGCACCTCGTCCTGAACTGTCTCCTGAATGATGGTGTCCTGCATGGCCATTGCCAGGTCCATGCCGATCATGCGCCTGGTCGCGCCCGTGTCGATTGTTGCGTACCTGACCATCTCCTTGTGTGTCCCGCCCACGTGGCCGTCTGATGGTTGGGACCTTTCATCGCTGTAGATTTTGTCCGTGCCTGCTGTAGTCTCAGCCGTGTCCATCACGAACAGACTGGAGTCGTTCCCCATCTGCATATTGTTGCCACCGCTGCCCGTCATTCCTCAATTCGGGCAGTCGACGGCTCGGTGTGGACCACTGCACATCAGACATTCGATGTGTCCTGTTCCTTTGTTCTGTCCTTTTCCGTCGTATGATGGCCGTTGTTCTCCTCCTTGTGGCCCAGGTGGTCGCTGAGGCCGCATCGCAAACCTGGCATCCGTCTTCTTCTGGTCTGTGCAAGCCTTCTCGGACATTTGGCCGATGCCGGGGGTAAGTAGCCGCTCCTGTTCTTACTCGCCTCTTTGATTAGTTTCTTGGCCTCCGTGAATGTCCGATGCGCGTCCTGGGTGTAGATATCGGCATCCTCTGCGTGGGCATCCAGCTCCTCGATTTGATCTTGAGCTTCTTCGTAGTTCACGTCGGCTTCTTCCTCGACTGTACCTTTGTTGAGGTACACTGATGCATCATCCTGATCTTCTTGGAAGCCAACTCCCCTGTGTTTTCGAAAGTCTTTGGTGTCCTGGCTCCTTGCCCCTTTGCGCGCCTCAGGGCAATCGGGTCTCGCGCAGCCAGGTCTCGACCTGATCAGACGCACCTCGGCTTCTCGACGACGCCCTCTGCCGCCCAGCCTGGCAGTCCTGCCACGACCGTCGCTTTCTGACTCGAGTCCAGGTTGGCATTAAGTCGGGCCTGTCCCTCTACAGGAGGAATATTCAAAAATAGTGAAGAAATAGTCTGAGGACAATGTTGTTAGTATTTTGGGATATTGTTTGAGAATGTTTCGGGCATGTTCTATTTTATAACCAACATCCTCTTGTAGGGGACAGGCCCGACCTAAGGTTTGCACTCGCCAAGCAGACGAAGCCTCGCAACACTCGTCGGGGATGGGTTCCCGAGCTCCCGTGTCCAGGGCGATCGCTGGAACCGCCTTCGTCCAGTTGCTGCGCTGGGTCTTCTTCCCCCCCGCTCCGCGCAGAGGCGGATCGACGGGCCCACTCCAAATCCCGTATTAATCGACGCCACCCCCCCCCAAAAAAAACAGACCCCCCTCCAAAGGCGACCTGATATTCCGAACCCCCCTCTTCGACGGGGCGCCTTGATAAACCAGACCCCCCAAGCTCCAGTACAGAGAGAGCGCCCTGATAAACCGGACCCCCCCAGTTACAAAAAGGGCGCCTCACAAACCCGGGCCCGGGGGACGATTAGTAAGGGGTTCGGAATAATTGCTTCTTGTTTGGCCCAGATGTCTTCTTTGCGAAGCACTGGTTGAACTTGTTGCCCACCACGTGGCCCACCTCGTCGCTCGGGGCCCGTGGGCCCGAGCTCTTGGCGAACGCCTTCGGCCGGTTGTCCGGGCCCTTCTCGCCTGCGATGGTATGAGCCGTCTCCTCCGTTCGCCCGAAATGGGTACCGAAAGAATGGGCACAATGCCCAACAGCAGTTCCTGTTCATTTTGAACAGGCCTCGCTGTCCACGCCGCCGCGGCCTGTGTCCATTCGAGACAGGAGGCCGCCTGCCCAACAGCGGCCGCTGTTGGTTTGGGACAACATTTGTTGTTGGGCATCGTACCCATTTTTTCGGTACCCATGTCGGGCGTCCAAAGCCTGTAGTCGCAAGGCCAGTTTTCTGTGCGCGCTGTTCTGGGGCAGCGCCTGCACCGAGCGAGATCCTGGCAGTTTCCTGCTCTCGGTCGACAGTCAGGGCTGATCCACCTCCGTCTGGTGTTCGTCCAGTGTCCATGCCTTGCCGCCCCAGGTGGGCACTTTCTGAGCATTCCGCCTCTCTTCGGAGTCCTAGAGATTGACACCAACACCAAGATCGGCGGTGTGCCTCCACCGAGGGAAGACGATCCTGATCTCGGTGATGGCGGTAGTATTCTGGCTTCAAGGTGACCGAAATATTACCACCAACACCGACATCTAAGATCATCATCTCCCTGTGGAAGCAAACCCCTGTGCTGGTGTTGGTGCCAATTTCCAGGCCTCCAATCTCTGTTTGCCAATTGCTCGATGGCGCCCTCTCGTCAGATTTTCACTGATGCCAAGTTTCGCACTACCAATCCAGTGCCGAATCGATGACGTGACTCCTCGATGGCATGTAACTAACCTACGTGTGATTTGGGTCTCGGTGTATTTTGGTTTCCCCAGATGCCCTTGGAGCTCAGGTGGAGCCCCAGATGCTCTAGACTCTAGATGCCCCAGATTTCCTAGGCGCTCTGGGTTTCCGTAGGTGTCCTAGACCCCTGGATGCTAGATGCGCAGGCCTCCCTTGGTTTTCTTCCATCCCGCGTGCACTGAGGTGTTTCTGTTCGGCGGTCGTCGCAGCTGGGGGGGGGGCCGCGAGAGGGAGGGGCCCCCTTTCGGTGGGGCCCCTCCCCGCGGGGCCCGAGGGCTCGACAGAGTCGGTCGCCCCGGGTCGCGCGGCGCTCTCCCGATGAGTTCGAGGTGGAGAAGGCGCAGGAGGAGGATGAGGAGGAGGGGAAGGAGGGTGAGGAGGAGAAGGAGGAGGGGAAGGAGAAGGGAGGGGAGGGGAGACTGGAGGATGGGTCGAGAACGAGGCGGAAGAGGGGCAGGAGGGGAGGGGGGAGCTGGAGGAGGAGGGGATGCCGAAGGGAGGGAGGAGGAGAGGGAGCAGCAGGAGAAGGGGGGGGGGAGCAGCAGGAGCAGGGAGGGAGGAGGCGGAGGAGGAAGAGGATGATGAGGAGGGGTTGAGGAGGAGGAGGAGGAGGAGGAGGAGGATAAAGATGAAGAGGCGGAGGATGAGGAGGAGGAGGAGGAGGAGGAGGAGGAGGAGGAACAGGAAGAGTTGGAGGAGGTGGGAGAGGATTTGGAGGAGGAGGAGGAGGAAGGAGGAGGAGGAGGAAGAGACGAGGAAGAGGAGGAAGGTGGCTGAGAAGGATGAGGATGAGGCCGAGAAAGGAGGGCAGGGAGCCGTAGCGGCCCCCGGCACAGACGCCCGGAGCCCGCCGTTGCCTCCCACCCCCTGGTGGCGACGGCCGCGATGACGACAAGGGCGACGGCGACGATGGTCGCCATGAAGTAAGCGGGTCCTGGGAGAAACGGGTCCTGAGGCTTTTCGACGTTCTTGTGTCTCGGATCTGTGGGCGAAGAGCTGGTCCGTGAGAGTGCTCCAGGGCCCAGGACCGGCTTCCCGAAGGGCCCTTCTCCTTCACATCAAGATGGCAGCGGCGGCGACGGAGCCGGCGGCAACGACCCCCCCCCCCTTGCGCCGGGGGCCGCGGTTCCTGCGGCTCGAGAGGTCTGCGACTTCGGCAGTGCGTTCGAGGTTGCGGACCAGGCCGGCGGAGGGGCCGCCCAGGGGGGGGGCCCGGGGGGAGGGTTTTGAGAGGGATTCTAAAGGGGGGAGGGCCAGGCTCAGGGGGAAGGAGGAGGAGGAGGAGGAGGAGGAGGAGGAGGAGGAGGAGGAGGAGGAGGAGGAGGGAGGAGCATCGACCCCCCATCGTCCACTCCTCGCCCACGGGGGCCCGATAGCCCACCCCGCCCAGGAGCGTGCGGATTCGCCGTCGGGGACCCATCGCCGATCCACGCGCGATATCTCGCCGATTCCAGCTTGATTCAGTAGGGGAAAGAACACACAGAAACAATTCATCGTCGACTTCCAGGAAAATATAGGAAAATATGGGAAGTGGGGGGGAAGACACAAACCCAGAAAATATGGGGAATCCTTTTGCTTTGTGTCTATTTATTTGTGTGTCCCAGGGCCCCCTTCATTGAAGTTCCCCCCCTGAGCTGGTCCCCCCCACCCCCCATATGCGTACTGTCAGCGCGCATAGTAAGGACGCGCGCCTTCATCTAGGGTACCCTTGTGTCCTTGCCTCTGCGGCCCGTCCTTTGCTGCTTCCCCTGGCCAGCCTCTCAGGCCGCCGCCCAACATATCCCAACCTCGGCCTCCAAGGGTCTCGCGTCCTTACCAGCCGTCCTTACTATACGGTTTCACTGTAGGAGTTCCCAAGAAAATATGGGAAAATCTGGGAATTTGGCGGGAAGACAAAGACCCAGAAACTAAACATATCTCTCTCTATATATATAAATATGATGATATGGGGCATCTTTTCATTTGTGTGTATTTCTTTGTGTGTCCCAGGGCCCCTTCAGCACGCGTAGGAGTGGGGGGCGTGGCGTCGCAGGCGGGCACCCGCCGCCTCACTGACTCCTCGACTCCTCGCAGGAGGAGGGCGGGGAGCCGGGCCGCCGACGGGGGCCAGGCACCGGGGCGCGGGGGGTCGGAGCGTCGCACCACGCTGCCGGCGCACCGGCGACTCGCCGCGGCATGGCGCTCGATGTATGTCGGGCGTGCCCCCCTACGGGGGGGATTGTCGACGAAAAATTTAGAAAAAATGACCCCCAAGCATACCCCCCCCAAGAAGGTACCCCCAAAAAGGCCCAAGAAATACCCCAAACATGGCCCCCAGACTATTTTTGGATTATTTTTTGTATTTTGGGGGTATTCTTTATTTTTCGTCGAAAATCCCCCTGCAGGGGGACAGGCCCGACTGAAGGCTCGATGCCCTCCGTCCCGACGTGGCTGGTGCGTCGGCGATGCCGTGCGGCCTTCTGGCCCTGATCTTTCTGTGAGTCGGGCACGTTCCTCTAGATGACGAACCAACAACACACACCCATACCCATAGGGGGGTCGGAAAGGGCTATGGGTGCGTGTTGTCGGATGGGGGTCCCCGCTCGAACGGGAGCGTTCCCCAGGGTCCGACGACACGCACCCATACCCATAGCCAGTCCTCATCCCAACGACCCCCCTATGGGTATGGGTGTGTGTTGTTGGTTCGTCACTATAGGAGGGATCTGAGAAAAAACATTCAAACAAATCGTATGGAAACGATCAGCCAAGCGCAGAGGGGAGGGGGGAGGGCTTCTTAGAAGCACCCCTGCTTCTTACAAGGCGCGGGCCTTATCTATAGATGTAAGGCCGGCGCCTTCTGAGAAGCAGCCTCCTTCTAAGAAGCCCTCCCCCCTCCCTCCACCCCCTTGTGCGCACCGCCAAAATGACTCTCGATTCTGTTTCAACTAGTTCCCAGCATGTTTGAACATTTTTCAGATGTTCGCCCAAGATCCGCCGGGAGGCTGATGCGAGGCTCCCTCCAAGCCCTCCTAAAGCCGAACGGTGCTCCTTCGCGGCTTCGGCGACCTCGAGGGCTCTGGGAAACGTCCTCAAGGGATTTTCGGGATCTTGCGGGGGGCAGCAGAGGGACAGGGCAGAGATGTTGAAGCACACGCTCGTGTCGACTCGTTCTGCCCCCTCGGGGATGTCGTCCTCGATCCTCTTGGAGGCACATCTCGGCTGCGAGCTATGGGGGGGAAGTGAGAAGGAGGTGGCCCTCTCAGAAGGCGGCGAGGCTGCTCAGAAGGCCTCCGGCCTTCTGAGAGGTCTCTTGTGCCTTGGGAGACGGCTTGAAGCAATTCTCTGAAGGCCCGGGCGCTTCCGAGCCATCTGAGGAGGCTCACTCCTTCTCACTTATCCTCCGGGCTCGCCGCCGAATAGTTATTGGGACCATCTTCGGCCGTCTTCTGCTCTCGAGGATTTGTTTTGGGCCTCGTGGCCGTCCCGACCTGGCCGCCCGGTGGCCGTCTCTCTCTCTCTCTCTCTTCCCCTCTCTATGCATATTCCTGTTCATATATTTTTGTAGGACTCTGGAGCTCATCCCTCCGCGCAGCCCCCCCCAACGAATTTCGACTCCTCGAGCCTGTCTTGCGCCTCCCTGTGGCCGTCCTGGGGGTCGTCTTGACGCCCCCCCCGAGATAATCGGAAGCGAACAAGCGAGAAGGCCGAAAGCATTGCTTTTCCAATGGGTTTCTCTGGTTTTCGACTCTCTGGGCCCTCCAGGGCCAGCCTTGGGCCTTTTTGGGGCTCGTCCGGGGATTCATTTGGAGCCGTCCTGGGGCTCTCAACGTCTCACATCCGCTTGTAAGCGAAAAGGCAAGAAGGCAAACACATGTTTTTTTCCTATTGGTTTCCATTGATTTTCAATTATTTAGGCCCTCTTCGGCCAGCCTTGGGCCTCTTTGGGGTTCGTCTGGGGACTCATTTGGAGCCGTCCTGGGGCAATCTTGACGCCTCAAGAGCCGATCGTAAGCGAAAAGGCGAGAAGACAACATTGATGTTCAAATTGATTTGTTACGGATTTTCAATTCTTTCGGCCCTCTTCGGCCAGCCTTGGGCCTTTGTGGGCCTCGGCTTGCGCCTCTCTGGAGCCATCCTGGAGCTATCTTTCGCCCCCCGAGCCGACCGGAAGCGAAAACGCGAGAAGGGCGAACATATTGTTTTTCCAGTGGGTATTTCATTGCTTTTCAAACCTCTGGGCCCTCTAGGGTCAGTCTGTGCCCTCTTTCGAGCTCGCGCGGGGACTCATTTTGAGCCCTGCTGGGCTTATCTTGATTCGATGCCTCAAAAGTCAATCGGAAGCGACAAGGCGAGAAGACCAAAACCATTGATTTCCCAACGAATTGTCACTGATGTTATATTATTCGGGCCCTCTTCGGCCAGCCTTGGGCCTCTCTGGGCCTCTTCTTGCGTCTCTCTGAGGCCATCCTGGGGTCATGTTGATTCCTCTCAAATCAATTGGAAGCGAAATCATTGCTTTTCCAATGGGTTTTGTTTGATTTCCGACTCTCTGGGCCCTGTTGGATTGCTGCTTTTCCGGGCCCTCTTGGGCCGGCTTTGAGCCTCTCTGGGGCCTGTTTTGAAGTTCTTTGGGACCATCCTAAGGCCTCAAGAGCCGTTTGGAAGCGAAAGCGCGAGACGCATTGGGGAGAAGGAGAGGGGAAGGAAGAGGTGGAGGACGAGGAGGATGAGGAGGAGGATGAGAAGGAAGAGGAAGGAGGAGAGAAGGACAATGGGGAAGATGAGGAGGAGGACAAGGAGGAAGAACAAGAGGTGAAGTAGGAGGTGGAGGAAGTGGAAGAGGAGGAGGATGAGGTTGAGGAGGAGGAGAATGAGGAAGTCAAGGAAGAGGGGGAGAGAGGAGAAAGAGGATGAGGAGGAGAAGAAAGGAGAGGAGGAACAAGGGGAGAATGAGAAAGAGGAGGAGGATGCCTTGCTTCATGTTAGCCCAACCGCTCGCCTGAGACGTATTGTCGCCTCTGGGCCCTGAAACGCCCTGACCTGGCCTCAGCTGGTGTTGTACGGTCGCTCCTGCTTAGGAATTCCTCAACCATTCCGACTTGGCGGTGGCCCGCCCCATGTCCACGCGCACGCACGCCGCTTGCATTCGAAACTACAGGGAACAAGGTGCATCGCGCGAAGCGCCACTGCAGCCTTATATATATGTATATGTATATATATATATATATATATAGATGGGACTGCTGGGGCAATCTCTCTCTTAACGCGGGCAGAAGGCCGAGCCTCCAGCGCCTTTTCCCCCTGAGGCCCCCCGGCTGGGTTCTGCTCGAAGCGCCAGAGCCCCCTGGTGGACGGCGGAAAGGATCAGCCGCGCGCAGCAGAGAGGGGTAAACCCAACTGGTCTTTGATGCTGCGCCCCCCCGAGCTTTCGGCGGGGGATCGACACTTGTCGCTCCTCCTCCTCCTTCCCCTCCCTCCGCCTCCGCCTATTCCTCCTCCTCCTCTTCCTCCTCCTCCTCCGCCTCCTCTTCCTCCTCCTCCCCCTCCCTCTCTTCCTCCTCCTCCTCCTCCTCCTCCTCCTCCTCCTCTTCCTCCTCCTCCCCCTTTTCCTCCTCCTTTTCCTCCTCCTCCCTCTTTCGCCATCTTGCTTGTTTGTCCCCTGTTCCCCACGCTTTCCCCACAAGTTTCACAGGTCCCATTAGTTTCACATGATTGCCCTGGGATAGATTAAAGACCATTCGCTGTAAGGGGGAGGACGTAGGGCTTCTTAGGATGACGCTGTTTCTTGAAATATGCGCGCCTTACTACTTACATCGACATAGAGAGTAGGCAGACTCGCAAGAGAGCACACCGGGAAAGAAGGCAGCAACGCAGCAGCATGCTTCACAACCCTGCGCCCCCGACGGGGGTCATGGTGGCTGAGGGGTCGCATTCACCTCTTCATCTGCCCATCTGCCCAGTCATCTGTTCCGGGAAACTGATTCTGCGGCACGCGCCTTCAGCACATGCACCTACCGCCACCGCTCCTCCCACCAGAACCGTGCACCCGGGGCCCTGCGCGCTACCCTTTTTGCCCCAGAAATGCACCCGCATCCTCTACAGTCAACCCGCAGAGTAAGGATGAGCAAGTTTCCTTGGTTGCCCGCGCACCCTGTCCCGTCGGCCCACCCTTGGCCGCTTTCGCTGGCGACGCCCCGCTCGCAAAGCGTCGGCATGGCCTTCCAAGGCCCTTACACCCTCATCGCGCGTCCTTCTTATTCGGTTTGATTGTCGTCTGCTGCCTGCAGCGGCACTCGGGCCAACATCGCGGCTCTTTGATGTCGTCTGGCCCGTCTTCGGGCAGCCTGGTTCCCACAGAATCCTCGCGAGATCCTGCCCCCTGGGCAGTGCGATGGGGGAGGAGGAGGAGGAGGAGGAGGAGGAGGAGGAGGAGGAGGAGGAGGAGGAGGAGGAGGAGGAGGAGGAGGAGGAGAGGAGGAGGAGGAGGAGGAGGAGGAGGAGGAGGACAACAAGGAAGAAGAGGAAATGAGGACAAGCATGAGGAGGACGACGGGGGCAACGAGGAAGAGGAGGGCGAATGCGAGGACGCGGATGAGGACGACGAGGAGGACGAGGACGAAAAGGGGGACGAGGAGGAGGACGAGGTGTAGGAGAGGAGGAGGAGACGGAGGAGGAGGACGACGAGGAGGACGTGGACGAGGAGGACATGGACGAGGAGGCTGTGGACGAGGACTTTGGCAGCCATCTGGGTGTCGTCTTCAGGCCCTCCCCTTCTTAAGTTCAACAAAGGCGAGAAGGCATACCGTATGTGTTCCTTAGGTGTTTGACAGATGTTGGCCTCTTGAGGGGGTGTCCTGAGTGGCCCCGAGAGCATTTGGAACCGTCATGTGGCCCTCTTTTTGGGGTCTCTTGGAGCACTGCTGGAAGCCATCTCTTGCGATCTTGCACTATCGTGAGCCTTCTTGGAGGCCATCTTGAAGCAATGGAGGCCCTCTTGGAGCCAGCTTGGGCGAAAAAAGATCCCTCTGACACTTCGCGCCCCCCATCAAAAAAAAACTCAGGGAGGGTAGGGGAAGGGTACCCCTCCCCGAAGGGAAGAGGTATTCCGAAGAGGACTGACCAATATCGTTAGACCACCTACGCCCAAAGGACTGGTGAGATTTTCGGAGATCTGGTCGGATTTCAGGGTCGACGCTGGAACCCCCTGGCGGCGCCGCTGGCGCTGCCTTTGGCGTCCAGCGTCGACCCGACAGATCCGCCCGGACTTTGGACAGTGTATGCTTATGCCGTGTGCTGCGCATGCGCCGGGGCCCTCGGTTTCTCTGACGCCCCTCGGGTGTCTCTGGTCCTCCCCCCTCTGCCCCACGGCTGCTGCCGAGATCAAGACCGCGTACATGCAGCCGCGCTACTACCGCGCGCCCGAGGTCATAGTTGGGCACGCCGCCCGCTCGCCGCCCCCGCGCGGGGTGGGGGCAGGGCCAAGGGAGACGGGCACCACCAGCAGCGCTCGGGGCCAGGGGCGGCCCTCCCGGTGGTGTGGTCCCCCTGCCCCGCTCGAGGCGTCTCCAGCCTCCAGCTCGGTCTGGCATCGTGGGCCTCCTCACCGGCGGTGCCCCCCTCCTGGCGGCGGTGGTGCCGCTTCTCCTTCCTGCCGGGGAGGACGGCGGGAGGGGCAGGCGTTTCTGCCTACATGTGGCCGCTCGCGCACCGTGCTGGCGTGGGGGGCGGTCCTGCGCACGGCGCCGTCTGTCCAGCGAGCCGCCGCTGCCGGGGAGTGGTTCGGCACATGTGGCGCGGGAGTTGCGGGGGCGTCGATGCACGCAGGCGGTCTCTCGCCTTCTAATTATCCAGGAGATACCCGCCAAAAAGCCGATGGCTTAGACAGGGAGGCTCAGGGATGCAGCCCGCCAGGGGTTGTTCGAACGCACCCCGCGCCCCATCAACGCTGGGCCACATCTTTTTCGCACGCCAGAAGTCCCACTGAGTCGGGGGGGTGGGATCTAGAGGAGGAGGAGGAGGAGGAGGAGGAGGAGGAGGAGGAGAAGGAGGAGGATCGAGATTCTGGTCGGGAGGCGCACCCGGGAGAGGTCCAGGGAGTGGCGGCATCGGTACCTTTTGGCTTCCCCCGTGGCTGGATTGGTGGTGGTGTGGCCCCGTTGCTGCCCTCGCCATGTGTGCTTCGCGCGGTGCCCTCGCCCTGCGGCCTCGTCTGGGCCTTTGTGGATCTGCCGGGGCTCCTCCTGCTGCTCCTCCTCCTCCCCTCCTCCTCCTGCTGCTCCTCCTCCTCCTGCTGCTCCTCCTCCTGCTGCTCCTCCTCCTCCTCCTCCTCCCCCTCCTACCCCTCCCCCTCCTACCCCTCCCCCACCGCCTCCGCCTCCCCCACCGCCTCCTCCTTCTCCTCCTCCTCCTCCTCCTCCTCCTCCTCCTCCTCCTCCTCCTCCTCCTCTTTGGGCGTCGCCGGGGCCGTTTTGCGGCTCGGCGGTGGCCCGAGGGAGGCCTTGGGGCCCGTGCGGGCGGGCCTCGGGCCGTCGATTGACGAGGAGGAGAGGATGAGGAGGAGGAAGGACACGCGCAGGGCGAGGGTGGTGGACGAGGGCGGAGAGGAGCAGGATGAGCGGAGGAGGAGGAGGAGGAGGAGGAGGAGGAGGAGGAGGAGTTGGAGGAGGAGGTAAGATAAGACGAGGGCGGACGGCGTCCAAGAAACCGACCGCGAGGATAAAACGGAAACAAATTAAACCGACTCCTCATCCTCCCCCGCACCCCGACGGGCGGCCTCCAGCTCCCAGAACGGGAGCGAGTCCACCGTGAGGCCGAAGCGGGCAAGGAGAGGCCCTCGCCCCATGGGAACCTGCCAAGGCGGTCCCCTGGGGAAAACGGCTCTGGAGGCTGGCGCCGACACACGCGCCTGGGGACGGTCGAGAATAGCCCTAGCCAAGTCCAGGAGATCTCCAGGGACGGGCCTCTCGAGACAGCTCACCCTCCAGCCTTTGTACTTGCTTAGCCACCTGGGGAAGAGACCCGCGAGCAACCGAGATCGCTGCTGCTTGAGCCCCTTCCCCGCATTGTGACCGTGACATTCGCGGACAGCGAGCTCCCTGACCCCGCCCCACGCATACGCCCCACACGAAATACAGCACACAATACGTGGGGCGGAGACAACGGAAGCTCCCGTCTGATCAAAAACATGGCACACACGCAGGTTATGCAGAGACAACCTCATCAAAATAGTAAGCTCAGGGTCACACGGCCCCGCCTGGGCAGTGGCGGAAAGCACGGCCCTGAACCGCACAGACACGGGGGGAATGGGGCGCTCAGGGGGGCGGCCCTGGCGAGGGCCCGAACCAGGCACCAGGCGCTTATCAGGCAGGCCCTCCGAGTCCACCCATCCCCTCTCCCGCATCAGAAGCCCCTGCCGCCCAACCCACTGGCCCAACTCCCGCCCCAAGAGTCTTAAACCAGCGATTTCACGGGCGGCCTGCTCGACCGATGGATGCTGACCTGCCCCTCGCTTCGCGAGGGCGTCGGCTATGGCGTTAGCCTTACGCTCCCAGTGAGTGGTGACACCTCGCTCCACATCGCCCTCCGTGCAATGGGCCTTCGTCTTATGGACAGCCAGCCCACCCTCGAAGGCCGCATGCACAGAGGTCCACATGTGAGCCTGGCCACAACGGGCACTCGTGGAGCGAACTCTCGACCGAGCACAGGAAATCGTAGCAGCACAATCAGTCCAAACGCCCTCGGGGTCCAAAGCGATCTGGCCGAGCATCTGATACGCATAATCCTCGCCATCCTTGGCGAGCTGGAGAGGAGCGACATCCCACGGGACGGGGCCGAAAGCTCCAGAGATCATGGCACCAGTGTCATCGACCGAGATCACCGCCCACCCTGCTCTTCTCAGGAGCGGGTCCGAGGGGAAAATGGCCGAGCCGTCGGTAAAAAGTTTGCCAGACAACAGGCCATCCTCGGGCCTTCGAATCCAGAAGACCTGGCACCTTTCGGACCCAAGAGGCGGGGGGACCAGCTCCCTGGGAGACGGGAAGATGCCCGAAGCAAAAAACTCCCCAGGGTCGCCCCGCTGCCGAATTAGCTCGGCTGCAGCTAACGCTTCATCCGACAAGAAAAGGGAGCGATCAGCAGCCCAAGCCTCGCAGACAAACCTACGGTGGAACGTGGTCCCTGGGGCCCCCATGCACAGCCTGCAAAGGTTGCACGACGCCAAGCCGTGCCGCTGCAGGCGGTCCTGGGTCCAGTGGGTCCCCGAGACCGCGGCCCTGAGAGAATTCTTATGGGCCCTGTCCCAGGCATCGTTTCTCCTGGCGAACAAAAAGTCCAGCGGCTGCCAAAACACCGGCCTACACCACGACGACGAACCCTCACGAGCCTCAAGGGCACGAACATCCGACATCTCTCTGGCAGCCTGCTGGGCAAGAGTGGCAACAATCGACGGCGAGAGCCTGAGCAGATCTATCTGCTCGCCCGTCGAAAGAACTATGAGGCGCGCCGGTCTCGCTTCCCATCCCAGATCCCCACAAGCAATCACAAACACGTGAGCAGGGGACGTCGCCCTCGACCACGGGCGACTGGTGGTGGCAAGCGATCGAACGGCGTCCTCAAAAACCGCCTGCAGGATCGTTATGCTAGGGAGTCCGTCCCAGGCAGCCCGAGCCCACTCGAACACAACCTGCTTGAAATACAACGGAACGGGATCCATGGTCGTACCCTGCTTAAACGTGCGGAGTTTTAAACCCACAGACGCCCCCTGCTTCGCAGGAGCCAGAGACAAGAGGGCCTGAGTGCGGATCCTTTTTAACTGCGACCAAGGAAGCCCTCTCACCGAGGCCCCCCACAAAGCCGAGGCCTGAGGGCCCGCTCTCTGGATGTGCCCCACATAGGCCCCAGCGCGCCTCAGAGAGCGGAGGCGCGACGACCTACGCATGCAAGTCTTGACCCTGTTGGAGGCAATGGGGGCCAACCTAGAGGAGCTCACTTGCCAATCGGTCCCCAGACTCCTAATCACAGCCTTCTTCTTGAAAGACGCCTTCCACGCACTGGCCAGTCCCTCAGCAACCCCTTTCGATGAGGCAAGAACCTGTGATTTTTTTCCGACAGCACAAGACGCAGCCTGCGCAAGCCATCGATCAGCTTGCTCCCGACGCCGCCCAGCTCCCTGACGACGTGGAGGCTCGTGCCGACGGACTGCACGCTGATGTCATCTATCACATTCCTCACCATCGACGTCGGGTGCTCGCTGTCGACGTTGGTGAGCAGGCGAAACAGCAGGACTCTCGCCAGGCACGTCGCGAGCGAGCAGCCCGCCAGCACCGTGCCTGAGGCGTGGAAGACCACGGAGACGCAGCCGTTGAAGGACACCGCACGCGGCCCCGAGTAGAGCGAGCATGCCGCTCTACAGAGCCTGGTCGAGAACTTCACAGCCTCCGCCTCTGCGAACAAAACTGCGTGACATATACGCTCGTAAAACTTATCTAAGTCCGTGGCCAAGGTGGCTGACTGCATGCCCCTGCTGCGCGCAAAGTGCGCCATTGTCTGGTGCACCCAGCCCGCTCTGTCGCATTCTCGATCTCGCACGCCCCAGAAGACCCCAGCAGCGTGTTGGTCCTCCCAGAGCTTGGCCTCCTCTCGCCGCACCTTGCCCCAGACCCCCAGGATGGAGCAGATGAGGGCGATCGGCCTTACTCCCGAGCCGTCAGGCTTGCCCAAGAAGACCATCAGAGTCGGCCATCTGTCCGAGAGCTGCGGGTCGGCCTCCCACAGCACCATGAGGTCCACGAGCCTCTCCATGAAGTCGTCGTCGAGCAGGGCGAAGGAGCGCGGGTTCACGCAGTCCACCCCGCAGCCCACCTGGTGGGGGAAGGAGCGGCACACCGCACGAACTCGCTCAGCCGACGGCCTGGGCAACTCATCTCTCTGCGCGACTGCTGCCTGGATCTGTGAGATGCTCTCCTTGGCGTCTCCCCAGTACTGCAACCAATCCATGTGCATTGCCTGCACGGCCGCATCCCCTTGCAGCGCCCAGCCCTCAGGAGCCACTGGCCCTTTCACCTGCGGCAAGTCCTTCAGGTACCTGTGAGCACGACGGCCACCAGCTTTCACCGCGGACTGGGCCCACTCTCTCCACTCCTGCAGCTGCACCTTTGCCGCCGCCTGGGACGCCTCCAGAGCCGCTTGATGGACGTTGGTCGCCAGGGTGGCCAGGTCCTCCCCGCCCGCTGCCGCAACGCTGCGCAGCGAGTGCAGGTCGAACTCCACGATCTTGACCCCCGTCAGCGTCGACAGGTCGAGGTGGTCCAGCTCCTCCAGCAGGCGAAGACGGGTATCGCCTCGGACACGTCCCTTGCGACCATGCTGCCTTCCGACCTGGCCCCTGAGACGCTCCCCTGGTTTAATGCCTTGGCCACCTTCACGGCCCAGGGGGTCTGCAGGAGCCAGGTCTGTCGACGATTGGACCTCAGCTCCAGCCGAACAGACCTCGCACCCAGGCATGGGCCTCCCCGACTTACAGGCCGCAGCAGCAGCCAGCGGCGTCGGCCCCGAGTACGGCGACGTGTAGTCAGGCAGGACAAAGCCCATGGATCTCAGGGAAAGCGACGGACCCTCGGTGTTGAGCCCTTCAACGCTGGGCGCCGCTGGCCGCTCCCCCGTGTGCGCCTCACGTCGATCGCAGGCACCACCTGAGCACGTGGAGGACGGATGCACAGCTGCCTCAGTTGGAGGAGGAGGAGAAGCGGAAGGAGGAGGAGGAGGAGGAGGAGGAGGAGGACGAGGAGGACGAGGAGGAAAAGGACGAGGGGGCAGAGGAGCAAAAGGAGCCGCAAGCACATGTAAAAGCGTGAACGATGAAGAGAGAGGGCGAGCAGCAGCAGCGGCAGTAGCAGTGGCGGCGGTCCCGCCAGGCACACCTACGACACGCAGGTGGACCTGTGGAGCCTGGCCGTGACGCTCTTCGAGCTCGCCTCCGGCAAGATCCTGTTCACCGGCAGGCCTCGCGCGCTGCGGCGGGAGGGTAGGGGAAGAATGACATAAGCTCGAAATCTCGGAGGTCCGCGCAGATTTCTGGGATCGGCGCTGGACCCTCCTCCCTGGCGTGCTGGCGCGCGGAGCGCGCCACGGGAGGCGTTGGAGGCGCCGCCAGGGGGCCTCCAGCGCGGATCCGAGACATCCGCGCGGACCTCAGAGGTTTCATGTTTATGTCATTCTTCGTTTCCTTAGAGGGGGGCAGGAGCATGCGCCATGAAGAGGGGGGCCTGGAGTCCAGGCCTCCCAGATGGGGTCGGAGTAGATGGGGTCGGAGGTTCGCGCCGTATCGCTGATGCATCGCCGATGCGGCTCGATGTGGAGCCCGACTTTTTCACGCCGACGGCGCCGAGGCATCGACCACACCGCCGATGCACCGCTGATGTATCAGCGATGCGGCGCGATCCTCCGACCCCATCTGGGAGGCCTCTCTATATGGAGGGGAACATGTAGCCGAGGAGGCGCAGGCAGGGATCCAGGCGCGCAGATGCGCGAGGGGACTCGCTGCCGTCCAGAAGCGGCGCGCTCCGTCGCTGAGTCGGTCCGCGTTGACCGCACGATCTGGGCTGTGCCTTCACCGGGCCGTGGATCTGGCGCCCGTGCGCCAGGTCCACGGCTTCCCTAGTCCACGTCAGCGCTGCAGCGCTCGGCATCGCTCGGACGTGTGCATTTTTCCTTCGGCGGGGACCATCGAGGAGCATCCTTGACCATTTGGCGAAAAAGCCACGCACGAAACCGACAAAAAAGCACAGGGAATGGACGTCCGAGCGATGGCCAGAGCGGGAGTCGAGCAGTCAGAGAATAATCACCCAGACGAGTCGATGGAGGAGATTTGCACGGGGTCGCTCTCGACTTTGGGTCTCGGTGCAGTCCCGTGGTGGTTTCGTGAGTCGACGCGCGTTTCGCCGATGACATTTGTTTTTTTCCCAACTTTCCTGCGTCGCGTTCTCGGTGTTACTCTGAGCACTGCGGTCGCGACCTCCTTCCCTCCCGTCTCCCCCCCCCTCTCCTCCCTATTCCTCTTATCTCCTGCCTATCACCGTGTGCCTTCCTGCCTGTCAGCCTGCCTCTTACGTCGCCGTCCTGCGCAACCGCGCCATTGCTGGATGGGGCTGCGAACAGCGAAACTGTCGCCACTTTCGAGGGCTGCGGCGGGTGTGCAGCATAGTGGGTACCAGGCGCCGATTTAGATTCGACCTCCCCAGCCCTGGGGCGCTGCGAACAGCAAAACCGTCGCCACGTTCGAGGGCTGCTGGGGGGCCAGCGCAGTGGGTACCAGGCGCAGATTCAAATTAGACCTATCCGTCCCTGGGGGGCTGCAAACTGTGAAACCGTTGCCAATTTCGACGGCTGCTGGTGGGCCAGTCCAGTGGGCACCAGGCGCAGATTCAGATTTGTCTTCGCCATCCCTGGGAGCTTGCAAAATGCAAGATTGTCGGAACTTTCGCGGGCTGTTGAGTGGGGCAGCATAGTGGGTACCAGGCGCAACATTCAGATTAGACCTCTTCATCCCTGGGGCGCTGCGAATGCGAAACTGTCGCCAAGTTCGAAGGGTGTTGGGGGGGCAGCACAGTTGGTGCCAGGCGCAGATTCAGAATAGACCTCACCATCCATGGGGGGCTGCGAATTGCGAAACTGTCTCCACTTGCGAGGGTTGCTGAGGGGGGAGATCATAACTAGTGGGTACCAGGCGCAGATTCATTTTTGACCTCGCCCATCCCTGGATGGCTGCGAACAGACAGAGTGTCGCCACTTTCGAGGTCTGGGGGGGCAGCATAGTGGGTACCAGGCGCAGGTTCAGATTTCACTTCGCCATCCTTGGGAGGCTGCCAAGTGTGACATTGTCCCCACTTTTGAGGGCTGCTGGGGGGGGGGGGCAGCACAGTGGGCACCGGTTGCAAATTCAGACTAGACCTCGCCAGCCCTGGGGCGCTGCGAACAGCGAAGCCGTCGGCACTTTCGAGGGCTGCTGGGGTACCTGGCGCAGAGTCAGACCAGAACTCGCCAGCCCCGGGGGGGGGCCGCGAGCAGCAGCACCGCCGCCACTTTCGAGGGCTGCTTGGGGGGTGGGTCCACGCGGTGGGCGCCAGGCGCAAGTTCAAGTTAGACCTCTCCGTCCGTGGATGGGTTTCGAACTGCAAAGCTGCTGCCTGCTTCGAGGGCGGATGCGGGGGCCAACGGAGCGGGTACCAGGGGCAGATTCGGATTGGTCCTCCCGAAGTCTATCCCCGGGGGGCGGCTGGGCGAGGACGGGTTCCAGACGGGACGCACGATCGCGTTGTATTGGGACACCGTGGTTCGGCGGATGATGATGCGCGCGTGGATGGACGCAATGTCCTTCGAGCGGGTGTTCTACCTTCTCCGGGCTGCGGGTTCGTCCCCGCTCCCGCTTCCCCGCGACATGGGATGCTTGTGTGTGCAAAGTCAGAGCCTTAATTTAGTCATCAACCTCGCCCTTTTCTTGGCGTGATCAACCGGAGAACTCCCTTTCTCTCCGCTTCTGTCGGGGCCTAAGAGACGGGGGTCAGTGCAAACGGGGGTCAGCCAGAGCGCCAGATCCTGCAGGATCCTGCGAAGGCCCCCTCTGGCTGACCCGGGTTAGCGAGCCGCTCGAGGCCTCGAGGCGGCCGCTCGTATTGGCTGACCCGGGTTTGCGAAGACCTGTGTTGCAGTTTGTTTTCTTGCATTGCAGTTTTTGGTTCCCTGCTCACCCGGGTCTGGACTGACCCAGGTCAGAAGATCCCCGATTGTGCTCCTCGGTGCGCCGCTCGCGTCTCCTCCGGCTCTTATCTTTCGCCCTCCTTCTGTATCCTTAGCCGCTCCCTGCTCCAATTGTCCGTCATTCGCTTGGCCCCGGAGGTGGCCCTCGAGCCTTTGGCATCGGACTTCCCCTCTTCTCTTCTTCGCCCCCCCCCTACGCGACTCTCCAGACCGTTGCGCCCCCCGCGAAAAAATCGCGAGAGTCCGGGCCCGCCCCGAACAATTCGCGAGAGTCCCGCGAAAGATCGCGAGAATCCTTCGCGCCGTGCGCTGTCCTCTGAGGCGCCCCCCGGGCTAACTCGCCCCCGTGGAACCCCCCTGGACGACTCGCGAGGGTTATTCCCGCGCGAGACCACCCCGGGCGACTCGTGCAGGAACTGAGCGAGACCCCCCTGGGCGACTCCACTGCTCGGACCGACCCCCCCGGGCGAGTCGGCCCGTCCTGGAGCCCCCCCGGGCGATCCAGGACCCCCCGCACCGTCCCAGGCGAGCGGGGGCGCCTACGGGAAAAGCCCCCGCCTAAGCTTCCCTTTTTGAGGGAACTCTGGCGGGGGCGAGCCGCGCCGGGGTGGCAGTCGAACCTCCCCGGGCAATCGACCGCGGCAGATCCTCCCCACATAAGGAAACAAAAGAAAACGCAAAGAAAACAAAACAACATAAAAAAGCACCGGGCGGATCCTAAACAAAAAACACAAACACACAAACAAATCAACCACACAAACGCACACAACAATGATTAAATTATGGCTCGGACCTTGCACACCTAAGGATGCTACCCCTGCGCGTGGGCATAGGTCTATAGGATCATGTTGATTTCACAAGGGTATCGCCAAGGACGCCGACGTCGAAGTCGCCCACGTGGGTGTCAATCCGAAGGGTGAGGACGAGGTGGGGGCAACGAAACGCGAGCAACGTCCGGCGAGCCTGCGGCGCCTGCCGCACGGCGTGTGGGCGCGCATGAACAAATACAAGGCCACCCCCAGCGGCAAGAAGCTAGCGGAGCTCGGTCGCAGCATCGGCGCCGCGAGCGCGGCGGGCCTCGTTGTCATCGAGCCGCAGCTTTCAATCCCGATCGACTTCAGCAAGCAACAATATGGTCACGCGCGCCGGCCCAGACACTCCCGACGGGCCCCATGCCGAGGTCCTGACGTCCAGGTTGGAAGGTCAAAGCGGGGGTCGGGCGCGGGGCCCCGGCAATGGTGTCGGGCCGTGCATGAGTGATGCATCCTCGGTTGCTGTGTTCGGCGAGAAACCTATTTAAGCTCCCCGCCTGCGCCCATGCGCGAGACTCGGTGGTAAACGAAGCAAGGAGGCGGGGGTTTTGGGAAAGGCGAGCAAGGCAACGTGCGTTGAGGGCGCAACAAGGACATGCTGGAACCAACGAGCGCGATGAGTTGAGTGTCGAAATCTGCCCAGCCAATCTGACATGCGGATCGCTGCGCCTCTTTTGGTCTTGAATTCGCACGGCGGGGAAGAGCCACATGTGAATTTACATTTTGGGGAACAGTGAAATTCGATGTCACAGTTTGGGACAGACTTCAAATACGAATTCTCAAATTGGAACTTGCTGTGCGAATAGTTAGGAAAAAAGGGCCAGAATGTGAATTCAAATTCTGGGAAACAGGAGACTGTGAACTCGCATTTTGGACAAAAGGAAAATGTGAATCCACATTTTGGGAGAATCGCGGGGCCCATTCCAAATTTGTCTTTGGGCTCGACGAGTCATCGTTTGGGAACGTACGCGATCACCAATCGCACAATCAAGACGCAGTTGCGCCCTACTTCGCCGCCCCAAGCGCGATATGCAAGGACGCCCGCACGGATGAGCGATAATGGATGGACGGCCCGGGCAATTCGCGGGCACGAACGACTGGCCCGCCATGACCGCCAACATTGGATGCCAACATACATGAGCGATACATACATGGGCCATTGAGCCCCCATTGAAGACCCCCTGTCGCAGACCCTTTTTCCATCCTCCAGCCAGGGCTGGTCAGTGCTTGAAAATGCGCGGCGGAGTCATTGTCGGCGCCGTGTTCAGGGCCGAGAAGAACATGGACGACCTCTGGCAGCATCTCTACGCGATGACGGCGGTGGACAACCTGCTGGTGATGCGCGACAGCGGCCTCGATTCCCTCGTTCGCGGGCCACCCGCAGTCTTGGTGGCGCACCTAACGATGCAGGACGGAGGCAGAGAACCTGGCGGGCGAGCTCGGTTTCGCCTACTGCCTGCGCTGACATTACAGAGTTGAGCCAGTGGGGCGCCAGAGCAACTCTGCGCGGACCGCGATGCGCGTCCATTGCGCCAATGGACCACAAGCGTCGCCCTTTTGTCTCTCGCCCCGCTTCTTTCGTCGTCGTCATCTTCCCCCTGGCACCGTATCCCTTACTCTGCCGCGCTGGCTGTTCGGCCCCCTTGTTATCGCGCCCTTCTCCTGCCTTTCGTTATTGCACCCGTTTCCTCCTCGAGCCTTGGGCCTCAGAGTTCGTCTTGCATTTGCAGCCCGCTGAGTCGTTCAACGCGCGCGCGTCCCATATATTTTGCGCAACCAATACTTACGACGTTGTCGTTGTCTTTGCATATCTGGGCCGATTCCTCGTGCCACTCGATGAAATAATGGGCGGGGCATGTCACATGGTATTTTTTGGACGTCGAGTGACCACGTCGCCGGGTTCCACCCGGAACGCGTAGTCGCGCGCACGAGGGGCGTCGTGGCAGTTCTCATCCAAGGGCTCTTTGTTAAGAAGGGGCACTGCGTTTCGTGAGTCTTCGAAGGGTGCGGCCTGGGGGAAGTCGCAGTGACAGGCTACGGCGTCGGAGGGGCACGTGGAACAAAACTACATCAACGTACGTTGCCGTAGCGTGCCGGAAGTCCGCGCGGGCTGCCCGAGACTTGATGTTCATGTCGTTTCTGCGTTTTTTTGGCGCCGGAGGAGAAGCAACATCGGCAACATAATCCTTGACACGTGCGCACGATTTTCTTGGATTGGCGTTCGGTGACCTCCCATCGGCGGCGCCTGCAACGCAGCCCCTGGCACGCTTCACGCGCCGGGGTGTTCAAGGCCCGTTTCAAAAAAAAACGCGCAAGCTTCCTGAATTTTGCGCGTCGGTCGTAGGTAGGATTTGGGGGACCGTTCCTTATTCGTGGCCTAGCCGAGCAACTCCTCTGAGCGAAAGTTGGTCCCAGGGTGGCCCTGGGGCATTCGACGTGTTTCTCTTGAGGCGGCCAAGACGTCGTGATGATTATATGGGAGGTGGGTATCATGGCGGGGTTTTACAATTTCGCCATATGTCATGGCCCTGATTCTGAATTCCAATGCGTCCCCTGGCCGCTAACCTTGGGCCGCTAACCTTGGGCCGCTGACGTGCCTCGTGCCATGATTTGCCAAGCGCCCCTTTTGGACGCACCCTTTCTGGACGCCGCCGAGTTTCCGCCAGGACTCTTCTTCCTCGTGCCAAGACATTGGGACGGGTTGTATCGACATCGGCCATCTGCGTTGGTGATGGCCCCTTGGAAGGGGACAGGGGAAGGGAGGACTGTGGAGAGGAGGTAGAGGGAGGATGGGGAGGGGAGGCCCGAGGACCAGCTATTTCTAGCGCGTTTGATGGTGAAGTTTTTGGGCAATTGGTTGGGACCAGTAGTAGCAGAAACATCTGGTCGCAATCCGCATGCCGCAGCTCTGCTTCGAGCAGGCGGCGCTTATATAGAATCCTGGGCCTCCTTCGATCCGCGGGCCCGCTGGAGATTCCGACAGGGCATGCCAAACCCAACGGCTTTGTGACCCACTCCTCCCCATAACGTACCCCCCTTTTCGCACGCAGCTCGCACCCAACACCGCCGGAACGCACCACTGCCTTGCATTTGGTTGCAGTTTGGCGGTGGCAGGCGCATTGTGACACTCAAGTGCGTGCGGTGGCGTTCGCAGGCAGTTGTTGTGCTGGCCAGCGTTGTGGCTCTGACGAGCATGCTGTGGTGGTCCCAGGCTGTTGTGGTGTTCGCAGGCATGGTGTGGTGCTCGCAGGCAGTTTGTGGTGCTCGCCACCCTGACGTGGTGCTCACAAGCATGTTTTGGCGTCTGTTGTGTGTTTTGGTGCTCGCAGGCGAAGTGTGCTCTTCTTACTGATGCCGTCGTGCTCGCAGGCTTTTGTGTTGCGGTGTTCCACGGGAACGGTGTGGCCCTTTAGAGCATGGGTCCGCCACCCTGGTGTGGCGCACGTTGGCTATAGCTGCATATGCAAGCAAGCTGTGGTGTTCTTGGGCGCAGCGTGGTGTTCGCAGGCACGATGAGGCTCTCGCAAGTTGATGTTCATAGCGGGGCGCTCCCAGCCACGCAGTGGTGCTCACTTGCACGTCGTTGTCGTGATCGCAGGCTTGCTTTGTGTTCGCTGGCAGATGTTGGTACTGATGCAGGCGATTGCGGTGGTGGCAGAGACTGCCTTCGCGCGCTGTTATGTAGTCGCAAGGAAGTTAGTGTCCATAGGTGTGATATTGCGTTCGTGGGCAATCGGAGTGTTAACAAGCAAAGTCTTGTGTTCGCACGTATTGTTGTGGTCGTACCTATGGTGTTGGAAGGGTATAGCATAATGTCTTGCGTACTCCCGACGCTGCTTTGGCGCTGGAGGGCTAGTGTGTCTGTTGCTCGCGGATTGCGGCGCACGCAGCCTGCAGGGGGTACTGACAGGCTCGGGCAAACGGCTGTGGAGATGGCAGCCATCTCGAGCTGCTGTGGGCATGGCACACAAGCAGACAATGAGTGCATCAACGTCACACGTCAGAGGTCCGCGCGGACTGCTCTGAACGGCGCTGAAGATCCCCCTGCCGGCGCCTCCGGCGCCGCCCCCGGCGCGCTCCGCGCGCCGGGGGGACAGGCGGGGGCCCAGGGCCGACCCGAGCAGTCCGCACAGAGCTCCGACGGCTTCGGTCCACAACGCAGCTGTGTCTTCCTGTGTGGCATGCTCCTGCTGTCCTCGCCGGCTGGTCGTCGTAGGGCTGCCGGAGCGTGTCGTGGCGTGTGCAGGGGCGGTGTGCTCGCAGGGCTGCCGGAGCACTGGCAATGCCATGCGTGCAGAGTCCTGCGCTTGCAGGCTCTTTGCGGTCGGGCACGGCCGGGCGTCCCTCGCCTTGGTGCTCAGCGGCGCATCGCGCCGCTCGCATGCATACCCTCGCGGTCGCAGGCTGCTGTGATGCAGGCAGGGTGGGGCAGACATGGCGTTTTGCATGCTCGTGGCATCGCACCTCTAGGGGAACGAACAATGACATAAACATCAAATCTTGGAGGTCCGCGCGGATTTCTCGGATCCGCGCTGGACCCCCTTGGCGGCGCCTCCGGCGCGACCACTGGCGAGCTCCGCGCGCCAAGGAGAGGGGGGGGTCCAGCGCCGATCCGAGAAGTCCGCGCGGACCTCCGAGGTTTCCTGTTTGTGGCTGTCCTCGTTCCCCGAACCTTGGTATCGCCCTGGAGCTCTCAGGTTCTATTGGTCATCGCGGGTTGCGGCGCTCCCCGCCGGCACCTTTTTGTCGGGCCTGTTCCTCCACAGGAGGAATGCTCAAACATGGTGCAAAAGTAGTCTGGGCTCGTTTTTTTTTTTTTTGAATATTTTGGACGATCTGTGGATATTGTTTGACTATTTCTAACTTTCGTCCAAAATCCGCCTGTAGGTGGACATGCCCGACCTCAGGGCACGTTTCTGGCGGCCGGCCGGGGGCAGCGCTCGACAGAGGCGGGCCGCTGCTCCACCGCGCGGGGCGCAGGTCCAACAACGCCATGCTGCGGCAGATGCTCGAGGCCGGCCTGCCGCCCCCCCCGCCCGAGAGGCCCCGGGAGGGTCGGAGGCTGCCTCGGAGAAGAAACAGACGCCCTAACCCTAACCCTAATCCTAACCCTAACCCATGAACATAACCCATGAACATAACAACTTTTTGTGAGCGTTTCTGTCATGCATGCCTCTGCCGATCGGCGCGGGCCCCCGCACCTCGCACCGCCCCCCCTCGGCCCGCGTATGTGGTGGATCTTGGCTGTTCTTGGCGCCTGCTTCGAGCAGGTGAAGTCTCCCCCAGAGGCCGCACGGTTCCAAACAGTCGCATTCAGCAGAGGTTCTGAGCAGACCTCCCCTCCCCTCCCCCCCCTTTTCGCTCAATGTCGAAACGACGAATAAAGAAACGCTCACTTGGCGCTCCGCGTGGATTTCTGGAATCCGCGCTGGGGCCCCTGGGGCGGCGCCTCCGGCGCCGCCCCAAGGGGTCCAGCGCAGATCGAATCCGCGCGGAGCGGCAACAGTTCATGTTTATTCTCCACATCCAAGGTGTGGTTCTGGTTTTCTTTGGACACCCTTCGCGCAGGAACCTCGCTTTCGCTCTCCGCCTTTCTCACGCATTCACCCCGTCATCGGTCATCATCACCATCGGTCATCATCATCATCATCATCATCATCATCACCACCACCATCATCATCATCATCATCATCATACTCAGTCACCCACCATCGTTCACCATCACCATCGGCCATCGATCATCATCATCATCATCATCATCATCATCATCAGCAGCAGCAGCAGCAGCATCACCACCACTGCCATCATCATCATACTCAGTCGCACATCACACACACACACTCTCTCTCTCTCATCACTCAACATCATTTTCCTGAGGCCTGAATATGGGCGAAGTATCAGGCGGGAGCCTCGTCTGTGACTGAACTGCGAGGAAGTCTCAGGCGGGAGGCCTCCCTCGATGGGGCCCGCACTGCATGTCTTTATTCCGAGCGGGTCATCCTCGAACCTGTAATTGTCGTGGTTTTTGGGCTCCTGAGGGCTGACTATGGGGAGAGTGTCAGGCGGGAGCCTCGTCTGTGAGTGAATTGTTAGGATTTCTGAGGCGGGAGCCCTCTCCCTATGGGGCTCGCATTTCAGGCTTTTAATTCGAGCGGGTCATCCTCGAACCTGTAACTGCACTTTTGGGCTCCTGCGGCTTTAATATGGGGGAAGTCTCGGGCGGGAGCCTCGTCTGTGAGTGAGTTGCGAGGACGTCTCAGGCGGGAGTCTTCTCTATATGGTGCCCGCACTGCATGTTTTTAAGCCGAGCGGGTCATCCTCGAACCTTTGGTTGTCGTCACTCCTGGGCTCCTGTGGCCTGACTATGGGGGAAGTATCAGGCGGGAGCCTCGTCTGTGACTGAATTGCGAGGAAGTCTCAGGCGGGAGCCTATGGGGCCCGCACTTTATGTATTCAATCAGAGCGGGTCATCCTCGAACCTGTAACTGTCCTCACTTTGGGCTCCTGAGGCCTGACTATGGGGAAAGTATCAGGCGGAAACCTCGTCCGTGAGTGAATTGCAAGGAAGTCTCAGGCGGGAGCCCCTTCCTTATGGGGCCCGCAGTGCATGTTTTTGAATCCGACCTTTTCATCCTCGAACTTGTAGCTGTCCTCACCTTTAGGCTCCTGTGGCCTGACTATGGGGGAAGTATCAGGCGGGAGCCTCGTCTGTGACTGAATTGCGAGGAAGTCTCAGGCGGGAGCCCTCTCTCGATGGGGCCCGCACTTCCTGTTTGTTTTAGTCCGAGCGGGTCATCTTTGAACATGTAATTGTCGTCACTTTTGAGCTCCTGAGGCAGGAATATCGGGGAAGTATCAGGCGTGAGGCTCGTCTGTGAGTGAGTTGCGAGGACGTCTCAGGCGGGAACCTTCTCTCTTTCTGGCCTGCACTGCATGTTTTTTTCCGAGCGGGTCATCCTCGAACCTGTAATTGTCGTCACCTGTGGGCTCCTGAGGCCTGATTATGGGGGAAGTATCAGGCGGGAGGCTCGTCTGTGAGTGAATCACGAGGAAGTCTCAGACGGGAGCCCTCTCCTTACGGGGCCCGCGCTTCAAAATTTTAATCCAAGCGGGTCATCCTCGAGCCAGTAATTGTCATCATTTGTGGGCTCCGGAGGCTTCAATATGGGGGAAGTATCAGGCGGGAGCCTCGTCTGTGACTGAATTGCGAGGAATGCTCAGGCGGGAGCCCTCTCTCGATGGGGCCCGCACTGCATGTTTTTAATCCGAGCGGGTCGTCCGAACTTGTAATTGTCGTCTTGTTGGGGCTTCTGAGGCCTGAATACGGAGGAGGTATCAGGCGGGAGGCTCGTCTGTGAGTGAATTGTGAGCAAGTCTTAGGCGGGAGCCCCTTCCCTATGCGGTCCGCACGACAGTGAAGGTTATTTAATCGCTTCGCTCATGCCGCCGGCCCTGGAGCCCTCTTTAGGGCCTCTTGGGAGCCTCTTGGGGACCTCTTGGGAGTCTCTTGGGGCTCCTTGGCGGCGTTTTGGAGGCCCCCAGGGCCTCTTGGGGGGCTCTTGGGGGTAGTCGATTGCGGCTCCCCCCTCGGAGGCCACGATCCTCGTGAGGGGTGTCGAAAAATACCCTCCCCTGGAGTGGTCTGGTGGCTTCTCCTGGGCTTCTCTCGGGACCTTGCCGGGGTACTTTTCGTCCGGGGGCCCCCAGGGGCCGCTCCGCGCGCGCGAACTAGAAATATTGTTAACAAGTTACCGGAGATCTTAGCACGCCTCTGGCCCGTTGGGCCGGCGAATTTCCAGATTAGCCGAACGGATTTTCATATGGGGTCTTTCCGTCGGAGTAATTGCGTTTTGTTGTTCTTCTTCTAATGTGGCCTCGTAGTTGAGGTCACCCGCGGGGGCGCGAAGACGACCGCGCTTGCCGCGTGGCGGTCTGGGCCAGAGCGTCTGCCCTTCTCTACAAGGGGGTGGCGCGATGCAGCGACGATAACATAATCTGATCGCGCATCACGGGGCGCGGGGGGTGAAGTTTGGCGACCCAGCCCCAGGGTGGCCCTGGCCCAAGATGCCCCCCTGGCCCGAGATGCCCCCCCTGCTTTCGGGCCAGTTTGGGACCCCGGTTGGCGCTAGAAGGCTCGAGAGGGGGGTGCTCTGGAGGCAGTCTGGGGGCCCCTTTAGGGCAGGGGCACGTCCTGGGAGAGGGGAGAGTGCATTGCCCTCGCTCGCGCTCTGCTTCTGCAGTCGGGCCGAGGTATCAGATCGAGGTTGGTTCGGGGAGTGTGCCCTCGTGTTCTTGGTGTCTGCTGGCCGTTCTTGTGCATCCTGGGGGAGGGTACCCTTGGATGGTCTGTGTGTGTTTGGGCCGGCGGAGGGTCTCTCATTCTTTGGGGATGCTTTTTTCTGGCCTTGGTCCGACTGTTCAAGCATTGGCGAAGCGTCCTGGCTTGCCTATGGACTTCTCAAACAATGTGCTATGAACCTGTTGTGGTTGCCACCAAATGTTCTTAGAACATTTCTGGCGGAGTCTGTCGTGTTTTATCACATCGGGGTTATGTTCTCAGAACATCGTTGTTGGTCTTAGGACGTTTTTGGGTTCTACGATCATGTCGTGGTAGGACTATAGGAATGCCGGGACGGTCGGTCCCTGCTCAAATTGTAGTCTCCCCTTGGCTCGAAGATTCGAGCATCGAGCTCCGAGAGTGCGAGAGTTGTTGCTCTTCTGGGGGCCCCGCGAGGCTTCTCGTCGCCACGGCTGGATTCCCCTCCAAGCCCTGGTCAAAAGTCGCCCCGGGAGAGGTCCAGTCGGTGGCCACATGCGAACCCTGCCCCACCACCCCACGCTTCCTCACGGGGAAGGTGGGGTTCTCTGCGCTCGGGAGGTCCCGAACGAAGCGAACCACACCTCGCCCCTCAGAAAACGTGGCGAGGTGGGGCAGGGTTCGCACGTGGCATCCTGGAGAGGTCCAGGGGTCGATCCCGCGTCGCCGTGCATCGAGCGGGTCCCGGGGGTCTGCCGTCGTGTTCGGCCACCCTGGGCTGTTGCCGTGCCGCGGGGCCGTCGAAGAATTACCTGGGACTCGGACTGACAGCTTGTGGGCGCTGTCTCCACCAGCCAAGTCAAAAATAGTCACGAGGCAGGTTGTCGTGATCAGGGAAGAGTGCAGTGCAAACCCCCATGCCAAGAAGCAAGCACCCTGCTTGCCTCCAGGGTGCCCTAGGTTTCTTGGCTTTCGATGGTTGTGCCATGGGAAGCGTGACGTTCCAACACCGAATATGAATGGACGTCATGAGATCTCTGGGTTGGGCTTCTTTCGGAAGGTGTCTCGTGGTCGATTTCCTTGTGTAGGGGCATGCATGTGGACCGACATGGCGGGAAGCTGCTATCTATGGAGAACGGGTTGACGAAGGAGGAGGGAACGTAGCAGGATGTGGGAGGGCAAGGGATGGATGGATGAGGAGATGGGGTGCAGCATGGACGGAAGTGGGCAGTGGGTGGATGAAGAGGGAAGGCGATGGAGGGAGAGGAGGGCAGAAGGAGAGGGAGGAGGGAAGAGGCATCGTGAGGCACGGCGGGAGGAGTGGCCCTCGACGCTGCCGTCCTCGTGGAAGGGCCGCCGCGGCACGGCGAGGGCCCCGCGGGAGCCCCGCCCAGGTGTGCGGCGCGTACCCGCGGAAGCTCGCCACCACTGGCGCCTTCTCCCGCAAGCACTTCAGCCCGGACGGTGATTTCCTCTTCAAGGAGCTGGCCGCCGCCCCGCCCTAAAACAGGGCTAGGATCGGGATAAATCGCTCCAGAGCGTTCCGGAGCGCTCTCAGAGCGTTCCGGAACGCTCTGGAGCGGCCGCGGCGCCCAATACGTCCTCCAAACCCGCCGATTCTCAGAGATTTCGAGTTATCCCGATCCGATTTTGTCCCGATCTTCGTGTCGTTTTACGTCCTCGCTTCTGCCGCAGCTTCCATACGCGAAGGCCGCGAAGGCCTAGGTCGTCGGGGTGCTGCCAGGATCTCTCGGATCGGCGCTGGGCCCGTCTGGCGGTCCCCTCCGCCGCCGCCCTTTTCGGGGGGTGGACAGAACCCCCAACAGTGACACGTCGATTCGTGAATTGTCCGCTTTCGGTCCTCGAGAGGGCGCCGTGGCCTGTATTTTCCAGGCGTGCGCCCGCCAGGTGTGGGCCTCAGGTCGTTTTCACGAAACCACGTCTTACTAAAGGGGGGGGGTCTGTTCTTCCCCGATATTTGCTCACAACGGACGTTCGAGTGTCTCGCACCTTTGTGGGGTTCAGAGTGCTCAGGAACGCTGCAATCCTCACCCTTCGCTCTCCTGCGCGTCCTGGTCCTCCCGTTCTGCCCCCTCTCCGTTCCTCCTCGTCGTCCCCCTTTCCACTTGTCGTCCCCCTTCCACCTCGTCGCCCCCCTCCGCTCTGCTCATCGTCGCCCTCCTGATCCTGGCCCTCCTTCCCCCCCTCCTCCTCCACCTCCCCCTCTCCCTTCTCCTCCCCCTCCTCCTCCTTCGCCTCGTCCTCCTCCCCCTCCTTTTCCTCCTCCCCCTCCTCCTCCTCCTCCTCCTCCTCCTCCTCCTCCTCCTCCTCCTCCTCCTCCTCCTCCCTGTCGTTGTAGTTGTGTTGGCCGTCTTTCACGTTGTTGGGTGGAGCACCCGCGTGTAATCTCTCGGCGGGATGCGGCGCATGATGAATAGCAGGAGGGATGACGCATGATGGGAAGGGGGAGAAAGCGTAGGAAGAGGAAGGAGCGAGATGAGAAGGAGGTTGGAGAGGGGAAAAGGACGGTGGGGGATGAGGAGGATGCGGGTAACGAGGAGGAGGAGGATCAAGATGGGAACAACGGGGAATTGGAGGGCGACGCCAAGCAGGCAGAGGAAGGAAATGAGAGATGCTGATGACGATGATGATGACGATGTGAGTGACGATGACCATCTAGTTACCTTCGGCCCATCCCGCCCCCGTGCCTGAGTTTGGACCAGAGGCCTTTTGGACGCATGCGGAGATCTCGTGAGGTGCCTCTTGTGGGCCTCTTGGCCTTCTGGGGGGCCTGCTGGCCGTCCTGAGGGCCATCTTGGGGGGAGCGAGTCGAAATGCCGTTGGAGTGTCCGTTCTTGGGGCCGTATTGGAGCTTTGGGGGGCCCATTGTGACCATCTTAGTGGCTTCTCGGGGAAATGAGGCGTCTTGAAACATCGGGAGCACGAAACGACGAGAACGCTGAAAGTCGGAGGTTGATAGACCTCCTACCCTGACACGTCGATTAGCGAATTGGCCGTGTTCGGTTCGTGAGAGGGCGTCGCGGCCGTCATCTTTGCCGGTCCAGGTCCGTCGGTCTCGGTCCTAGGCCGTTGCCACTAAAGGATGGTTTACTAAAGGGAGGTTCGTCCACCGCCGAGAAAGTAATTTTCAATCCAGAAGGGCTCGGTGCCCTGCGGCACGGTGGCGGACAGCGTTGTTGATGACGTCAACGACGATGATGATATTGTTGATTAGGATGTTGGTTTCAGGGGCGCTATTGATGTTGTTGATGATGCAGGGCGGTAGTGGCTAGGATTACTACGTGAGGATGTGGAGCAGGAATGAGGAGGAGGGAGGATGAGAAGGAGCAGAATGATGGCAAGGCGGCGAATACTGGCAACTATACGTAAGCCTGCTCCTTTTCCTCCTCCCCCCTCCTGATCGGCGTATCCACACTTCCTCCTCTTGCTGCTGCTGCCGCTTGTCTTCTCCCTCCTCATCCCAAGTCACGAATGAAGTTCTCTGAATTGTAATGTATGTCATTATCTGCGGCCAGACTCGCACCTGTGCAGCGCAAGTCGTATAACACAAAGAAAAGTATTCTCCCTCCTCCCCGTTGTTCCTGCCCCTAATGTTCCTGCTGCTTGTCCTCTTGATCATCCTCCCGTTCCCACCTCCCCCCGCTCCCCCCCCATCTCCCTCCCCTTGCCCCCATCCCCCCTCTGAGGGAGAGGGCGGTGATGGAAGGATGGGTGGGGGGGCGGAGGCGAGGACCAGAGCACACCCAATCTGCATCAACAATGCTGCAGTACATCCTCCCGTCACGCCTTCCCGTGCACGACAAGAAGCGGCCCCTGGAAGGACGGGGGGGGACCATGCCCGTTAGGCTTTGCCATTTAGGCGACAGCCCACTTTTGAAACGGACCTGCCCTGCATCGGGTATGATCATACAGTCCAACAAGGTGTCCTGCGAGATCCCCAATTTGAAACAGAACCTCTCCCTATCAGTGCAACTGCTGCACGGGCTTGCGTGTCTGGTCACGCGGCGTTTCGAGGGCGTCTCGAGCGAGAGCCGCATTTTGAACAGGGACCGCCCTCCCTCCTCGCAGCAGCTTTCCGTCTGTTCAGGTGCCTGGCATTGATGCCTGAGCAAGTCTCACACGAGAAAGTCCCATGTTGAGAAGGATCCCGTCCACCCAGTGACCATTGGTGCCCCTCTGCCTGCGGAAACCTCGTCGTCGCCGTTATCGTCATATCATCCTCACGTTTCCCTTCGAATGTTCGACATATCTCCCTTTCTCGTCCCCGCTCCTCCTTCTTCAATGTTCTCCCCCTTCTACCCTCACTCACTTATCCAGTTCTACTTCTCTGCTTCTCTCTCTCTCTCTCTCTTTGCCCCCCCCTCTCTCTATTTTCTCTATTTTCCCGCCTCTGCGAGGCCGCAGAGGCGGCCAGGATGGTCCGTGGCTGATGTTCCGTTGGTTCTATGCAGTGCAGGGTCGTTCAGTGTCGATTGGGCAAGCCGCGGCGTGTTTAGGCAATTCGATTTCCCGCGGTACCTATGTTACGGCAGCCGTTTGAGGGCATGCTTTGGAGGCCTGGTATATCGTATTCTTCGTCCGTGCATCAATTCAGTCGTTGTTTTCTATGTTTGGTCATGCACTGCGCATGCAGTAAGTATTGTGCATGTTAGTTTACATGACGCGGCTGTGTTTGGCAGGAGCCGAATACCATCATTGGCGAAGAGGCGTGCTTGGGATTGGCAGGAACAGTCATATGAAGCGTTGTGATCCAAAATGATGTTTACACTTGTGCAGATCGCATTTCTGCCCGAGGTTGATGGGAACGGGCAGTGAATCCCACTGCAGAGCAGGGAGGAGTATTCGGAGACGGTGGTTTTGTCGGTATCTGTTATTTCTGTTCAATTGCTATTGTGAGCGTTGATCGCCCCAGAAGTGTTGCGCTCGACTGAGTCATGATTACAGGCTGGGTTTCATTTGAGGCGTGGATGGTACGCGTAATGAGCGTTATCAGGAGGACCAGCATGAACAGGGGCTCCATGGGCAATCCGCGTAAATGTGGTGCGGGTTTTTGATGGGGACGGTATATATATTCGTGCTCATTGGGGGCATAAGTAAACCCACGCGACACGATCCGACAGCAGTTTGTCGAATTGAGGCGGGGACCGCCGAGAGGCGTGATTATTGCAGAGAGGGACGGGAAAGGCAACTCTGCAGCAGTGAAGGCCACCAGTGTGACCGGAAGCCGCTTCTTTCCCCTCTTTTTCTTTCCATTCCCTCCTCGCCTCCTCCCTCCGTTTCCTCCTTCCCTCCTCCCTTCTTTAGCGTTGGCCGCTTGGGCTTTGGGGGGGGGTCGCATGCGGCACGCTCGTTTCCTACTTCAGGCCACGGTCCACTGCATGAGTCGGGCCTGGCGAAAGGGGGGGGGTTGGGAAAGGGGGGGGTACGAAATTTGCTGCATGCAGCTGGTTTCGGCCTCACCGAGGGGCCCATTCCTCGATACATTGTTGGTACTTACAGACTGGCTCGCCCAAGGTCAGCACATGTTGTGTGCAACGGAGCTGTTTCTGAATGTGTTCCTATGTGCAACATGGTTTAAGGGAACCGTTTTTGGTCCCAACCTCTGGAACGAATTCTATTCCCCCGGGATCCTATAGTAAATTGTGGATTCCAGGAGGTAGTTTTCGCAGATGATCTTAATGCATTCAAACTGTTCGACAATGCAGTGCCCGATGATGCATTGTTTTCTCATCTGGGCGAGTGTCAACAGGAACTTCACAAATGGGGCCGGGCGAACGGTGTCACTTTCGGAAAGCTTCCACATCCTGTCTCACAGTGCTCCAGTAACAAACAGTTAATTTTGGGTATATTATTTGATTGTAAACTTTTAATGCATGATGCGATCAGTGAGTGTGGTTTCTTCCGGCGCCGGGAGGCGCCGGGAAAATCAGCTACGTGAGCTGATTCTCAAACTCCCCTTTGCTATCCCCCCCTTTCGCCCGACCCGAATGAGTGGAATTCCTGGGTTGCTAGGCGATTTTGTGAATCGCGCAGCGGTTGAGGCCGAGTCGTGGGAAGTAATGTGGTCGCGCCCCAGCCCTTGGTTTTCAAGCTGACGTGAGGGAGAAGTGAACATCGGGGCCGCAGTGGGAGCTCCTGAGCGCGATCTGCGGGAGGAGCGTGCCGACCTGCGGCGGGGGCGCAGCGGGAGACGTGCTCGTCTGGGCGGTAGCTGGAGCTCCCCGTGGGGGGGGCTCGCGATCCTCGAGAGCAGTCTGCCGACTTGGAGCTGCGGGGATATAGGGACGTAGTGTCTCACACGCATTTTTACACCGGGCGTGCGTGAGTCGGCGGTGATCTTTGCTGTTGCGTGAGCGATTCGATTGTTGTCAATTGCTTGTTCCGACAGTACCTTTCTCGGACGCGAAGCACAACATACATACCTGTGTTTCCCGATGGGACGTAAAACAACGCATATCCTATACGACCACCCTGCGGGTCATAAGGAGGTTGGGGGGGAGGGGGCAAGCAATGGGCAACAGTGGTGATTGTTGTTCTGACGATGCCAGTGGAGATTGTTGCGTTGCCGCTCGCTCTTGGGAGCCTTGGTGTCGAGTTGTTTACGTCACCCTTCGCTCTTGGGCGCTTTGGTACCAGTCCCCCCGGGAACTAATGAAATATCAAATTGTTTACGCTTCGCGAGTCCCCACCAGCCCATCGAAAAGCAGCCGCTCGAAAAAGGAGCGCTAACCGTAGGGTGGTTTCTCTTCCTTCTCCCTCTCTGTGGCTTCTTTCTTCCATCCGCCTCTCCTTCTCCTCGTCCTCGTTGCTCCTTCTCTTCGTCGTCCTCATCCTCCTCCTTCTCCTGGCGTTGCCGTGCGATCTTTGGGCTCTCTTGGGATCTCAGGGAATCGTGGCCCTGGGGCTCTCTTGGGGCTCTCTTGAGGCAGCTTTGCGAGTCTTGAAACCCTCTCGGGTTTTTTGTAGGAGTTTGGGAGGTCTCTTGGGGCCATCTTGGAGGCCATCGGGCAAAGACGGAGAGAGCATTTAGTGGTGTACCCCCATCGGGGCCAGACATATCGCCTCTTGGGGCTCTCTTGGGCCGCTCTTGGGCGCCACTTGGGCGCTTTGGGGGCCGTCTTTGGGCCCTCTTGGGCCGTATTGGCCGCCGCTTGGGCCGTCTTGGGGCCCTCTTGGGCCGTTTTGGGGCAGTCTTGGGAGCCTATTGGGCCGTCTTGGGGCGGTCTTGCGGGCCTTTTGGGCTGTCTTGGAGTGTCGGGAACCGAAAGGGCGGGAACGCTAAAATGTTTGAAACGCCCAAGGCAAATCAATGGTTTTGGCTTCTTGGGGCCCTCTGAGGGCGCCTTTCGGGGCTCTCTTGGAGCGTCTTGGGGACCTCTTGGGTCGTCTTAGCTTCTCGGGGGCGTCCTCGGGAGGCTCCGCGGCCACTTGGAGCCGTGATGTGGCGGTCTTGGAGCCGCTTGGGGCTCTCTTGGGCCGCTCTTGGGCGCCACTTGGGCGCTCTTGGGGCCGTCTTGGGGCCCTCTTGGGCCGTACTGGCCGCCGCTTGGGCCGTCTTGGGGCCCTCTTGGGCCGTCTTGGAGCCGTCTTGGGAGCGCTCTTGGGGGCCTTGGGAGCGCTTTTGGGGCCATCTTGGAGTAGATCGGTGTAAAGGAAGACGAAAGCACTTAATTATTTGCCCCCCCCCCCCCCCTCTGGGGCCACGATCCTTGTGAGGGGTGTCAAAAAAATGAGCCTCCCAGGGACCGACAAAGGACGCCCCGGCGACCCGCGGCTCCCTCTCCAGGCCCAGGGGGAGGGGGTAGGAGGAGGGGTAAACCCCTCCCCGAAGGGGAAGAAGGGGGTCGAGAACAAAGAGGACTATCTAAACCACTCACGCCCTAAAGGGCTGGTGGGATCATTTCGTTCATATTGCAAGGGTTGAACTGGTGCTTGGCGCCTGTCAAGGACTGGGCGTCAAGCTGGGCCGCCACCTCGTCAGGAGTCGAGCAGTCGTAGAGTGTCGCGGCGGCATCGGTGACCACGTCTACGTCAACCCCCTGGGTGCCATCCCGAAGACAGCAATTCCGGAGGAAGAGGCGGCCGTCCTGCGTGTACATCGTGTCGCGCTGTAGCGGCGCGTCCACGAGGCACTGGTTGATCTGAAACGTGATGGGTTGGGGGTGGGCAGTCGCGTCGGCCAACGCCACAGCTCACGTGGAGTGTGCCGCGGCCTCCATGACATTCGCTAAACCGGCACCGGAAGGCGGCACCCACTGGGCGGTGAGCACCTCGGCCGACACACTGGTGGCGCCCAAGCATGTCAAAGACTGAACCTGATCTCCCACGGTGCAGATGTGGACCCCTGGCCAGATGTTGATCTCCACCTCGCCGATCTCAAACGCAGCACTGCATCCGAGCACAGCGACGCCAGACCCCGGGCGCACGTGGGCGAAGTACTCGCGCGCCTTTTTGCCACACGGCCACCACGATCGTCTCGCCGCCAGCATCCGTGAATTCCGCTTCGGCCACCACTAGGAGGTTGCCGTTCTTAATCGCTTGCTTTGAAGTGCCGATGCCCAGGGACTTGCCGCAAACGTCGAACGCCGCCTGGCGGGTTGCACCAGTAGCATTCTCCTTGAGAAGCTCAACGGTACCCTTTATGTCCAATGCGATCTGCAGCCCCTTAGCGGGATGCGCCAACGCTTCCGGGCTGGCGGGCGGGATTCGGGTCAGTGCGAATGGATTGCAAAGCAAGACCACCAATTTCAATGGGCCGCCGATGAAGTCCGATTTGGCTCTGGTGTCGAAGCTCGGGTTCCGGAGCTCCCACGCGGAGTCGGCCATGAATTTTCTAAAAGGTTCGACTGCCGAAGTCCGATTGTGGAAACTGAAGGGCACCGCGCCGAGCATGTACTGCGCGGGCGCGTTGGACACCAAAACGCAACTGAACCTCTGTGCCTCCACTGTTTCGTTCCTCGCTGTGAACCTGTAACCAAGGACCTTCGGGTCGAGGACCTTCACGTACCACTTGGCGTACTTGGCCCTTTGGGTGTTCATGTTCTTCAGCGTCTCAACATTCTTGTCGAGCATTTCGGCTCAAAGCCTGGCCCCTCGAGTGAGGCCGAAGGAAGTGCGTTGCCGAAGTGCGTGCGTTCGCGCCCCCCCCGCGCGCCGAGTGCAACAGTTGCCTTGAGCCGAAATCCCTGAATTGTATGAGAGCTGAGGGGGGGGAGGATTCACCGTCTCACTCAATCGATCTCACAATGGACCCCACCATAGATTCCACAATCGATCTCACCCGATCGATCACATTATCGATTTCATTCGATCGATCTCATTATCGATTTCACGATCGATCCCACCCGATATGGGAGCCTTGGTGTTCATAGATAGTTGCGTTTTGGGCTCGCTCTTGGGAGCCTTGGTGTCGAGTGATTTACGTCACCCGACGCTCTTGGGCGCCTTGGCACCAATCCCCTCCCCCCACCAGGAACCAACGAAATAATTCATTAGTTCGTTCATGCTGCAAGGCCTTGGGGGGCCGATTGGGCTAGTTTTTTGGACCTCTTGTGGGGCCCATCGGGGGCCTCTTGGGAGCCTTTTTGGGCCTCTTGGGGGCCTTTGGGGGCCTCCCGGGAGCTCTTTGGAGCTCCGCCAACGTTCGTACTGGGAGCAGTGGTGTTCAGAGACTCTACAGGCTTACGCCACATCCGCCGATTCTGCGAGTGTTGCGAGGCCAGGAGTTTCTGGCCAGCGGCGTCTTGTGTGAGGGTGCGGTGTCGCGCGCGGGTGGTGGCAGATACGTAGGGGGTCCAAATGTTTGCGTGATGCCGGTGGTCTGGGGCGTGTTTTGCGAGCGCTTTGCGTGCTGTGCACCCGGGTGCGGGGCGTCCTTCTGGGAGGTCGGCCTTTCGACCCGCAACCAAGTGGAGGAGCACTGGAAGACGAAAGGAGCAAGAGTAGTGTGTGGAAGCTGTGATCAGCGAAGCATCACAGCGAAAGATGTGGCAGATGAATCGAAACGGGTGAAGAGGCTGTTGACGTTCGCAGCGTGCACGAAACAGTTCGCGCGGCAGCAGCACATTAGCGCCGAGCAAGATAGTAAGCACGTCGCGAGGAAGAGTAAGGTTGTATGCGCGGAGTGCATTGCAGTTGGCGTGACGGCTCGCAATACGGAAGCGTCTGGGGGTCTTTTGGGGGCCTCCTGGGGGCCTCTTGTGGGCTCCTTGGGGCGTCTTGGCGGTTTCTTGAGGGCCGTTGGCGGCCTGTTGGGGCGCTCTTGGGGCCCCCTGGGGCTCGTGGGGGCGGAAAGCTAGATTTTTGAATTGTTGGTTGCCCTCTTGGGCCCCTCTTGGTGCCGTCTTGGAGCCTTCTTGGGCCGTTTTGGGGACCTCTTGGGCCGTCTTGGGGCCATATTGGACCGTCGCGGGGCCGTCTTGGGGGCCTCTTGGGCCGTTTTGGGGCGGTTTTCGGGGCCTCTTGGGCCGTCTAGGAGCGTCGGAAAGCCCAGAAGGCGGATGTGTGAACATTGTACGTGTCACGACGGGAATACGTACATGTCTGCGTCCAGGGACCGTCTTGGGACGCATCTTGGGGGCCTCTCAGGGGCGTGTTGGGCCATCTGGAGGCCATTTCGGGTGTCTTCGATCGCTCTTGGACCGTGTGGGACCATGTTGAGCTCTCTTGGAAGCCACTTGGGGCGCTCTTGGGGCCGTCATCGGGGCTCTCTTGGGCCGTTTTCGGCGCCGCTTGATCCGTCTTAGCGCCTTGTTGGGCTGTCTTGGGGCCCTCTTGGAGGCTTCTTGGGCCGTCTTGGGGCGGTCTTGGGGGCCTCTTGGGCCGTCTGGGAGCGTCGGAAAGCCCGAAAGGCGAATTTGTGAAGAACGCACGCTTTACGAAGGGAACGGGCTAATTTTTGCGTCTAGAGGCCCTCTTGGGACGCATCTTGGATGCCTCTTGGGGCCTCTTGGGGGCATCTTGGGCCGTCAGGAGGCCATCTTCGGTGTCTTTGATCGCTCTTGGGCTGTCTGGGACCATATTGAGCTCTCTTGGAGGCCACTTGGGGCGCTCCTGGAGCGCTCTTGGGGCCCTTTTCGGGGCCCTGTACTGGGAGCAGTGGTGTTCAGAGATTATTGCGTTGCCGCTCGCCCTTGACTCTTGGCACAGCATACAGCACGGGAAGTCGATGTGCCCGAAGATTTGCAGTGCATTCGCTTATCGATGTGCATGTCGATTTGTTTTTCGCTTTGAACTCCGATGTGCAACGCACTTTCGGTCTCACTATCGATCCCACGATCGATCTCACTATCGACCTTACTATCGATCTCACTCGATCGATCTCACTATCGGTCTCATTCGATCCATTGCATTGTCGGTTTTATTTTCGATCTCGTTTTCGGTCCCTCTATCGATGTCACTCCATCGATCTCACGATCGATTTCACGATCGGTATCAGTCCATCGATATCACTATCGACGTCACTATCGATCTATGTATCGATTTCATCCGATCGATCGCACGACCGATAGCATTCAATCGATCCCTCCATAGGTCCCACTTTCACCATCGATTCCACAATCGATCTCACCATCGACCTCATTCGATCGATTTCTTCATCGATCTCACCATCGATTTTCACAATCGATTTCATAATCGATCTCACTATCGGTCACATTATCTTTATCGCACCAGCGGGACAACAAGACACCAGCGGGACACCACCGGGACACCGGCGGGACACCGCGCGGCCCCGTTTGCCGGTGGGAAACATTTGGTCCGGCCGCGCTTCAGCCACACGAGACCAGGACACCAGCGGGACACCGGCGGGACACCGCGCGGTCCCGTTTGGCGGGAGGGGAAACATTTGGTCTGGCCGCGCCTCAGCCACAGGAGGCTTTCCTCTCGCCCGCCTTCGCTGCCTCGCTTCGCCCGCACGCACGGCACGCAAAAACACGAAACCGAAACCGATTTCCTGGCGGGGGGCTCCTTAGTTCCATTTCGATCTCACCCCCCAACCTCCGATGCAGCTTTAGCGACGCCGTGCGAGCCGCTAGTTGTTTGGCGTTTTTTCGGCGTTCCCCGAGGTGATGCCGATGAAGCGTTTCGCGCAGCCCAACAGGCTTGTGTTCCCTTCTTCTTTGTGCCTGCATCATCGCATGCCCTCGCCAGGATGAGGGTGAGGGAGTGGCGGGGAGGAGGACGTCGATGCGTGTGCGTGTGTGCAGGTGGGGTGCTGCAAGTTGGGTGTCTCCGTGGAATGTTCCCTGCGCCACTGTACCGCAGCTGTGGGCGACAGGACCTCGTCCAGTTTCGAAGGTATATTCCCCCTGGTCCTCTGGCTCGTTCCCTCTGCCGCCAGCCGAATGATCCCACTTTCAGTCGCCGCTCTTCCGTAGCAGCCTGTCCTCTTCATCTGCCGATCTTCCTTCAGCTGCCGCTCTTCCTCGGCTGTGCTTGGTGCGGACCGGGGCTGGGGTGGTCGTCTGGGACGATTCGGGTTGTTTCCAGTGGCTTCTTCGAAGCCCAAGATGCCTCCGTTTGCGTCCAGAGCCCCGCAGCATCATATTCCTCATGTGATCGCCATGTTGCGCACGCGCGGCAGAGATATTCAAGCCCCATGCCGTTGCCAGCCCAATGCGCACCACAGGGCCATCCGTAACAAGTGCTTCGTTTTGTGCAAGGTGTTGGCGCAGCTGATTCCATCATTCTAGTCGTTGTAACATGGCCTGTGGGTAATCTTGTCTTGTCGGCGGCGGCGGCGTCGGTGTCGCCCGCGCCATCGTCCGCGTCGTTCTCCTCGTCCTCCAGTGGTTCGAAGGAGTGGCGACGGCGCTGGGCGAGGCCCCTCGCGCGCGGAGGCCAATTAGCAGCATGCTGGAGAAGGTGCTGAAGGCGGCGCTCGAACGCCGCCCTCGCTGTCGCTGTGGGAGGGGGAGAGAGAGAGAGAGAGAGAGAGAGAAGCGGGGAGAGGAGGGAGGAGGGGAGGAAAGGAGGGATAGAGAGGGGAGGAGGGGAGGAGAGGAGGGATTGAGGGGGGAGGGTGTCAGGGAGGGAAGGGTGAGGAGTCAGGAGCAGAGAGGATGGGGGGGAGGGTTGAGGGAGCGAGTGCAGTCAGCTCGCTGCAAGAAGGACCACGTTGGGCTCAGGAGGGGCTCGGGTTTTCGGGCCGTTCCGTCGGTCTACGTCGGGAAGCCTGTTTGTGGCCTACAGTGTCGTTTTTTATACATGCTCCGCGTGCGGATGATGTATGAGACATGCAGGGAATTAGCATTAAACACAACGATGATATCATGCATAAATGTATTCATAGATGAGTCATGTATTCAACATCCTATGTTTATGCAAATCCCATGTATTAAAAATTGCCCTGTAGGCCCGCCGTGGCCAGAGAGGCCCCTTCGCTCCCTGTTGGGCGCTCCTGCTGGTAGCGCGTCGACTGCAGTCGGGAGGTCGGGGGAGGGGACAGGGGGAGGGAGGGACAGCAGAGCAGAGGGGCGGAGTTGCTTCTTGCCTGCACATCCGCCATGCACTTTTTTTGGTCTGCGTGTCGAGAGCGGGCCGGGCCTCTTCCGGTTAAGAGCTAGGCGGGGCGCGCGAATCACTAATTGGGGAGACAGGGCGCGGGCGGGCGGGGCCTCAGGCGGCCGGAGGGTGCAGGGTGCAGGCGGTGCCGAAGAGCTTGCACAGGAAAAGGTACGCCTTGGACAGGAGCTGGAGGCGAAGTCCCGGAGGGAGAGCGGCACATCCGCCATGCACAAGTAGCGCCGACATTCTCAACCCCACCAGCTGAGCGGGGGACGTTACCCCGCCTCCTCTTTCGAGGGTCAGTTTCTGTCCGGTTCGTTGTCGGTTCTGGCCTGATCGATCCGATTCGGTTCTGGTACTCCGAGGATTCGGTGCCGCCCGATGTTTGCATGGCGTTATTGTGCATCGTGGCGCAGCCGATCCTATTCGATGTCGACTCCGAGCCGATGCGGCCCTCTCTGAAGCACATTCCCGTTCGATTCGACTTCCTGGCTCGACGGTGACAGCTCGGTTTTCTCTCGTTCCATCGGTGTCCACGGAATGGGCAGAGGCAATGGGTGCCGTGCCGTCAGAAGAGGTCGCCGCGACACCAAGAGTTCGGCCGCTGCTGTGGCCACGGCTCCGCTGCAGAAGCCGAAGCCAACAGGCCATCGCAGCACATTCGACAAGCTCTTACTGTTAAGTCGGACCTGTCCCTCTGCAGGAGGAATAGTGATTCCAAAATCGTCAAGAAGAGTCAGGGGACATGTTTTTGACAATTTTCGAGCTCTGACTTTTCGTCCCAAATCCGCCTGTAGGGGGACATGCCCGACCTAACATTGTTTAAATCCATAGAGCCCTTCCCCTTGGCATCGCTCGGACGTGTGCATGTTTCCTTCGGCGAGGACCATCGAGGAGCATCCTTGATCATTTGGCCACGCACGAAACCGAAACATACACAGGGAATGGACGTCCGAGCGATGGCCAGTCCCCCCTCCGCGTGTGCGTGCGCCTGGCGCGCGGCAGGACGCCCCTCCCAACTCGGACGCCAAGACCCAGGAGCGCCCCTCCCCCCCGCCTTGCCAGCGAGGGAGCGCGTCGGGGCGGCGCAGCGGCAGCGAGGGGCAGCGTTCTCGTGGGGGACAGGCTCGGGGCCTCCTCCTCTTTCTCCTTCTCCCCCCCCCCTCCTCCTCCTCCTCCTCCTCCGCCTCCTCCCCCTACCCCCCCTCCTCCCCCTCCTCCTCCTCCTTCTCCTCCTCCGCCTCCTCCTCCTCCTCCTTTCTCCTCCTCCTCCCCTCCTCCTCCTCCTCCTCCTCCGCCTCCTACTCCTCCTCCTCCTCCTCCTCCTCCCCCTACTCCCCCTCCTCCCCCTCCTCCTTCTCCTTCTCCTCCTCCGCCTCCTCCTCCTCCTCCGCATTTTGGCTGTTGTCAGGCGATCGCAAACATGGATTCAGGGGGCGTGGATTGCCAGGCGACGGGTCCCGCTCCCAGGTGAAATCGCGGATTTTGCCGCCGAGCGAAGCGGCACCGGCCGCATGTTGAGGAGTGCACCTCCCCCGATCCATGGATTTGGCGACCGCGCGCCACAGCCATGGATCGCCAATCCATGTTTGCGCGCCCCCGATACTGGCTGTGGGTCACTTGCTGTCTTCGGCAACCCGGGGCCCGTACCGGGCCTCGGGAAGGTCAACAAACGACTCGGGACGAGACGCTGGTCCATGGAAATGGGTGGAGGCCAATGGGGGTCCACGTCGTGAACGCGTCGCGACGTTTTGGGGGCCTGTGGACGTCGGGGCCAACGGTCGGGAGGACGTGGGCTCTCGGGGGGGGGGCGCGCCGACCCCCGAGCGCCCAACTCGTCGCCGGGGTGCTGGCCCGACAGCTCCCCCCCGCGCAGGAGCGGGCGGCGCATCGCTGCCGCTGGCCTGGCCCCCAATGTCTATCAGCGTGTCGCCGGTGCCGGGTCGGTGCCGCCCCCTATCACTGCAGTCCCCGCCCACCGTTGCCCCTCGTGGCGGCGCCAGGGGGCGGCGAGGGAGACCGAGGGTCGAGGAGACGGCAGGCTTGCAGTGCTGCTGGGGGCATCCAGGGGGGCTTCTCCCCTCCCCTTCTTCATCATTCTGCTTCTGTGAGCCGCCGTGGAAATTTCAGAGGGCCGATTTTGAGGGGAAGGGGGGAGGGAGAAGGGGTGGGAAGGGGAGAGAGCAGCGAGGAGAGGAGGGAAAGGGGAGAGCGGGAGGAGGGAGGAGGAGGAGGAGGAGGAGGAGGAGGAGGAGGAGGAGGAGGAGGAGGGAGGAGGACGAGAAGGAGGAGGAGGAGGAGGAGGAGGAGGAGGAGAAAGAAAAACAAGAAAAAAAAGGGGGAGGAGGAGGAGGAGGAGGAGGAGGAGAACGACGAAGAAGAAGAAGAATCACTAAGGGGGGGGAAGGAAGGGAGAAGGGCGGAAGGCCCAAAGATGCCCCCAAGAGGCCCCCCACAGGGTCCCAATGAACCCAAAAAGAGTGATCCGAGAGGCGCCAGGAGGCCCACAAGAGGCCCCACAAAGCGCTGAAGAGGCCCCCAGGGGCCGCCAAGAGGCCCAGAATAGGATCCAGGAGGCCCCCAAGAGGTCCGCTACCTCCGAGGGCGTCCCAAGAGGCCCTCAAAATGCCCCCAAAAAGCTGCCAAGATGCCCTGAAGATGCGCGACTATGCGCTGGCGGCATCCTGGTCCCCAAAGCACGGCTCCCAGCACGGTCGACCGGCCCCTGTCGTTGCTACTTTGGTGAGTCTCCTTGACCTTCAACTCGTTGGACCACCCAAGCCCAGAGGGTTGATGGGATGATCCATCCATCGGATCTCAAGGAAGGGAGGAGGCGGAGGCGGAGGAGGGCGAATTGAGACATCAGCGGTCGTCCTCCCCTTCCTCCCCCCTCCCTTCTCTTTCCCTCTCCCTCGCCCTTCTCGCTCTGGAGGGTCGCCACTGTCTCAACTGGCCCTTCCTGAGGCGAAGAAGGGGTCAGGGAGACTGAGACGAAGTCAGCGATCGAGGCTTAGCTTTTCGATGAGGACACTGAGGAGATGAAGCGTAATCCGGAGCGGATGAGGCCAGGAGACGCCTGCATTCCTGGCGGCTTTCGGTTGTTTCTGGCTGCCTCGCTAGGGCAGCTCGTGGGTGCGTCAGGCGGCAGGGCGCGGCCAGTTCCTGCTCTGCACGGAGCCCCGTGCCCCGTGCTCAAGGTCTGGCGGTGCCGGCACGTTCGCGTCGGTATCAGCAGTCGCGTGCGCTCCACATCCATGGTGCCCCCTCCACCTCCACGCAGGCGATTGCGGGGTCGCGCTCACGCTGTTTCATGGGGCCCAGTGTTCTCCTTGTCCCTGACCGATTTTTCATCAGAGTGGAGGTGCTGAACGATCCTACACCATCTATGGGTGCGTGCGTGAAGTTGACATCCGCGGTGATAATTAGTGTCGTTTGTGTTATGTGTATATATATAGTGTGTTGTTGTTGTTGCTGTTGCTGTTGTTGTTGTTGTTGTTGCTGTTGCTGTTGTTGTTGTTGTTGTTGCTGTTATTGTTGTTGTTGTTGAACATTATTTATTCTAAAGAATAATTATTGTTGGGCCCCCTGGTGCGCGCCCCCCCTGCGCCGCCTAGGCCGCAGCTACATTTTCATCATTTTCGTGAGGAAGCCTCAGGTAAAACGATGTGATCCAGATCCGGTTGTTTTGTTGTAATCCGCTTTCCCTTGCAAAAAACACTATAAAATGACATTTCTTGTTCTAATATAATCAAATTTCAAGAATCCCTTGCAAAAAATAAGGTAAAGTGGACATTCGCGCGCGCAAGACGAAATCCTTCCAAAAGCTTAGTGTTCGGAGCGATTTTAACATAAAAACATCAAAAAACCAATGGTTTTTCAACAAAAAAATGTCAAAATCTCATCCCGCGCGCTCTTGCGGATTCGTAGGAAACCCAACACTTTTTAAACATTTCTGTCAAACGGGCTTTTGCGAGCAACTTTTTCGAACTTCTGCGACAACGGTTGCGCACCTGCCAGGGCCATCATCCCTGTCAAATAATACCATGCGGGACACATTCGTTTTTTCTTCGCGCGCGCACGCCGTCGTCGTCGGCCGCGGGGCCCTGAATAGTAGCCACGGTCGTCCGCATGCCACGAAGTGAAGTGTCCGAACGTCATAGGGCGGGAAGCTGGGTGTGGGTGGTGGCGAAGAGTCGTTTGGAAATTTGGTAGAGCTTGAACCGGCCCCCCCACAAAGTGGGGGTATTGCCCGCCTCCTATGAAAACCCTGGCACTGGTGAGAACGGAGTGTCCCCAGTCTTAAATGATTGTTGGTGTTGTTGTTGTCGTTGTCGTTGTCGTTGTCGTTGTCGTTGTCGTTGTTGTTGTTGTTGTTGGTGTTGTTGTTGTTGTTGTTGTTGTTGTTGTTTGCATTGTTATTGGTGGTGGTGTTGTTCATAAGAGCGAAGACACCGGTCCCTACTTGTTTGTTGGTGAGTTGCTCCTTGCTTTCGCACAGAAACCCAGCCGTTACCCTTAAGGGTTACGCAGAGCTCCAGCAATTGCGGGCATCCCTTACGGGGCCGGAGAAGATGTTGGATTTGGAGCGGCGACTGAAGGGGCTTCCACGGGGCTGGAGAAGGTATTGGCACTCCTGGCTTGCTTCCTGAGGTCATCCCTTCGGAATCCGATGACATTCCTTAGGGCGAATCTTATGAAATTCCTGAGGGATCCTATGGAATTCCGTCGAACTCCGAGGGAATTCTTCAGGAATCCGATAGAATTCCTTCGGAATCCTATGGAGTAATCCGATGGAATTGCGTAGGAATCCGATGGAATTCCTTGGGGGAAACCGAGGGGATTACTGAAGAATCCGATTGAATTGCTTAGGGGGGATCCGATGGAATTTCTTCTGGAATCCAGTGGGATTGCTTAGGAATCCGGTGGAATTCCTTGGGGGGGGAATTCTTTAGAATTCCTTTGGGATCCTTTGGAATTCATTAAGGGTCCGATGGAATTTCTCAGGGGGAGTCCGGTCGGATTCCATAGGATTCCTCAGGACCTTGAGGAATCCAGAGGATTCCTAAGGATTCCTGTGGCGCCCAAGAGGTTCCTGAGAATTCCTTCGGACTTTGTGGATCTCTGAGGATTCCTCACTCTTCCGGAGCCCAAAGGATTCCTAGGGATGTTTCAAGACTCCTGAGGATCCTTGAGGATCTCTGAGAAATCTTCAGGACTCTAGAAGATCCCGGGGGATCTCTGAGGATTCCACAGGGTTCGTGAGGAGCCCAGAGGATTCCGAAAGATTCCTCAGGACCTCTGAGGTTCCTTGAGGATTCCGAAGGATTTATCCGGATCCCCGAAATGTCCCGAGTAGCGCAAACACGGGGCCGGAGAAGGGGTAGCACACGGGGTGCGATTTCTGCGGAGGCCACAGGTCGGACGACGTGAGACACGGGGCCGGAGTGTACGTTTGTCCATTGGAGCGCGTCGCCGCCACAGGGGTCCCGTCGCAGGGCTGCATGAGTCCTCGGCACACAGTGAGCGCCAAGACAGAACCCACGGGGCTGGAGTGTCCGTTGCTCCACCCTGGTGTGACCGTAGGGCGTGCGGCCCCGTCCCGGGGCCAGAGTCTCCGTTCTTCAATAGTCGTTGTTGTTTTTGTTTTTGTTGTTGTTGTTGTTGTTGCTGAACATTATTACTTCTAAAGAATAATTATTGTTGGGGCCCCTGGTGCACGACCCCCCCGCCGCGCCTAGGCCGCAGCCTCATGTTCATCATTTTCGTGAGGAAGTCTCAGGCAAAACGGGGGAGTCCGGATCCGGTTGTGTTGTTACGATCGGTTTTCCCTTGCAAAAAGTAAGCTAAAGTTGACATTTCTTGTTCTAACATAACCAAACTTCAAGAATCCCTTGCAAAAAAATAAGGTAAAGTGGACATTCGCGCGCGCAAGACGAAATCCTTCCAAAACCTTAGTTTTCGTAGCGATTTTAACATAAAAAACATCAAAACACCAATGGTTTTTCAAAAAAGAATGGTCAAAATTTCATCCCGCGCGCTCTTGCGGATTTGTAGGAAACCCAACACTTTTTAATCATTTCTGTCAAACGGGCTTTTGCGAGCAACTTTTTTCGAGCTTCTGCATCAACGGTTGCGCACCTGCCAGGGCCATCATCCCTGTCAAATAATACCATGCGGGACACATTCGTTTTTTCTTCGCGCGCGCACGCCGTCGTCGTCGGCCGCGGGGCCCTGAATAGTAGCCACGGTCGTCCGCATGCCACGAAGTGAAGTGTCCGAACGTCATAGGGCGGGAAGCTGGGTGTGGGTGGTGGCGAAGAGTCGTTTGGAAATTTGGTAGAGCTTGAACCGGCCCCCCCACAAAGTGGGGGTATTGCCCGCCTCCTATGAAAACCCTGGCACTGGTGAGAACGGTGTGTCCCCACGTGCTAGTAATTGTTGTTGTTGTTGGAAAAGGCGCGCGTGGGAGCCCCGGCCGCCCCCCCCCCCAGCAACCGAGCAACCCTCTCTGGGGGTCTCCTGGGGGCGCCAAGGATTCCCTGATAGGATTTCCTAGGAAGTCTATAGGCGCTTCCATGGGAATTCAATAGACCTCCCTAGGAATTCTGTAGGCTCCCATAGGAATTCTATAGGACTCCATAGGGGTTCTATAGGTCTCGGATCCCATACAGTCTGTATCGGATCTGTATAGGGCCCTATACAGTCTGTATCGGATCTCTACAGGATTCCATACAGTCTGTATCGGATCTGTATAGGATCCCATACAGTCTGTATCGGATCTGTATAGGATCCTATACAGTCTGTATCGGATCTCTACAGGATCCGATACAGTCTGTATCGGATCTGTTTTGGATCCTATACAGTCTGTGTCGGATCTCTACAGGATACCATACAGTCTGTATCGGATCTGTATAGGATCCTATACAGTTTATATCGGATCTCTATAGGATCCGATACCGGCGCGCATACGTTTTTTCACCCATAGGACCACGTCAAGGTCCGTACAGAAGTTCAAGGGAGTTCCAGGATTTTTTTTTGTTGGGTTGCTGGTTGCTGTTGCTGTTGCTGGGGGGGGGTCAGAATGCGTCCACGGGGCTCTGAGCGCAGCCTTCGCAATAAGGCGAGGGCGGGTCCGGACGGCTGGAGCTCACGGGGCTCTCACGCGCGCTTTTTCCTTGTTGTTGTTGAACATTATTTATTCTAAAGAATAATTATTGTTGGGCCCCCTGGTGCGCGCCCCCCCTGCGCCGCCTAGGCCGCAGCTACATTTTCATCATTTTCGTGAGGAAGCCTCAGAAAAGAGGGTGTGTACAGGATCCGGTTGTTTTGTTGTAATCCGCTTTCCCTTGCAAAAAAACAATAGAAAATGACATTTCTTGTTCTAATATAATCAAATTTCAAGAATCCCTTGCAAAAAATGAGGTAAAGTGGACACTTCGCGCGCGCAAGACGAACTCCTTCCAAAACCTTAGTGTTCGCAACGATTTTAACATAAAAACATTTTTTTTTAAAAAAAAAAAAAAAAAAAAAATGGTTTTTCAACAAAAAAATGTCAAAATCTCATCCCGCGCGCTCTTGCGGATTCGTAGGAAACCCAACACTTTTTAAACATTTCTGTCAAACGGGCTTTTGCGAGCAACTTTTTCGAACTTCTGCGACAACGGTTGCGCACCTGCCAGGGCCATCATCCCTGTCAAATAATACCATGCGGGACACATTCGTTTTTTCTTCGCGCGCGCACGCCGTCGTCGTCGGCCGCGGGGCCCTGAATAGTAGCCACGGTCGTCCGCATGCCACGAAGTGAAGTGTCCGAACGTCATAGGGCGGGAAGCTGGGTGTGGGTGGTGGCGAAGAGTCGTTTGGAAATTTGGTAGAGCTTGAACCGGCCCCCCCACAAAGTGGGGGTATTGCCCGCCTCCTATGAAAACCCTGGCACTGGTGAGAACGGAGTGTCCCCACGTGCTAGTAATTGTTGTTGTTGTTGTTGTTGTTGGTGGTGGTGGTGGTGGTGGTGGTGGTGTTGGTGTTCTTGTTGGTGGTGGTGGTGGTGTTGGTGTTGTTGCTGATGCTGCTCCTGTTGCTGTTGCTGTTGCTGTTGCTGTTGCTGTTGTTGTCGTCGTCATCGCCCGCGACACGCCCGTGACCCGCCCGCGACCCACCCGCAACCCGCCCGCGACCCGCCCGCGACCCGTTCGCGTTCCACCCGCGACTCGCTCGCGACCCCCCCGCGACCCACCCGCGACCCACCCACGTTGCTTTGACGAGAATCGGTGCTTGCGGCGGACTTCCTCAGCCTCGCAGACTGCCGGCGACCCCGCAGCCCCCTTCGCTCGTATCCGCAACTGTGGGGGCTATGGCACGTGCCATATTATTGCCTATCCTGCTCCATTGGCCAAGCTTTCCTCGGCTGCAGCGCAGTCGCGCTGCCATGCCAGTAGGCCGTAGAGCCATGGGTCCCGACCCGAGACCCGTATCGAGGAGGATGAGGAAGCGGACCCAGACATCCAAGATCTTGGTTTGTTCATCGCGGCGTCCCCGGTCATCTCGAGCTTTTCCGTAGGGCCACCTTTTCATCTTGTTTCATATCTTCACGCTTCCGGAACCCGAAGACGACCCTCAGGTGTTGAAACAAATCGATCACACATTTTCAGAATGCATCGAAAATTCCTACGGCGAATCATCGCCGTCCCCTGCCTTTTGGAAGCGTCGATGTGTCCGAACAATCCGGCTTGAGCTCGGCTACAGCTTTCGGCCCACCAACATCCTTCAAACATCGTAGGCGATCTTGAGACCATCTTGTCCCATTTTGGTGGCATCTCGGCCTGTCTTACAGACATATATCGGGGCTATCTTGGGCTCTCTTGATCCCATCGTAGCCGTTTTGGAGACCTCCTTGGCCGTCTTGGAGGCCATCTTTGGGTGACTGAAGCGGGAAGTCCGACGACCTGGAAGTGAACGGGTCCCTATTCCACGCCGGCCAATAAGGCCGAGAGCCCTCGGGAATTTTCAAACGTAACTAACACATGTTAATTCAAAGTTGGCACGCCGTGCACCCCTTTGGCAAGCCACAGGTGGCGGCGGATCGAAGACGCCTACGGCGAATCACCGCGGCCTTTTGCCTTTTAATAAGATACTCTTATAAGGCCGAACGGTTGTGCAAAGTTTGACGAAGCTATTGGACCATGTGTGCTCCCCAGCCGTTGTGGAAACCCTTCGGGGAACATGTGGGGGAGGAAGAGGAGAATGAGGAGAGAGAGGAGCAAGGAGGAAGAGGAGGAGGAGGTGGAGGAGAATTATCAGGAGATCTCTTGAGAGCCTCCTGGGTCTTCCTGGGGGGCCTCCTGGGAGCTCCCTGGGGGGGCCTGTTGGAGGCCTCTTTGGGGCCTCTCGGGACGCTTGGCTCTAGGGTCTTCTTCGGGACCTCGTTGGCTGTCTCAGGCCGTGCCTCGCTCGTCTGACGCCGTCGGAAGCCCTCGTAGCGGCCTCTCTGGGCCGTCTTGGAGGCCATCTTGGGAATCTTGGAGGCCTCTTGGGCCCTCTTGGGACCATCTTGGAGGCCATCTTGGAGGCCATCTTGGAGGCCTCTTGGGCGATCCAGGGGCCTCTTGGGCCGTCTTGGGCCGTCGGGAGGCTGTTTCGGAGCAAATGCCACACGGTTTTCAAACACTTGATGAAAATCCATGATTTGGGCATCGTCGGTCTCTTGGAGGCCTCGGGCCGTCTTGGGAGCCTTTTGGGCGCTCTTTGGGCTCTCTTGGACCATCTTGGCGGGCTTGGAGGCATCTTTGGGTTATAGTGTGCTCTCTTGGGGCCATCTTGGGCCCCATCTTGGGCCATCTTGGCCGTCTTGGAGACCATCAGTGCCATCTTTGAGAGAGCTTGCAGGGGATCTACGGGCTCTTCGGGTGGCCGTGTCGGGTTGGGCCGAGACCCCGTTGCGCTGCTTAGCACAGGACAAGGCCCGTCTTTTCTTGCCCTGCTGGGCCCGGAGAAGTCATGCGGGAGGACGGCCCGGGCGCGCCGGGAGCCCGTGGAGATTTGAGAGTTTGGGGTCTGGGCCCCCTAAGAGATCCTCAATACAGGCCTCGGAACAAATTAGCGAACAGTCATGCCACATTCATGTGTCAACGGCTCCCCCTCCCCCCAATGTTCAAAGTTGGCGGTGGGTCTGATGAGATGCACTTCGACCGCAGTCTCCCCCGCGCGTGCCAACAGTGAGGTTGGGGGGGAGGGGGAGTGTTCAGTAATTGTTTCCCTCTACCGTATTGAGGGCTGATGCTCAGGGGATTGAGCAAGGGAGCTTCAGGACACTCCCACACGTGCCTCGCGGCTTCGGTGGCGGACGGAATGCGTTGGATGTTTGGAAGGGCGGGCAATAGTAGTAGACGGGCGAGACGGAGCAGCGGCAGGAGCAGCATGGTGTTGTGCAGTCAGCGGGGCATGCCATCAGGGCCCGCGTCGGCCCGCTCAATTCGATTCGGCTCAAAGGCCGGCTGGTGCGATCCGATGTTATTCTGAGGTTCCGACGGTCCGATGCGACCCGATGCCCGCACGGCGCTGATTTGCATCTTGGTGCGGCCGGATCGGTTCGATGCCAGCTCCGTGCCAATGCTCCGTATCGTTTTACTTATCCTCATACCCACTGGGCCATGGTATATCAACCCAACCATCGTACCCCTCCAGTTGGGGATAGACCCCTCGAACCCCGAAGGGAGCAGCGTGTACCCCACTCTAGGTAGGAGATCAACTCGGCCAGCGAGGGCAGTGAGGCCAAGGCGCTGCCAGTAGGGTTGGGGATCGGGGAAACGATGCTGAGACGCAGGGCGACTCGATGCCCGCTCCGCTCCGATCTCCTCTGCCGAGCCGATGCTTCCCGATCCTGCCCGGGGGCGAGGAGAGGTTGCTACCCCGGCTGGCAGACCTGGCCTCCTCCTTAGTCCGGCCCGCCCGCCTGGAGCGGCTGCGGCTGGGCCCCGACGAGCGCGCCGGTCGGACGCAGAGGGGGATCTGGAGCTGAGCGCAGAGGAGGAAAAAGTACCCATCCCTTTACCCTTTCCTCGTTTTCCCCGTCTCGGGCCTCCTCGGAGGCCCTCGTTGCCACCGCTGGATTCGCCTCGAAGTTCTGGTCAGAGCGCACCCCGGGAGAGGTCCAGGGAGTAGCGGTATCGGTACCCTCTGTGGTTTCCCCAGGGACGGTTTCTGGAAGCTTGCAGTTCTCTGCTGGCACACCTCTGACGTCTCTCGGGTTGCTGTCGCTTCGACTTCAGGCCCCCGGGGTGTTTTCCATCCGCTGCGCCTCGTCGAGCCGTGCCCAGGGGTGCCCAGAGCGTCCCCAGTGGCTGCCCCAGGCCCGAGGTGTGGCCCGACAGCCGAGCCGGGTCGGACGAAACGAAGGGGAGGGGGAGGGCACGGGGCGGGCAGGAGAGTCGTTGCGTGCGGCTGGCTTCGGCCCCGCCGCCAGCGCGCTCTCCTCGACGTGGGCGCGCCTCCGGCGCTCTCGAGGCGCCGGGAGCAGGAGTGACGTGAGCTGATTCGCTGAGCCCCTCCCTGTGTCATCCCCCCTCTCGCCCACGAAGGGGAGGGGCCCTGAGGATCAAAAATAGCGACGTGCCGGGATCGTGCTACACGGGAAGCGCCTCCGGCGTGGGCCGTTGGCTCTTTGCTGGGCCTGCTCCAACGGAGGGGGTGTCAGACGCACTTGTCACCTCGCTTGCAGATGACGGCGAGCGCGCTTCCTCTCGAAGGGTCGCGTGGTGGACGCTGGTCACAGGCCAGGATCGGGGGAACGGAAGACTCGAGTAAGCCGGAACTCGGGTTTGCCGACGTTTCTTGACGAGCGAGTCTTGGGTTTTGACGGTCCACTTGTCGTGGGATGTTTGCAGCGGGAGCTCGCGCCAAATTTCAAATTGGGTCTCGTCCTTTTTATGATGGCCCCGTCAGGCCAACCCGAGTCCCCCGTAATTACCCGAGTCTTACGCCTCCCGGGCGGGGGGGGAGCATTTGTCCCAACGGGGAAGGGCCGGGAGGGGAGCGGCTCTGGGCCGCTCCCTGCTCGGGACGTGGTCGATTCGCAGGGAGGTCTTCTCATCGTAGCGTTAAAGTTGGGCCCGTCCTTCTGTTCAAACATCGTAAAACAATAGTCTGGGGACGATGTGTTTTACGATGTGTGAGTGTGCTGGGATTTGTTTGAGCATGTTTTAAGCGATTTCATCCAACATTCGCCTGAAAGGGGACATGCCCGACCTACTCGCAGCGTTTTTACGTCAAGCCTTTTTGAAATATGTCCACAGCGGGTCGATCGACGTGAACGTGGTGATTCCGCGTAAGAGTCTCCTGGGGCACGTTAACATGGCAAAGCTAGAAAGTGGAACGTGTCCGCATGGTGAGTCTGTGCACGTTCCTTCCGCATTTCTCTTTAGCGTGGAATTCTCCCACTGTGCAGAGTCGATGGGCAGTCCGAACATGGGATTTTCACTTGAATGCCATAAATGGGCATCTCCACGTCAATGCCTCCCATGATGATGACGATGATGACGGTGGTGGTGGAGGGGATAATGATAATACGAATATTTGGAATGGTAGTAATGTTACGAATTATGACATTCATATTGATGTTGATGCTGGTGGTGATGTTGATACTGATAGTAGCATTGATGATGCTGATGCTGATGATGATGCTGACGATGATGATGACGCTGTCTATGAACATGGTAATGATGATGGTGATGATGCTGATTGTGAGGATGCTGATGCTAATGATGATGCTGCTGATGATGCTGATGATGCTTATGATAATGACTATGACGATGATGATGCTGGTGATGATGATGATGCTGATGCTGATGCTGATGCTGATGCTGATGATGATGATGATGATGATGATGATGATGATGATGATGATGATGATGATGATGCGGAGGAGGAGAAGGAGGATGAGGCGGAGGAGGAGGGTGATGAGGAGGATGAGGGTGAGAATGAGGATGTGGATGAGGTTGACAATGCTGATTCTGAAGAATGAGCACATCGTAGATTCTCGACGAGAGCGCGATTCGAACATATCGAGCCAGTACACTTCGATCGGACACCGATCCGAGATTCTCACATCGCAGCCGCTACAGAGCGATCGCGCACATCGAGGATTGCTCCGACAAAGAGCAAACACAGAAATCGCTCAAAAGCTCGAGGGACATCACTAATGTTGGCCTCCTCGGGGATTCTTGGAGGTCCTTGAAGAGGCCTCTTGGGCCGTCTGAGATGCCTCTTGGCCGTCTTGAGCCATCCTGAGGCCATCTTGGGGGCATGGATGCCGTCTTTGGTTATCTTATCTTGGCCTTCTTGGGGGGGGGGCGTTGTGCATATTCCTGGTCGTCTTGGGCACGTTGGCGGCATCGGTCGGGGCCCACTAGGCTAGGATGCATCAGAGATCCAACACGCCAGGTACCCCATCTGATGATGATGAATCACCAGGGGGCGGCAGATGATGGAAAGCGCGCGCAGCGTCGCGATCCGCTGGCCGGGAGAAATAGCAAGGTGGAGTTTGAGGGGGTTGTCTTCAATCTCCTAATTTTCAGGCATGGTCGGCCCGAGTCAGCCCCACGAGTGCCTCAGAGGGCCCCGAGGCGGCCCAAGAAAGCTACCTCCAAGACTGCCTCAGGAGGGCCTAAGAGGGCCCCAAGACGGCCCAAGAGCGCTCAACGAGGGCGCAAGATGGCCTCAACACGGCCAACGAGGTCCTCAAGGCGCTCCACGAGGCCTCCTAAAGGACGCTCAAGAGGCAACGTTCGCAGCATTCCTTTGGACCAACGCGCATGTATAACTTATGTGCGTCGTTGGTTTTCAGCGTCCACGACTGTCCAAGAGGCACCCAGGATCGTCCCACGACGGCACAAGAGGCCCCCCAGCATGGCTCCAAGATGGGCCAACGACGGCCCAAGAGGGTTCCGACACGGCCCAGGTAGACCCCTAAAATTCCCAACAGGTTCCCAAGAGAGCCCCAAGAGGGCTACAGGAGGTCCCCGAAACGACCCCAGAGGTCCCCGAGAAGGCACCAAGATTGCTAAAGATCCCCAAGACAGCCCAAGAGGGTCCCAGGACGCTCCAAGAGGGCCCAGAGACGGCCCAAGGGAGGCCAACATTGACTCCCACGAAGGCTCGGAGAGAACATGTGTATTGACTTCCGCAAGGTTCGTTGTTAGTTTTTGTATGACGCCCCAGCGTCTGAACACCGAGAGGACTCCAAACCACTGAGCAAGCGATCTCGCGCCCTCGCAGAGTGCGAGCGCTTTCAGTCCCCGTGCCAAGCAAGCCTACTCGCCAAGGTTTCGGCCATGCTCGGCCTCAGACGGCCCGAGTCAGCCCCCAAAGCGCCTCAGAGGGCGCCAGGGCGGCCCAGGACAGCTCCAGGAGCCCCCAAGATCCCTCCAAGACGGCCTCAGGGTGGCCCAAAAGGACACACATCTTGCACCACGCAGCTCTCACCACCTGCATGACAACACGTCGGCTGCACCAGGCATGCTGCACCCCTGAACTCACCGTGCCTTTTCAGCCATGAAAGAAAACAGGTTTCGAACCCAGGAGGGAGCCAGGCCAGCCACAACTGGGGGAGCTGTGGTCCTTACCCCCCTGGGGGGCCCATCGATTTCGACACCCCTCTCGAGAGATCGTCGACGCGATGGGTTCCCCCAGCCCAGGGGGGTAAGGACCACAGCTCCCCCAGTTATGGCTGGTCGGGGAGCATGTCAACCAAACAATACAGTGGACAGCAGGCTGGGGGGGGTCATGGGACCTCAGCGCGCAGCATAAACGACAAGCCGTCGTTTTTGTTTGCCCGCGTGCCAACCAGACTTGCACCCAATATCGTTGATTCCCATATTCCCGCTGTCTTCCGTTTTGGCAATTTCCCGCCGCATCTTTCTTGGAGAGACTATTCCACGTTCGCGCTACGGGTACGTAATTCGTTCGGATCTTAAAAATAGGACGAGGGGCGAGTGAGGGAAAAACAGTGTGGGGAAGAGAGCTCGCTGATGGAAGAGGAAGGCATGATTGAGGAGGCAGGGTGGTGAAGGATGTTCTAAGCCGCTCGAGGCGAAAAGTTCTTCTGCCCCAGCGCCTTGCCTTGTTTTGGGGCATAAGAACTGATATGGCTACTGATGTTCCCTCGCTCCCCACCTCCCTTTCCGCCGCAGCCGGACTTGACGCAGCAGCGCTTTCGGTCCCAGCCCCGGCTGCGGCGACGCAAGGGGCAGGACGATGACGACGACGACGACGACGACGAGGAAGTCGAGGGCGAGGACAAGGACGACGGCCACGACTAAGCAGACTAGCAGACGGCCGAGTCAGACTGGTCAGATAGACCAACCACACCAGCCAGGTAGAGAATCGGACCAAGCAGAACAGCCAGCCGTGCGGACGACTCTCGCCTGGATCCTAAGCTAAGGTTGCAAGACGAAGCTCAAACCAGACCAACCAGACCGGCCAGACCAGATGTTAGAAAAACTGCAGCGCAAAGTAACTGCAAAACAAAGAACACTGCAGTGAAAAACAATGCGTTTCGGTCGTCGTCGTGGTGGTTGGCGCTGCCTCGCCGGACCTCCCCTGAACCTCTCTCGCTCGGATCCTAAGCGAAGGCTGCAAGACGAAGCTCAAACCAGACCAACCAGACCAGCCAGACCAGATGCAGAAAAAACTGCAATGCAAGAACAAGTGCAAAGCCAAAAAATCTGCAATGCAAAAGAAACTACATTTCTGTCGTTGCGGTTGGCGCTGCCTCGCCAGACCTCTCCTAAACCATTCTCGGCCTGATCCTAAGCTAAGGTTGCAAGACGAAGCTCAAATCAGACCAACCAGACCAGCCAGACCAGATGCAGACAACATTGCAAAGCAAAGAAAACTGCAAAGCAAATCTAAAAAATGCAATGCAACAGAAACTGCATTTCGGTCGTCGTCGCAGTGGTTGGCGCTGCCTCGCCGGACCTCCCCTGAACCACTCGCTCGAATCCTAAGCTAAGGCTGCAAGACGAAACTCAAACCAGACCAACCAGAGCAGCCAGACCAGATGCAGAAACAAACTGCAATGCAAAAAACTGCAAAGCAAACAAAAACTGCAATGCAACAGAAACTGCATTTCGGTCGTCGTGGTTGTTGGCGCTGCCTCGCCGGACCTCCCCTAAGCCACTCTAGCCCGGATCCTATGCTAAGGCTGCAAGACGAAGCTCAAACCAGACCAACCCGACCAGCCAGACCAGAGCCAGAATTGCTCTTTCTGAGCTTGGCGTCCCGCCGTGCGCTACACGGCTAAGAACTTTTTCGGTTGGCGCTGCCTCGCCGGACCTCCCCGAAACCACTCTCGCTCGGATCCTAAGCGAAAGCTGCAAGACGAAGCTCGAACCAGGCCAACCAGAGCAGCCAGACCAGGTGGTTGAAAACTGCAAGGCAAGAAAAACTGCATTTCGGTCGCCGTGGTGGTTGGCGCTGCCTCGCCGGACCTCCCCTAAACCACTCTTGCCTGGATCCGAAGCTAAGGTTGCAAGACGAAGCTCAAACCAGACCAACCAGGCCAGCCAGACCTGAGCCAGACTTGCTCTCTGTGATCTTGGCGTCCCGCCGTGCGCTGCACGGCTGAGAACTTTGTGGAATTGATTTGCGACCACGTGCGAATCCGACCCATGCGGGTCCACTCGAAGTTGGGATGTCGGAGACCCCCGCTGGGGCTTACTTTGCTGCAAGCGTCCTTCAGATCTTGACCGCCAGCCTGTTTTACTTAAGTCTGACCTGCAAGGGTTATGATGTTCCAACCTACTTTAGCCTTGATCACCAAAAATAATTTCGTGCGCCAAGAAAGTGCCTAACAGTGAGGGTTTTCACGTGTCGGGCCCTGGGAGGCGATACTCGTTCGACATTGTTTCGATGCTTTTCTGAGTGTTCGCAATTATTTCTGGGATGTGGTCCGTAAGTACGATGGGGGCAACTCAATGCAGGGGGAGGGTTCACGTGTCACATCTGGCCACCTAGTGGAGGAGGAGGAGGGGGCGAGAAGAGAGGAGGGCGGATGAGGAGGAAGAGGAGGAGAGGCAGGAGTAGGGAAATGATGCATGATCCGTGCAGCGCTCAGGAACCCCGCGCTCGGGCGTGCAGCATCTTTCAACCACGCACGGTTCGGAGGGTCTGTCGGCGAAGCAGATTTGTGGAAGCATGTCTTCGAAGAAGAGCTCTTTGAGCACATATATATATATATATATGTATAGAGAGGGGTGTTTTCTTTCGGAGATCCACGCAGATGTCCGAGGTCGGTGCCCAGCACCCTGGACTCCAGGTCGCCCTCGAAATATCAGGGAGACTGGATCAGTGGGGCAAGCATCGACCCCCACTTGCCCGCTCATCGCCGACGGGGGCCTGGTGGCCCTCCCCGCCTGGGAGGCGTGCGGTTTCGCTGTCGGGGGGCTGAGGCCGATCCATCGGCGCTGCATCGTCGATCCAGGCTCGATGCCTCGCCCCCCCCACCCCGCAGCCAGCCCCCCCCTCTCTGCCGCGCTCCCCCTTCCGTCGGCTGAGGAACGCACATCGGGCGAAGAGAACTATGCACATGGACCGATCCTGACAACGCCCATCCTTGACCCAGGATCGGTGCATATATCTTCCTGGCCAAGGTAAGAGGGCGTATGCACCGATCCTTGGCTCAGGATGGTCCTGGCCAGAATCGCTGTATGTGCATAGTTTCCTTTCCTCTAGCACAAACATTCACGCCAAGGCACGAGAGTGGGGGGACGTCGGATGGGGCTGGGACGAGTGGGGGGACACCAGACCTCCAACGCACGGGAACCAAGACAAGACGGTTTTTGTTGCGCTCGTCGTTGTTGGCGGCTCCAGGTCCTCGCCGGGCCTGGGACTGTCTGGGAACGATCCGCGGCCCTTCTGCTCCGGGTGGCCCTCAGGGGCAGCGGTATGGGCCAGACGGGGCTAGGAGAAAGTCGTCCATGTCTCTCTACAGGAGGAAAATTCAACGACAGTACAACATGAGATGCGGACGATTTTTCGACTATGTTTGACTATTTTCCAACCATGTTTGATTATATGTTTCAGTTTCCCTCCAAAACCCTCCTGTAGGACGACACGCCCGACCTAAGGCTAGCACGCGCTCAGATCGTTTGGCACGCTTTGAGACGGCCGCGCCGCCCGAGACACCCTCAAGACCCGCGGGATCGTGGTGATTCTCGATCTATTCTCGCCCGGATTTGTCCTCGTCCTGGCTCCGCCAGCGAGTGGGGGGCAGGAGGCAGTCTTCGGGGACCAAAAAGTGGCATAGACATAAAAACTCGGAGGTCCGCGCGGATTTCTCGGATCGGCGCTGGACCCCCCCTCCCTGGCGCGCGGAGCGCGCCAGTGGCGGCGCCGGAGGCGCCGCCGAGGGGCCCCAGCGCCGATCCGAGAAATCCGCGCGGACCTCCGAGTTTTTAATTTTGTGTCACTTTTTGTTCCCCCAAGACTGCCTCCTGCCCCCCTCTCGCTGGCGGAGCCAGGACGAGGACAAATCCGGGCGAGAATAGATCGAGAATCACCACGATCCCGCGGGTCTTGAGGGTGTCTCGGCCGGGACCCTCGGCAGTCCGCGCCAGGACCCTCGGCAGTCCGCGCCGCGGGCCACTCTTCCGACCGCGCACCCGGCGGGGCAGGGTCAGGACAGGTCGCCCCGCTCGCTCCGACGAGCAGGCGCCTTCCTGTCACGGCCCCTCTGCAGGGCTCGTCTCGGTTCCTCCCGTTCGTTTCGATTCGATGTGGGACTCCGACTTGGGCTCCGATTCCTCACTGGAGGCAGGCATACGCGCCGGTCGTTGAGAGTAGGTATTTTGGGATTCCCACATCCCCATCTACTTCAAGGGCTTCCTACTTCAAGAATCGGCTTGCTGTTGCTGTGTTTTGTTTTTCTCTGGGAGGGCCTGGACCCAATCCACTTACTCCGCCTTCCTACTTGATGTTTTTACCTACTTCTTCCGACCGACGTGCACTGGTCTCCCGATTTCCGCCGATTCGAGTTTTCCCGACTCGGCTGCCGATTTCCTCCGATCTGGTCCGTTTCGATCGCCGATCCGACTTATCGCTTCGATTGTGGAGTCTCCTGCCTTTGCCTCTGTGTTCACCACAGCGCATCCAGTTTCGTTCCTTCAAGTCGTTCGGGCCGGACGAAAGGGTATGACAGGGAAAAAAGCGGGGGGTACGACATATGCTGCATGCAGCTGGTTTCCTCCCCGCCGCCGGGCCCATTCCTCGATACGTCGGCGCCTCCCGGCGTTAGGAAGCGCCAGGAAAGCCAGCTACGTGAGCCTGATTCTCTACCCTGCCCTGTGCTATCCTACCTTTTTTCGCCCCCCCCACTGACAAGTCTTGCGCCCCTGTCCCTATCCCCTCCGCGTGGCGTGCGGTCCACGGCGGGGGTGCCCGCCGAGGTGACCAAGTGCCTTGTCTTGGACCCGGCCGAGAGGGCGACCCCGGAGCTCGCCCTGGAGCACTCCTTCTACAAGAAGGAGCCGGGCGCCGGGGAGGAGGAGGAGGGCGAGTCGGGAGGGCCGCAGAGTCGGAGGAGGGAGAGGTACCCAGACCTCCACCCTTCGCCCGTGTTCCCCCGGGGAGGTCCTCGCCGCCACCGCTGGATGCGCCTCGGAATTCTGGTCAGAGTGCACCCCTGGAGAGGTCCGCCGGGGAGTAGCGGTACGGGTACATGTTGGTTTCCCAGAGGGAGGGGGGATTCGTGTTGGGCTAGGACGAGGATAAGCCCGTTCCAGAGCTCTCTGAGAAGGCCGCGGCGCCCGAGGTAGCCTCCAGAGCCGCCGAATCTCAGAGATTCTCGGTTTCTGCCCGTCCAAATTTATCTTCCTCCTGGCTTCGTGTTAAGGAGGGCGAGTGAGGAGGACCGAAACGGGGACGGAAAGAATGGGGACGCAGCCCGACGGCAGTTCTGGTCCATTCTGAGGTCCATGTGACTCAGGAGGGAAAAAACACAGACACAATTCATCGTCGACTCCCAGGAAATTTAAGAAAACATGGGAAGTGTCAGGCTGGCGCGTCCCCAGCGAGACAACTCAATGGGAGCTTCTAGTTTGATTGTTTCCCCAAGGTAAGAAGTTGTCGCGCGTCGGGCGTGGTCAGCAACCGATCACCGTGGGCATTGCCGCCTCTTTGTTGTCCGCCCTCTGTCTTTGCTCGAATGCGTCGTCCTGCCGACGCCGCGACGGTGAAGGTGCGAAGTTCCGGAGACAGTTCGCGCGCGGAGAGACGCCGCGAAATCAAGCAGGAGAAGTGCAATGAACACCGTAATGAAAACCCAATGGAAATTCAGTGATACTGACAAACAAGGGTGAGGAAAAGCTTGAGGCCCGTCGAGGGACCATTCGTGGTGCCCTCCTGTGGCGACGGGAAATTTGAATTGAATGTGCGTTGTCATGTCGTTCTCTCGTCGGATTGCTTGACTGATCAGGGGAGTCGCGTTCGCTGTATATTTGGATCGCAATGGCATTGCGGTCTTTTTCTGGTAGGACGGATCATGTTTGCCGTCGCAGCCATCGCGATAGGCGATAGGGCTCCCTCCGCAAACGCGGTTGCCGGATGGCGCTGGCAAAGCCCCCGAGCAAACATCAGGAGCGTTGCGAAATTTCATCCCCTACATCTGCGGACACCGCCAGCCTCAGAAGTGGAGGGGGAAAGACGAACACCGAGAACATATGATAAAATTTGGTGTGTCCTGGGCTTGTGTCCGTTTGTTTGTATGTCCCTGGGCCCCTTCGTTGAGGCAAACGTCTCCTGCCCAGCAGCCGCGGCTGCTGGCTCGGGACCGCATTTGCTGCTGGGCACCGCCCCACATGTAACGCCCCGGGCTCGGGCGGGCCAGGCAACGTCGGGAGCATTGAGACAGGGGCCAATGCAAGCGGGGGTCAGCAAGAGCGCCCGATGTTGCAGGATCCTGCAGGGCCAGGGTCGCATTGACGCAGGTTTGGGTGCAGGATCCTGCAGCTCTTGCAGGATCCTTCGCATAGACCCGGGTTGGGGTGCAGGATCTTGCAGGATTATGCAAGGCTCGACTGGTCCGGGTCTGGATTGACCTGGGTCAGAAGATCCCTGACAAAGAGGTGCTGCTCAGATCCACTCGGTGTTACTGCACAGCCGTGGGGGAGGAGGGGGAGGGAGGTAGAGTTTCAGGCGGGCATGTCCCTTTACAAGAGGACTATTTAAGAACAGCATGACATAGCTTGGTTACGAACTATGACCATTGATTGACTATTTCCTATTATCTTGTCTATCGTTTTCTGATTTATGTTTACCTCCGTGTCAAGATGTAGCTATTGTTGTTACTTGGGAACAGGAACACACACAGGAACCTCCCACCTTGAGATCATCATTCCCCATGTCCTACGGATGGGGTTCTTGTTACACTCCATCTCCTAAAGATGGGTTTCTTGTTATTATTGAGACCGTTCGGAACGAACGCAGGAACATCCCACCCTCAGGTCATCATTCTCTGACGCACGCACATGTCGATTCACTCGTTTTCACATTTACTATACTCAGATGTACTCGCTCTCATATTACTGATACTCAGATTTCTCAGTCTCGGGATCACTTATACGCTGACTTACTCTCCGAGTCGCTGTCCCCAGCTCAGCCTCGTTCGCATCACCTCTTATACTCAAGGTTTATCTTACCCAGGTCACTCATACTCTTTTCCCACTCGCGAGTAGACCGACTCGTACTCATATTCACTTACATGCAGGCGCACCCACGACCAGAGCAACGAAGCTCGCGCCCGGAGCCTCAGGCTCGCTCTCGGCTCACTCTGTGTTGCACGCGGACTTGCGCGAGGATGCCCCAGGCGAGGCGCTGAGTTCAGCTTCCCCCGGGGAGGCCGCCAGGGGGTACAGTCGGGGCCCTGAAGAAGGAACCCTTTTCGTTGGGGAGGGGCTCGGTGTTTCACAGCCTGCCTCAAGTTTTCCTTATGTTTTCGATGGGAAATCGAAGGTTAACTTATGGAAAAAAGGAGCCTCGTTCCTTATTTAGGGTTCCTTAGGTCAACGCCCCGACTGTATTGCTCGCGGACTTGCGCGAGGTTGCCCCGGGCGAGGCGCTGAGTTCAGCTTCCCCAAGGGGAGACCGCCAGGGCTTAGTGGGCCCTGGAAACGACAGGGCCGTTTTTGTTACCGGTTCCGTTTTGCAGTTTTTTGGGCCGGTTCCGACGCCGTTTTTTTACTGGTTCCGTCGCCGTTGTTTGACCGGCTCCGGCTCGGGTTCCAATTCTGGAGCCGTTTTTTGGCCGTTTCCGGTCGCCGCTTTTTTACCGCTTCCAGGTTGAAGGGGCATTTTTGGGGAAACGGTGAAAAAACGGCCCTGCCGTTTCGAGGCGAGGCGCCGGCGTCGGCCTCCCCGGGAGGGGCTTGGCATCGCTCGGGCGTGTGCATTTTTCCTTCGGCGAGGGCCATCGAGGAGCATCCTGGAGCATTTGGCGAAAACAAAAAAAAAAGCCACGCGCGAAACCGACCCAAAAAAAAACACGGGGAGTGGGCGCCCGAGCGGTGGCCAGCAGGAGGGGCCCGGGGGCCGATCCTGAGCCGCAGCTGCCTTGGCTCTCCCTGCTCCGAGGCCCCCCCTCGAGCGCCAGGAGGCGCCTCTGCCTCGCGATCGGGAGCTCCGGCCCCCCGCTCCTCAGGGGCCTCGTCAACGGCACCGTAACGGGTACTTACTAACGGGTACTTTGAATGTTTGCCGAAAGTTGCCACTTTAGGGCCTTTTTCTTGCATTGCAGCTTTGCCCACATCGGGGAGGGTTGGGTTCGCTGGGTCACTGGCCAAAGTACCCGTTAGTGGAGTCCCCGTTTGAGGGGCGCTGACCTCGGGCCCGAACTCCGCCCCCCCCCCCCCCTTGGGGGGATCACAGCGGGCCTCCCGCTCGATCCAGAGGTCCGGCCAGCCTCGCATTCCCTCCGCACGTGCTCCGTGCCGTCGGCCCGAGCTTCGTCTAGCCCCCGTCTCGAGTCGCAAAGACCCGCCCCTTGATCCAAAGCTCCAGTACCCCCTCCCCCCTCCCCTGCTCCCGCGCCCTGGGCCCGAGCTTCGCATCCTCCCTCTCGCGTGACAGAGAGCCTCCCTCGGAGCTCAAGTCAACCCCCATCCCCTCCTTCCCTCCTCCCGTGCCCCCGGGCCCGAGCTTCGTATCGCCCCTCTCGAGTCACAAAAACTTGCTTCTCGATCCAGAGCTCCAGCCACCCTCCCCCCGGTCCTCCCGTGCCCCCGTGCCCGAGGTTCGCATCCCCCCTCTCGCGTCACAGAGAGCCTCCCTCTCGATCCAGAGCTCCAGCCACCCTCCCCTTGTTTCTGGGAGGACGTTGTGGCCCCTCTGCTCCCCGCGCCCGTCCCAGCGCACGAGCCAGGTTCGGACTCAAAATGGCCCGTCCTGGCGTTCAGACCCTGCATTCTGTGCTCGTGGAGCCTGGGTGTCAGCAGCGCGCTGCAAAAACAAACAAAAAACAGAAATCAAACACCGCTCCCACTTTCCCGATCGAGAGCCGAAACATCAAACAAGCAAACAACACGCGTGTCCCAGGCCCCCGGCCCGAGCCCCCATCCCGCGGCAGCTTCCCCCCCCCCTTCCCGCCTCCCCGAGGACAGGTGAGCTACGGCGCGGGGGCGGCGCTGCTGGAGTGCTCCACCAGCGAGGAGGGGGCCGGGCGTCGGGGCGCCGGCGGCGCCGGTGGAGGCGTGCAGCGGGAGCCCTGAGACGGGGGTCAAGGCAAACGGGGGGGCGGGAAGACGAACGCGGAGAACATCTGATGAAGTGGAGGGGGAAAGACGAGCACGGAGAGCATGCAGATCATTTTTTGCCGTCGCAGCCATCACGGTCGGCGATAAGGCTCCCTCCGCAAACGCGGTTGCCGGAGGCGCTGGCAGAGCAAACATTTGGAGCGTTGCGAAATTTCATCCCCTACATCTGCGGACACCGCCAGCCTCAGAAGTGGAGGGGGAAAGACGAACACCGAGAACATATGATAACATCGGGGGAGTCCTGGGCTTTGCGTCTGTTTATTTGCGTGTCCCTGGGCCCTTTCGTTGGGGCAAACGTCTCCTGCCCAGCAGCCGCGGCTGCTGGCTAGGGACCGCATTTGCTGCTGGGCACCGCCCCAGGTGGAACGTCCTGGGCTCGGCCGGGCCAGGCAAAGTGCGAGGTCGGTTTCCGCATGAGCGGACGACCCAGAAGCACAGAGGGGTACGACATTGCCAGAGGACCCGGCGGGATTCATTTTTGAAGGATCGGGGCGGCGGCCAGTCCAGGATGAAGCGATCGACGAGGTGACACGCACCTCTGCGCGCGCCGACGCCGCCCGAACTCGCCGCAGGGATAGGCGCCATGGGGGCAGCGGGTCCTGAGGCCAAAGGGGTCGTGAGGTTTTTTTCTGATTGTTTGTGTTTCCTGGGGCCCTCCACGGGTCCGGGGACCGTCAGACAAAAAAACGGGATGAAGGTCTGGTCCTGGGGGAAGGCCCGTGGTCCAGGACCCGCTTTTCCATCAGGACCCGTTCCCCCCCATGCTGAGAGCAGCCTCATGGAGGGCTGCATGGGCCCCCAATCGCCCAGTCCTTGATGGAGGCCTTGGCAATTACCCCATCCCCCCCAGGACCGTGCGGTTCCGCTCTCGGGGGCCTGTCGCCGAGCTCTCGTCGAAGTATCGCCGAGCCAAGCTCGACGTCCCCCACCCCGGGAGCGTATCCCCCAGAAGCTGATCCCCCCAGGGGCGCTGCGCGGCAAGACTGGCGGCGGCCGGTCACCCACAGATCTCCGACGGTCTGAACGTGTTCGAGCCTTTTCGTGGTTCTTCGATGTCTGGTCTCTGGGGGCCCGTTGTCCGACACAGGTCGGGGACGGCAAAGAGGGGGGTGATGACCTGGGGGGAGTGGATATCATGGCGGGGACCATGACATCTCTCCAGATATCATGAAACCTTCTCTTATTCCAATGATTACGTCCCTGGCCCCCCCCTGGGCCGCGCACATGCCGCCGGCCATGATCTGCGCCCCCCCCTCTTGGACACCCCCCTCTTGTCCGCCCCCGAACAGGTCCATGAACAGTTGATCTGGGGCGAAAAGCTCCAGTGGAAACCCATGTCGACAAACACCCTGCTTGCCTCCAGGATGCATCTGGGTTTCTTGGGTTTCGGTGGTCTTGCTATGGAGAGCGTGAAATTCCCACACCAAAGGACATCATAGGGTTTGGTTTCTTGTGGCAGGTTTCTTATGGTCGAGCTCCTACTGCACCCCCTGGGGAAGGGGTCGGCACCTCTGGGGCCTCGCATTGACAAAATCAGATCGCAGGATGTACGTTTGTGATTTTACGTGTTTCCTCCTCCTCACCGTCTCCCGTCCCTACTCCTCTGTCTCTGTGCCTCCTCCTCCCCCTCCTCCTCCTGCCTCTCCTCCTCCTCCTCCTCCTCCTCCTCCAACTCCACATCCACATCCACAGTCTCTTCCTTCTCCTCCCCCTCCCCCTCCTTCTCATTCTCCTCCTCTTTCTCCTCCCCCTCCTCCTTCCCCGCCACGTTCCCAAGGCCACCGCGGCGACAGCACAATCGACGACCGATCGAAGCGACAGCATCCCCGAAGCCGACCGAAACAGAAAAATACTGGAAGCATCAACAGGCAACGCAACGACGCGGCAACGACGACTGCGACGCAGCCAAAACGAGCCGAAGTGGACACCCTTGGTGATACACGGTCTCGGCGAGGCGCAGCTGCTGGAATGCATGTCGAGGCAGGACAAATCCTCCCAGACCCTCCTCCCTTCACCCTGATCAACCTCACCCCACACCCCTTGGCCTGTGCAAATTCACACTCCCGCCTGTCACCACAAAATTGGCCCTGGACCCGTCTCCTCCGACGCTGTATTTTATCTCAGGTGTCGTGGGCCACCCTGAGATATCGACCCCTTGCCAAAGACTGCCTTTCATCCGTTCTTTGACAGGCCCAGGGCCAGGGAGCGGACTCTTGAAGCCCGGAGCGGCAGAGGCAGCTGACGAAAACGTTGTGTCGTTCTCAATCCTCGTCCCCGTCTATAACCTCAGGGCTGGACCTAAACGGTGCTTGGGCAATTTCGTGGACCGTTTTCGTTTCGATTCCGCTTGGCGGTAAAGGCGGATTGAAGACAGAACGAGGGAAAACGAAAACAACACGAAAACGAAAAACACCGTGTGGGTTCAGCCCCGTGTAACCTCTGATAGTCCTCATCCTCATCCCGCTCGCCTTCCGCCATCCTCCCCCCTTCCTCTTTCTCCACCCCCCTTCGTCCGTTCCCTCCCTCCCTCTTCGCAGCCAGTGCCTGCGGATGCTCACGGAGGCGGAAGACTGTAGAGCGTTGGTGGACACGACACGTGAGAGAGCTGGCACAGCCAATCGAGAGGCCCCATATCAATCGGATATAGCCAGGACCCCGGGTAAGGGGGCCCGGTTAGTGGTAGGGCCCTGGGGCCCCTGAATTGGCCAGATTCACTAAACCAGGTCTGCCGCAGCTGGTGTTTTTCGGGCGACGGCAGTTCCAGTTAGCGGAAATGCGACGGGGGGGCGCCCCCGGTACAAATCTCTAAACCAGGTTCCACTAAACCCAGTTCTGCCAACGCCCGAATCAAGCCTGCACAGAGCACGGCAAACCAGCCAGCGCAACTTATCAACAGTCCGAATGTCCCGCGCCTTTCTCGCTGAGATGGCGTCAGGCAAGCAGCGGCGAAGCGTCCTGGCTCGCCGATAGCCCCACCGAAGAAAGTTCTAAGAACCGTTCGTGGTTTCCACAAAACGTTCTTAGAACATTTCTGGCGGAGTCTGTCTTGTTTTAAGACATCGGGCTTATGGTCTAAGAACACTGCTTTTCTTATTAGAACATGTTTGGGTTCTAAGAACATTTCGTGGTAGGACTATAGGAATGCCGGGACGGTCGGTCCCTGCTCAAGAACGGCCTCGTTGTATAAGGCTCCGTGGGCACTCGGAGCCCCTTGTCATCCCTAGGATGCAACTCTTGGGAAGTTAGCTGTTTGCATCGCCGCTGGCATTTATGCCGTCGATAGCCGGCTCATTGTGGGACCGTCCGGCTGCATCCCGCTTATTCCAGTTCAGTCGGGCTTCAATCTGGGCCTAATCCAGGAACGTGGCCTGTCCATCTGGTTGAGTCTCGCTTAATCGTTCCAACGAATAACTCCCAGGAGTTGCCACCTACTCATCGTTTGCGCCAGCAGTAATGAGCGCCTCCTGCCGACGCCCCCGTGGCCCCGTGCTGGGCCAGAGAGTCGGGTCGTCGACGTCGTTGCCAGCCGTCGTCGTTCGTGGCCCGTTGTCGATCGCCGACTGCCAGGCCAGAGCCTGGTCGTTGTCATCGTCGATCGTTGAGGTGCGCCGCGTCGAGCTCCTTCGCCGATCGCCGCCAGTCGCCCCCTGAGATCCCACGTTGCGAAAAAATGCAGCATCGCGAATGATCACGACCAGGGCCCTAGACCTCCTCCTTCTGATGCACGCTTCGAGCAGGATCGATCGGTGCTGGCTCAGGGGCCCGAGACCGGGCGAGAACGCCCGGTGTAGAAAATCTGCGACGCCCGAATCTCAGGGTGTTGTTGTTCTCGCTTCTGCTGTTGGTGTTGTTATTGTTGTTGATGTTGATGTTGTTGCTGGTGTTGTTGGTGCTGTTGTCGTTGTCGTTGCTGATGGTGTTGTTGTTGTTGTGATTGTTGTTGTTGCTGCTGCTGTTGTTGTTGTTGGTGGTTGTTGTTGTTGTTGTTGTTGGTGGTGTTGGTGTTGTTGTTGTTGCTGCTGTTGTTGTTGCTGTTGTTGATGTTGTTGTTGTTGTTGTTGTGGTTGTTGTTGTTGATGTTGTTGTTGTTGTTGTTGCTTTTGTTGTCGTTGGTGTTGTTGGTGTTGTTGTTGTTGTTGTTGATGCGGTTGTTGATGCTGTTGTTATGGTTGTTGTTGTTGTGATTATTGTTGCTGCTGCTGTTGCTGCTGCTGTTGCTGCTGCTGTTGCTGCTGCTGGTGTTGTAATTGTTTTTCTTGTTGTTGCTGCGGCTGTTGCTGCTGTTGTTGTTGTGCTTGTTGTTGCTGCTGCTGCTGCTGCTGCTGCTGCTGTGGTTGCTGCTGTGGACGCCCCCCCCCCACCCGGCGGGGCCCGCCAGTGGCAGCCGGCGACCCCCGCGCTGGGCCAGAGCGGCGCGTCTAAGGGCCCGCGAGCCGGCCGGCTGGCGCCCGCCGCCCCTCGGGGCGCCGGCGGACAGGCCCGCCCGGCGGCCGTCCCGCGGCGCAGCGGGGGGGGGGCGGCCATGGAAGCAGGGCACGGCGAGAGAGCAGCACGCACCCGGTACAGCCGGGGCGCTGACCTAAGGAACCCTAAATAAGGAACGAGGCCCCTTTGTCCCATGAGTGGAACTTCGATTTCACAGAGAAAACGAAAGGAAGACCCAGGGCAAACTGTAAAACAATCAAGGAACACCGAGCCCCTCCCCAACGAAAAGGGTTCCTGCTTCAGCGCCCCGACTGCAGCTCAGTATCGTGTCGCCGATCCCTGTCCCCAGCCCCATCCCCATCCAGACCCCCACCATCTCATCCCCCCCGGGTTGGGGATGTACCCTTTGTGGGCCCCGGAAACGGCAGGGCCCCTTTTTTACTGTTTCCCAAAAAATGTCCCTTGAAAATGGAAACGGTAAAAAAACGGCGACCGGAAACGGCAAAAAAACGGCTCCAGGATTGGAACCGGAGCCAGAACCGGGCAAACAACGGCGACGGAACCGGTAAAAAACTTGCGTCGGAACCAGTAAACAAACCGCAGAAAGGAACCGGTAAAAAAACGGCCCTGTCGTTTCCAGGGCCCACTAAGGATGTACCCCGCGGAATGTGACAGAAATTGCATACATCCCCATCTAGGGGTGTAAGTTGGCCAGTGGGGCCCAGGCCACTCGAGCGGGGATAGGGATCGGTTCAACGAGGCTCCTTAACCGCTGAAGGTCTTCAGTTTTCGTCCACCCCCTCTTTTCTCTCGGCGGTGAACAGGACTGGTCCCAAAGCCTCCTCCTCCCTCCTACTCCGTGGTCGCAATCGTAGTCGTCGCTGTCGTCGTCGTTGTTGCGCGGCGGGTGCCGCAGAAAAATTCGTCGGCCCAACGGGCCAGAGGCGTGCTAAGATTTCCGGTAACTACTTAACAATATTTCTAGTTCGCGCGCGCGGGGCGGCCCCTGGGGGCCCCCGGACGAAAAGTACCCCGGCTGACCCCGGCCGGGTCCCGGCCGGGTCCTGGGCGATCCCAGGGGGAGGCTATTTTTCGCCACCCATCACGAGGATCGTGGCCTCCGAGGGGGTGGCTGCAATCGACTACCCCCCCTCCCTCCCCAAGGGGCCCCCAAGAGTCCCCCAAGAGGCTCCAGGGGAGCCCAAGACGCCGCCAAGGAGCCCCAAGACGCTCCCGAGAAGCCCCCAAGAGGCCCCCAAGACGGCCCCAAGAGGCTCCAAAACAGCGCTCCAGGGCCAGCGGAATGAGCGAAGCGATAAACAATTAGCTACCCCCTGTTTGTGGGACCATAGCCCTTCAATAAGAACGCCGAGAGAAAAAATGACTACCCCCTATTGAGAGGTCTAACGACCTTTCCGGGCTACCCACAGGGAGGTCGGATGGGGGGCTCGTATGGATATGGGTGCGGATTGCAGGCTCTCGCGTTTGAGCGGAGGTCCCCATCCGACAACGCACACCCATAGCCTCCTCCGTCCCCCACCCACGGGTATGTGCGTGTGCTGTTCGTTCGTCAGTGTTCGCCATCGGCATGGAAGGAAACTTTGGCAGACCTGCGCGGATGTATCGAATCTGTGCTGGACCCCCCTCGCGGCACCGCCCTTGGCGCGGGAGGTCCAGCTCAGATCCAAAACATCAGCAAGGACCTCTCGAGGTGCATGCCATGCAGGTTTAGGCTCTGCCAGTCCAGGTCGGGGGCACCCTCAAAAAGCAGTGACGAAGCGTCCTGGCCTGCCTATAATAGCTATACTACGGCCCCCGAAGAGCGTTCTAAGAGCATCTTGTGGTTTGCACGAAACGGTCTCAGAACATGTCTGGCCGAAGCAGTCTTTAGGGGAACAAGAAGTGGCATAAACATAAAAACTCGGAGGTCCGCGCGGGTTTCTCGGATCGGCGCTGGACCCCCCTCCCTGGCGCGCGGAGCGCGCCAGGGGCGGCGCCAGAGGCGCCGCCGGGGGGCCCCAGCGCCGATCCGAGAAATCCGCGCGGACCTCCGAGTTTTTCCCAACCATCCTGTGGTGTTGGGTCCTCGTTTTGGAGAGACGGTGCCCCGCGTTCCTCTCCTCCTTCCTCCTCCCCCTCCTCCCTCCTCCCCCTCCTCTTCTCTCTTCCGTCAGAATGATCATCTGCAGCATCATCCTCATCCACATCCTCATCCTCATCATCGTCTTCATCATCGTCCCCACCGCCCATGTCGTCACACCCCAGGACAGCGCTTCGTGGCCCCATAGGGAGCTCCACCGAAGGCCCAAGTGGGGGTGTTCGCATGCGTCTCCCCCACGCAGGACAGCGTTTCGTGGCCCCATACATAGGGAGCTCCACCGAAGGTCCCAGTAGGGGTGTTCGCATGCGTCTCCCCCACCCAGGACAGCGTTTCGTGGCCCCATAGGGAGCTCCACCGAAGGTCCCACTGGGGGTGTTCGCATGCGTCTCCCCCACCCAGGACAGCGTTTCGTGGCCCCATAGGGAGCTCCACCGAAGGCCCAAGTGGGGGTGTTCGCATGCGTCTCCCCCACCCAGGACACTGTTTCGTGGCCCCGTAGGGAGCTCCACCGAAGGTCCCAATAGGGGTGTTCGCATGCGTCTCCCCCACGCAGGACAGCGTTTCGTGGCCCCATAGGGAGCTCCACCGAAGGTCCCAGTAGGGGTGTTCGCATGCGTCTCCCCCACCCAGGACAGCGTTTCGTGGCCCCATCGGGAGCTCCACCGAAGGTCCCAATAAGGGTGTTCGCATGCGTCTCCCCCACCCAGGACAGCGTTTCGTGGCCCCATAGGGAGCTCCACCGAAGGCCCAAGTGGGGGTGTTCGCATGCGTCTCCCCCACCCAGGACAGCGTTTCGTGGCCCCATAGGGAGCTCCACCTAAGGTCCCAGTAGGGGTGTGCCATTTCGGCACACCCCTCACGGCACGATTCGTGGCTCCATAGGGAGCTCCACCGAAGGCCCCAGTGCCCGCGGCCGCATGCGTCCCCCACACCCATTTCGGCACACCCCTCACACGTTTCGTGGCTCCATAGGGAGCTCCACCGAAGGCCCCAGTGCCCGCGGCCGCATGCGTCCCCCACACCCATTTCGGCACACCCCTCACACGTTTCGTGGCTCCATAGGGAGCTCCACCGAAGGCCCCAGTGCCCGCGGCCGCATGCGTCCCCACACCATTTCGGCACACCCCTCACACGTTTCACATAGGGAGCTCCACCGAAGGCCCCAGTGCACACGTTTCGTGGCTCCATAGGGAGCTCCACCGAAGGCCCCAGTGCCCGCGGCCGCATGCGTCACCCACACCCATTTCGGCACACCCCTCACACGTTTCGTGGCTCCATAGGGAGCTCCACCGAAGGCCTCAGTGCCGCCGCCCGCATGCGTCACCCCCACCCATTTCGGCACACCCCCCGCATTTCTCGCACGGCAGGGTCATCACCACGGTGGCGTGCCAGGGGCGCACCGTGCGCGAAGGCGACGGGGCGGGGGAACGGCGCTCCGGGGGCGGCCAGACCTCCGGGGCGCGAGCAGTCCGCGGCCAGACCATCTCTCGGTCCTGTGGACTCTCGCCCTGGGCCGTCGGCTGCCCGGCGCGCTGCTCCCTCGGTCGACGTCGCCCAGGCGTGATCCTGGATTGCGGCCGCCACGAGGTAGGGAACGGCAAGAAGGAGGACGACGACTGGTGGCTGGAGCTCTACGTGCTGCTCTCGCGCGCCACGCGCCACGAGGACCTCCTGCTCATGCGGGCGCCGCGCATCGAGTTCTTCCTGGCAGGGCCGCCGCAGGGCTTGCGGAAGCAGCTGGAGCAGTTTGCGGCGCGCACGAAGCGGTGCAGGAGGGAAGCGACGGCCCTCGCCAGGGAGCTCGGCTTCACCGAGTTCATCCGCGAGGCCTGACCTGAGGAGCGTCTCCCCCGAGCCGCGCCTTCTCTCGACTGCCCGACTAATTGTTTGGCCTCGCGCCGCGGACGACCCGCGCGCGTCGCTGGGACCCTCTCGGGGCGACCAGCGCGCGTCGCGGGAACTCCGTGCTGCGGGGGGCCCGGCGCCTCGTTCGCCCGTCGTCGCTCTGCCCAGCGGTCAGAGACTTGCCCGCTATCAGCCAGCCAGTTAGCTAGTCAGCTCTCTCTGCTTCGCGCAGCGGACGACCCGCGCGCGTCGCTGGGACCCCGCCCGGGGCGACCAGCGCGCGTCGCGGGGACTCCGCGCTGCGCTGCGCCCGCAGCCTTGGATTTTGGAGTGCGCGGGCAAAGAGGAAGGAAAAGAAGAGCCGAAAGCGGGCGCGATCCTCGCAAGAGGCGTGCCGACATGGGCGTCGCGACGTGCGGACGCTGCCGTCGGGGTTCCCGCGGAAGCTGCCTGCGGCGGCCACGCCGAGTGTCACGTGTGTTCGGACAGGCATGCTCGACACTTACACTAGGCGGTTCCATGATCGCATTCATGCAAATATATTCACTCGCGCGCAGACCCATTCATACTCAGATTCCCTCGCGCTCTGACTCACCCGCGTTCTTTCTCTCGTAATCAGATCAATCGTAATCCTTTGCGTTGTGTGCCCCGCCACATTTCGGCACACCCCTCATGCGGTTCGTGGCCCCATAGGGAGCGCCACCGAAGAAGATACTCCCAATTGCGATACTCACAACTGCATATGGTTGGGTCCTTCGCCAGGATAATTATGTTTATGCTACTTTTTGTTCCCCTAGTCTTGTTCTACTGCATCGGCTCTGTTTTCTAAGAAGATTATTGCCTGTATGACGCTTTTCTGTTTTGAGAACACGTCGGGCCTGTAGGGATGCTGGGACGGTCGGCCCCTGCTCAACCTCAGATCCAGGCGTCGCGAAAACACCGCGAACGGTGACGTGAACAAGCCCTTCACGCCAAGGTTCCCAAGAGAGCGAATGACGACGCAGCAGGCTCCTCACGCCAAGGCACCCAGCAGCGAACGGATAACACAAGCAGGTCTTCACACTCAGGCCCCCAAGAGCGAGCGGTGACGTGAACGAGCTCTTCACGCCAAGGCTCCCAATAGGGAACAGTGCAATGAGCCCTCTCGGGCACGACCCCTGAAGCGCTCTTTCCGCTCCCGTGCCTGCCCAGGTCCTTACACGCCCCCAACGTGCACAGGGCACGGTGGCGGATTATGAGGAGCAGGCGGAGGAGGCAGGGCAGCTCCGACCTTGCAGATAGTGCTTGCAGGGCGAATGCTCGAAGCTGTGGAGAGCGGTGGAGGCTGAGTTCATTGAGTTTACTTAGCTCGAGCATGGCCAGACTGGGGTACCATGCAAAGGAGGAGGAGGCGGAGGAGGAGGAGTGGTACGACTTTGATAATGGGGCGAGGAGTCCCGAAGAAGATGAGGAGGATGAGGAGTAATAGGAAAAGGATGGGGAGGGCTGCGGGGTGGTTCGGGGAACAAGACAATTGCATATAGACGGAAGGGCCGGCGCCTTCAGAGACGCGGCCTCCTGAGAAGCCTGCCCCCCCTGCCCCCCTGTGCGCGCCGCCAGCGACCGCCTTGCTTGGCCGACCTTCCCCCGCTCGGCGTCGTCGGAAGGGAGCTGCCGGATCCTGTGGCGCCGGCGGCGGTCGTCGTGGCCGTTGCCCCTCGGTGGTGCGCTCCCGGCCTGCTTCGGCGGCCGAGGCCGCTCGGCTGCCCATCCGCGGCAGGCGAGGGGAGGGAAGGTGAGAAGGAGGAGGCCCTCTCAGAAGGCGGCGGGGTTTCTCAGAAGCCGCCCGTTCTCCCGTAGGGGAACAACAACTCGGACCTCCGAGTTTTTATGTTTATGCCACTTTTTGTTCCCCTATCTCGGGAGGGTGATCTGAATCCTCGGAGAAGTCTCGGAGCACTTCGCAGGAGGCCGGAAGACGCGCGAGCCTTCAGAGAGGCCCCCCCCGTCTGTCTTCCCCCCGGGCTCGCCGCCGAGCTGGGCGTCGAAGAGGAACAACGGCGTCGACGAGCTTTCAGAGCTCCGCGCGGAGTTTCGAGAGTCCCGGTTTGCGTAGTTTTCCGTTCCTCCAGCGGGCAGTTCCGACGGGCCTGAGCCCACTCGGCGGCTGCCCGCTCGGATGTCGAGGAAGCCCAGGCGACCGATGGGCTCGAGAGGGGGCCTGGCGGCAAATCCGGTCGTCCCGGCCACCCGTCGCGGTGCTGCGGCGGGGGGCTCTGGCGGCCGCGCTGGCGCAGCTGGGCCGTCGCCCGCTCCCGACATGGCTGTCCTTGCTCCGTCTGACCTTCCGCCCGCTCCTCCCTCGTCATTCCTTCTCCTTGGTCCTCCCTTCTCTTGCCTCCATCTCTTCCTCCCTCTCTCCCCTCCTTCCCTCCCGCATCCCCTCCTCATCCGCCCTTACCTATCGCACCTCCTCGTCCCCTCCGCCTCACTTCCCTCCTCCCTCTCCTCCCCGATCTGCATTATCCCGCACTCGGCCCTGCTGTGCTTCCCATCGTCCACTGCCCCCCCTTTCTTTCCTCGACACTCAGAGGCGGCGTACTTGGAGGCCAGCTCGTTGGCTCAGAGAGTCGCGACAGAGCCCCACGTGAGGATGACGTGCCTGGCAACATGTGACGGGACGCTGTCAACGGGCGAAGAACGGTGCAAAATAATGTGTTTCGCTGTCGGGGGCGCCTGCCCCTGGGCGGCTGGAAAGTTTACGGTGGCACCGTAGGGGTTTAAACTTTCCAGCCGCCCAGGGGCAGGTGTCCCCGACGGCGGAAAGTTTATCTTATACCGTTATTCGCTCGCTGACGCTGAGCATAGTTGCTGTGGCGTCACGCTCCAGCTCCGCAGGCCTCCCGGGAGCCCCGAGACAGCAGTGCCCCTGGAGAAGGAGGAGGAGGAGGAGGAGGAGGAGGAGGAGGGAGGAGGAAGAGGGGGAGGAGGAGGGGGAGGGGAGGAGGAGGAGGAGGAGGAGGAGGAGGAGGAGCAGCAGGAGGAGGAGGAGGAGGAGGAGGAGTGCCAATTTTACTCCCGAGGGGTGCGAGCACCGCACGGCTCCGTTGGGACGAGTGCGGGGGATGGGTTGTCCGTCTGCGCCGCGCTCTGGCCCATCTTGCAGCCTCGAGCAGCCAGGTCCCCCGTCGCCCCAGGGGCCCGACGTTCTGCAGCGCGCGTGGAGGTCAACTGTCATCCGTTCAAGCCGCTCTCTGGCCCCACAGGCAGCCTCGAGCAGCCCGCTCCTCCTCCTCCTCCTCTTCCTCCTTCTTCTCCTCCTCCCCCTCCTCCTCCTCCTCCTCCCCCTCCTCCTCCCCATCCTCCTCCTCCGCCTCCTCCTCGTCCTCCTATGGATGGCACCCCAGTCTGGCCCTGCTCGGGCTAAGTAAACTCATTGAACTCCTCCTCCTCCCTCTCCTCATCCTCTTCCTCCTCCTCCTCCTCCTCCTCGTCCTCCTCCTCCTCCTCCTCCTCCTCCTCCCCATGGACTTACGGCGGGTGCCGCCGACCCTGAAGGGGGAAGACGACGACAACGGCGGCGGCGGCGGCGACGACGACGACGACGCTGACGTGGGCCGGAGTCCTCAGGGATGCTTCTTTGGATCTTTTCGGAAGGTTCTCGGGGGCCTCTGGGGAGATTGCTTGGGCGCTCGATTCAGTGGACGACGGAAACAAAGGCTGCATAACTGTCAAAACGTTCGGAAGCCCGCGCGGGTCACTCGGATCGGCACTGGGCCACCCTAGCGGCGCTTCACCTGTGACCAATCGTAGACCCTATCCCTGCGGGTCCAATCGACGCCTCGGCATCGAATGACCCCGTTGGGGGCCACTTGGCTGCGCACGCCATTCGAATCCTGCACCCTAGCCAGCGTTTCGTAAATCTGACCTGGAGGGGTAGGGTTCGCATGTGGCTGCCTAGCCTTGGACACTGGCCCTGGCGATTTTCGAATCTTGCGGACCTCTGGAAGTTCAGTGTGTATGGTATGGTTGTCATGCCTCCCTCGAAATCGCCTTCTCTTCACTTCTACGACCTCTCACAGCCGGGTTCGAGCAGCTGGTCGACGGTCGACCCTGAAACATCGATGTTTGCAACGTCTCTCGCGTTTTTCATGTCTTCTTCATGTTAAGTCGGGCCTGTCCCTGTGCAGGAGGAATGCCCCAAAATACTAAAGACATAGCCTGGGGACGCGTTTCCTAGTATGTTTAGGGGTGATCATTCCTGAGCGTTCTTGGATTCTGCTTTTGCATTTGTCCTCCAAGATGCGCCTGTGGGGGGACGTGCCCGACCTGATCTTCATGTCTGGAGCGTGGCCTGCCCACGGGGAAAACTCTTGGTACCCTCTCGGGTGTTCTCTGGCGTTGAGAGTCCCGAGTGCGCCTCTCACTCCCTGCGCTCGCCCCGGCGTTGTCCTGCTCAGCGTGCACTCGTTCGCCGTTCTCTCGAACATCAGCATCGACTTGAACACGAGCTCGACTGTTGGAGACATGAGCCCTCGAGAACCCAGGAACAGACAGTAAAATTTAGCACGCACTTGAGGGAAAACTCGAGAACAAAGAAACGCCATAAACATCACAAACGGTTGGCGCTCCGCGCGGACTTCGCACATCCGCACCGAAACCCCCCGTTGCACGTCCTGCGCCGGGCGCCCCCCCCGCGCAGGGCGCCCCCCCCCCTCCGCGCCTCCTCCTCGCCCGCCTGCCCGTCTCTCCTCCCGCTGCCAGCTGTTGAGTCGGGCCTGTCCCTCTACAGGAGGTATCGCCAAACACAGTTAGAAAATAAAGTCGGGGCGCTAAACAAAAAACCCTTTTCGTTTGGGAGGGGCTCCGTGTTCCTTGATTGTTTCGCAGCTTGCCTTAGGTTGTCCTTAGGTTTTCGATGGGGAATCGAAGTTTAACTGATTGAAAAAAGGGGCTTCGTTCCTTATTTAGGGTTCCTTAGGTCAACGCCCCGACTGTAGAATGGGGACGATGTCTTGGTTCTGTTTGAACATTTTGGGGGTGTCGTTTGACCAGTGCTTATGTTCGTCAAACATCCCCCTGTAGCAGGACAGGCCCGACTTAATGCTAGTTCGAGCGATGGGTCGCGCCCTCGTCCCGGGCCACAGCCCGTGTCACGCCTCCGCTCGTCCCCGCAGGGTTCGTCCAGCCAATATGTTGTGCCGATTCCTTTGATCGTCGTATCAGATAGCCCAGTGTTGCGCAATGTGTGAACTCTCATTGAGAGGAGTCTCCTCGGCCTCGCCTCTTACTACCTCCTGCTCGTATTGTGTGTCCTTTCCGCGCATCCCCCCCGTCCACTCAGTTGTGCCTCCGCGGTGGCAAGAGCATCCGCTTCCGCAGCACCGCGACCTATCTCCACATGTTCCGCCGTCTCTCTGATCTCATTGTGTTTTCTATCGCGTTCATGCTTGCACGAGTATTGCATGCAGTTCTGGAGCGTAAGGAATACTATAAGTAGATATGGTGTTTTGGATAGTTGGGTGTTCGACTGCTCCTATGCTTAGATGTGGAAGCAGTTCCAGTCATCGTACACGTGTGTGTGTGTCGTGTTGGTCTGTACCTCGTGCGAAAACAGATGCAATGACTACATGACCAGTATCGGCCTTCTTGTCATTTGCAATCGTCCCCGTGATAGCGGCACGGGTGGTATAAGTCATTTGCCCGTTATTGGTCGTGTTGGGCCATTTTATCATCTTAGTGTGATCGTGCCCGACGTGATTCATAGTACTAGCACGCCGTCATCGCACGCAGCCCTCGTACCCAGTTGGGGTAACAGCTAGTACGAGCATCATTCGCATGAGTAGTTGTAGTTATGCAAGGATTTGGTGGTGTTTGTTTTTGTTACCGCGCTGGCAGTAGCCCCTGCTCTACCTTCAGGAGAAGGATGAGGAGGAGGAGGATAGCTCTCGGCCCACACAACAGCCCACACACACACACACACACATCCTTCACCACAAAGCAATATCCGACACACTTTTGACGTGTCTTTGTGAAGCAGTGGTAGACGAGGTGAAGCCATTCCTGGCGAGAAGGGGAGCGCCATCGTCACAGACTTCCGCGTTCATCCCGTCGTTGATATCCTCAAGGATTTCGCTTCAGACATACTTCGGGCGGCCTTGGTCTTCCTGGGGGCAGCCCAGACGGCATCTCAGCCGTCTGTTGGAGTTCGGTGCGGTGCTGCTCCCGTGGCGCGTAACATCTGTTTCCCCCCCCCTTCGCACACGTAACAAAAGGGCGGATTTGCCCCCCTGCTCTCGCCCCCGCGGGGGGCGGGGGGGGGCAGGGGGGCGGATTTGCCCCCCCAGAGGCGTGTCGCTATGCTTACAGGCGTGGTGCGATGCCCGCAGGCGTTCACAGGCATGTTGTGCTGCTCGCAGTCTATTGTGGGATTGCAGGTTAGTTCGCGGTTGTCATAGACATGTCGCATTGCTAGCGGGGGATTGCGGCCCCGGCAGGGCTGTGCGTGTGTGCCTGCGTTTGTATGTGCACGTATGCGTGTATAGTCTTACACATATTGCTTCGCAGCTGGCCCCTACCCCAGACCACCCAGGCGTTACCTTCACCCGCAGCCCTCACGTCCCCCTCCCCGCACATGCAACGCCCATGTTCGGGAATATGGGCGTAACAATTGCGGGGGCGATGCGGATGCCGAGGTTACCTTCGTTTATGTTGCTCCCATCGTACTTGAGGACCACATCCCAGAAATAATTTCGAGCACCCAGAAAAGTGTCGAAACAGTGTCGGACGAGTGTCTCCCAGGGCCCGACACGTGAAAACCTTCGAGTTTCGGTATTATTTTGGAGCTCGAAATTCTTTCTGGTGATAAAGGCTAAGGTAGGTGCAACATCATCAATCTTCGTGTCCAATCGGGCCCTCTTTGCCCCAGAGAGCGGCTCTTTTCGCAGAGCGAGAGTTTGAAAGGTGAGGGGATGTAATATGGACGGAGTGCTGCCGAGAGAAGAACGGGGGGTGAGGGGACAGGGAGGAGGGCGGGAAGAAAGTCGAGTTGTTGTGTATCATCCGGCGCGCCGATGGGGTGCAACCGGCGGTCATCGAATCGCACATACGTAGTTTCCCCCCGACGATGTGACCAGCAGTCGCGAGAACTAACAAGGGTTGCGTCGTAGTGAATTGCCAACTTGCAGTTAGGATACAACGTTCAGCATCCCCCACACAGATACGTCTCCTTCGCCTCTGTCGAGCAGTGACATTGACAAGACGATTGTTCACCTTAGTGGACATGGTCACCACATAGACGGTTTCTGCGACAGTCTGACATGTTTGGTCGGTAACAAAGCATAAACACACATGCACACACACACACACGCAGGCAAATGGAACGGAGAAAAGAAGGACGTATTCATGTTGCCATCGTATTTAAATCGTAGTGCGTTCGCGTGTGTTGCATGCACATATGTCTAATGTGTGTTCGTCTCGCCGGTGTCACATGTACGTCTGTCATCAGGTCTCCATGAGTGCGTCCATATTGACGTTGTCGATATGGTGCCTCCCTAGTCACGCGATTCGAATGGGTACGCGTAGATCGATACATCGTACTCGACAGTCGTTATACCTTTAGCTGTGATCGCGCTGCGAAACGGCATGGCGCCTTGATGTTTGTTGGTGCGGGTCCACGCACCCACGCACGCCGTCGCAATGTTTGCCCGTACTCTTTGCCGCCAACGAGGAGGCTACGGAGGTCGAGGAGAGAGGATTGTCAGGATGGTGAGGAGGAGGGAGCACGACGAGGATAAGCGAGAGAACGACGAGGAAGTCGTTGAGAGGAGGACCAGGGGAAGGGAGCGTTGTCTGGAGGACCTTGCAGATCACTGGGCAGCGCCTTGCTCCGCGGCCTGAGCATCTCTTCGCCGTCCGCGAGCGTTTTTGGGCTCAAGCCCAGCTTCTACAAGCAAGGACCCTCGCCAACCTGCAGGGCCTGCGGGAATGGGGGTGGGGAGCTCTGAAAGACGGGGCTGCGCTGCAGAAGAGAAGGGAGAGGCAGGGGGAGGGGGGGGGAGGGGGGTGAAGAGGATGCGTGAGGGAGGGCGAAGTGGGAGGGTGGGGGAGCGGGTTGGAGGAGGGGTGAGGGGGCGGAGCGGGGCGGGGTATGGCGGAGAGAAAGGAGTGTCACGTGAGAGGAGCGAGCGAACGAGGATCAAAGTGTGATGAGGCATGAGGGAGGAAAAGGCGGTGCGGGAGGGAGGAGAAGGGAGGAGGAAGGCGCCTCCTCCCCCTCCTCCTCATCCTCCTCCCCCTCCAGCCTTCCGCTCCACGCCCGCCGCGCCCACATCTCGGCCGCCTGGCCCGAGAGAGCCCTCGGCGCACGCCGCTGGCGAGGCGCAGCCGTGCCCGCACGCGGCCCGCGCACGCACCCGAGGAGAGCTCCGCGCTCGCCTCGCCCTGCCCTCTGGCCCCCGCGCGCGCCCCCGCGGTCCGCCGGCACTGGATGGGCAGGAGGAGGATCGGGGGGAGGAGGGGGAGGAGGAGGAGGAGGAGGAGGAGGATCGGGGGGAGGAGCAGGAGGAGGAGGAGGAGGAGGAGGAGGAGGAGGAGGAGGAGTAACAGTAAGAGTCAAGCTAGCCAGCTCGAGCGAGTCAAGCATGGCATGCCCAGTCCCACCCGCCCTCCCACAACATAAGAAGCAAAGCTGGCACAACTGGGGGCCGAAGTCACACCGGCCAGCCGGTTTGGTACAGCTGATGCGGCCGCGATGGCGGTTGCCGACGGGAACTGGCGAGCGCGTGTTGAATGCCGCGCACGCATTGCCAGACGAGTCGAGAATGGCCCGGTACACCGCAGGAAGCCAGAGGTGGCCGGAGGAAGCCCGGCTCTGGACAGGACGTCCATGCGACGGTGCCAATGACGGCGACGACTCTAGAAGGATTTGAGCATGCGCTCGCGGCGACGCGCGCGCATGTCGCCCGCGTGGTATTTTTTGCACAGGATTCGCGGCCTGGGTGCATGACAGAGCATCGCGAGTGCACCGCGCGATGATGTGAAATCGCTGGGTTTGACCGAATTCTTGAGATTCCGATGGTTTTCCTATGATTTCAGCAAGAGAGCCCGGGCAGGAAATTTGTAAAATCTTTGTGAAACAAACATTGGGTTTTTGATGTTTTTATGTTGAAATGCTTGCAAACACACGGTGTTCGGTAGGATTCTGACATGAACGCGCGCGTGTGCTCTTTGTTGTGTTTTTTGCAATGGATTATCGCCGTGGACAACGGGACGTCCATGTCGAGAGGAAAAAATAAGAAAAATGTTGATTTTGTAGTGCTTTTTACAGGTTAGGATGGGACCACCCGGATGTGGCCCCTATCTGCCGGCCCGAGGGGGGAGTAGGAGTATATTCTAATAAGGAATAAGGATAAGAGTCCATGGACGATGTCCAACCTCTGACGCATTACACGGGGAGCCCCTTCTGGACTCTCTTGGCCCTCTGGGCCGCTGTGAGGGCCTTGGGCCACAACGAATTTTTAACTCTGGCTAAATAGCCAGCTCGGGCCGGGGTGGTCTTATACACGCATTGCTTCCCCAACCCAAGCAGCTGCTGATCTGCAAACATGCCACACACAGCACAGAACCATACATTGACGTCCTGATGATTTCTTAGCCTGTGAGGCCCGTGCACCCACCCCCCAGCGATGTGCACCTCCGCCCCCTGGGGAAGGGCTCTCACCGCACAGTCCAAAGCCACAAGCTTGAAACACGGCGAAGCTCTCCACTTCCGACGCTCGGCGATCGACGCAGATCCACGACACTTGCGGCACCGACGCCCCGAATCGTCCAGCGCGTGCGAACTGGACAGGATGGACACAGCTTCGGGGCACGGCGGCGGAAAGCAAAGCTGCAAAGGAGGAGGAGGAGGGGGCAGAGGAGGAGAAAGAACACCTCCCTCACTCACATCCCCTCGGTGGCAGTCCTCCTGGGCCCTCGTCAGGGCCTCCTCCGCTGCCATTTTGAGTCCATGGCCGCCCGCAGCAGCCTCATTCGTACCAGGAAGGCACGATGCTCCACTTGTGCCACTCGTGCTCGATCTGCTTGGGGTAGCCTGGCCATTCTCGCCGCTTCTCCAGCGACGACGTCCGCCATGGCGCTCCCGCAGACCAACTGACTTGGTACACATGCGGCTGCCGCCTCTGCCGCCGTCATGTGAGAATTCACGAACAGCACAATGATATGCTCGGCTGGCCGACGACGCATCTCTTCCCCAATACATGCCCACAATTCTGCAGACTCTCCACTCGGATTCATGAAATGCTTGTCGTACCAGCCTTGGTAAACTGACTGGTTGTCCGTGATGTAAACTAGGTGATCTGTGGAAGCACGAATTGCCATCCATAGCATATACAGCTCACCACGGGGGACCGTCTGGCCCCCTGGCAGTGGGCCCATGACGACGCCTTGGATGGTCAGATCCTCCTCGCTATTCACTAA